TTTAACTGTACATTATATATAAAAAAAAGTATGCAGTTTTTTCGCAAGCCAGCAATGAAATCTAAATTAATAACGTAAAAGTAAAATATGGTATAAATGCAACTAAGTACCGCTCAACTAAGCAACTACTATGATCTAAAAATGAAGCTACTAAGAAGAAACAATATATTTTTTTAGATTTAAAGACGTAGTCAATAGACTAATTTTAAAGAGATAGTATCATAATTTTAAAGACCTTAAATAAAAAAAAAACATTTAATAACCTTGGAAATATAGCTTAATATTTATATAAACGATTGATCCCAGCATTATTAAATGCACAAAATAGTAAATATGTAAAATCAAACTACGGCCCTCATGAAAAATGTAGAGTCTAATAGAATATAAAAAAACATTATCCGTAACAATAACAAATTGTACATGAATATAAATTATGAAATACCAAATATGTAATGGACACTATAAGATCGATGTAAAGATAGATGGAAGACAGCAAATTAATGGCCCACTGTTTAGAAATTAACACCAATGATAGCAGTAAAAAACAATGAATGTTATAACAACATACAACTTATAACAATCCTCTAACATTTATGAAAGTAGGACATGATATACACATTTAAAGTAAACCAGTTCCGTTGATACTGGACTAATAATACAATTAATATTATAATTTACAAAATTATATAATTACGTGTCAAAATCGGAGAACATACTAGTCTTAATGTGAATAAAATGTTTATTAGGCATACTATGAAGTCTGTGAATCAGACATATTCACCTAACTATTCATAATTATATGATTAATAAAATTATAATGAATATTTTTTACTTATTAAATAAGTAAGCATGTATAATAATAAAGGCACCAGGAGTATCAGGATGTATTTTGTGGTGTTTGTGATGCTGTTCACGTAGGTATGTGGACGACACGACGGTTAACATCTTCCATTAGGCTGACTGGATTAGTCATAATTACTTTGTTTACCACATCAAGTAGTAACTTCGCTTGCACAGACTCCATAGTTTTCGTTCTAAAAAACTCCTACTTATGTTTTAAAACGTACCAATATTACAAATTTTCACTTTTTGACACTCTTCTTTGATCATTTAGGCTATCACGGATCTTATAAGCTATGCTTACTACCTGATATGAGTACCGCCTCTATATCTGCATTTGATTTTTAATATTACTTCAGAATACTATTCTGGAGCACGAAATAATTTTCAAAATATGAAGATGTCACCACCAGGTTTTAATTAATTTTTAATACAAGTGCTGTAATTCAGAGAAAACAAACTTATTTTTTTTAATTATTAAATGAGCAATAGCAAATTAAAATTAAAATACTGTCTGGTTTCCGCGTTAACGGTGCAATGATAATAATATGCAAACAGTGAATGGTACCCAATACTATGAATATTGCTAAAACAATATTATCCAGTGACTTCAGTTAGCTTACAAAGTTATGAGCTGTTATTTTGTGAACTTCTGGTTATTCCGACGTCATTCCACGTTTCTCTGATTACTATGAAATACTAGAATTCCTTATATATATATATATAGAAAATGTCACAAATGAAACGGACACCATGTCTTAGTAAGTATACTTTAGTTAAAATATACAAATATATTGTAAAAATACTGCTGTGAGCAAATTAATGTTACTGTAAATTGAGGAACTTATTTCTAAAAGTAATCACACAGAATAGAGGGTAGGGTCATTTGTTTGCTTTTTAATGTTATATATATGACATGATAGAAATAATAGACTAAAATAAGTATCTACCTGTTGAAATAAGCATAGATTAGGGACTTTGTTTAAATATATGTATAGTTATTATAAAGATGGCCAACAGAAGTTTAATTTAATGTTTTTACTTCCTCAAGCTAATTATACAATTTTGTGAACACGTTATATCGTTAGAAGACTAAAAAGGATAATTATTATATTTTATTGCAGAAGGAGTTTGCTATCACACTAAATTCCTATTACAACTAAGAAACATGTATATTAGTACTGATTCGCACAGTTTTCATAAAAAATATTTGCCACTTTTTTACTGTATAGATAGAGTGTAGTATACTGTAGTCCATGACTAACCCACATAAGTATTAATAATACTGGGTTATTATTAATACTTATGTGGGTGACAATTCACATAGCCTATCCAGTCTCAAGATAAGCAGAGCTTGTGTTATGGATATTAGATAACTGATAGAATACTTATAAATTATTTTTTATAAATACATACGAAACGTACATAGAAAATACCCACACCAGTCATACTCATGATAACGATTTTTTGTACCAGGAGTCGAACTTGCGACCATCGAAGGCAGTGTGTACCGAGACCGTCAAATAAGTACCTACTTATAGAAACTACTAGCATCATAATGCCAATATTTATACAGATATATTTGCATATGTATGTACAATGGTTTAACGCTGCTTTCAATAAATGAAACTTTATACTAACGATCTTGGCCTGGATAAGCAATGGGATAGCATATTAAGATGCCTACTCAAATTACTTATAAGTACAATAAAATAAAGGAAAGATTATTCGCCTAATATTCAAGTGTATTTATGTACTAGTTTGTGCAGGCAAAAATTAAACTCATATTTAAGTAATTGACGATTATATAAAAGTATAAGTCAGGATATGTAAAATATATGTACATATATATTACATATCGTAACATGTATATAAAGTCATATATTAAAGCATCTTTCCCTTTTGTTTCAATATAAGTGAATAAGGTATTTATTTCGCGGTTTAGATCAAGTGACATTGACTTGTTATAACGTAAATACAGTCGCCCATAATAACATATAAATACTTTCGTACCACCTTAAAATAACATTATATAATAATACTCGCTCATGTGTATTGTATGCTTTGAATAATCATTATTATAATGTCTCATAGTTTTTACATATTTTCAAATAGTTACCATTTTACAAAGTTTCAAATAACTTTCCGTTAAGTTATATCAAAACAAACTCAATAGCCCTCTTAAATTTCGGATAGCTTGCGTTTTTGCCACAAATGGTTGTTAATAACGATCGAGTGAGCACCGTGGAGTACCTGTCGTTTGCAGTCTAACAAACTCCCCACTCAAGATTAGTCGCCATTAGAACACGCGGCTGAATCTAATAAAAAAGCAAAGTCAACGATAAATGCCTTACAGCAATGTAATATAGACTTAGACAAGAGGGAAATACACAGAAAATACTTAGCGTAAACTTGTGTTCTTTTAAGATTATTTAGGGTGTTTTAAACGAATCAAGTTCTCGGCTTTCTTTATTGACAAAGACAGGGGAAAATAACGTTAAATTCAGAATTTAACCTATAAAACATCAAATCTTTAATTTTTTTAATATTAGTGATCTGAGCAATACGTTAATGTGATATCAATTTAATTAAATCACAGAATAGATAGAAAAACTTGTCACCTAACATATCAAGAATAGTACATTTTTTTTAAGAACAGAAACTCTACCTTTATTTACTTAGTTAGCAATAAGAAGTTATTTGTACAGATGATATGGCATAGTATTGTTGATTAGTTATTTTATTGGACGAATGTAACAGTTCTATTATATAGATATTAATAATCATTGAAAAACATTTTTCGTTAGACAAAATAATAAGATCGTAAATATAAGAGCTGGAAATAAGTTAAAACACTAATTTTGTTCAAAAACATTGTCCTTACATGGGTAAAGTTAACCGAATTTTTTTTATTGTTAGCAGAAGTTGCTAACAATAAAAAAAAATTAGAACCGAAATATCAGTTCTATTTGCATGTCATGGTGAGCGTAAAGTCAACTACAAATAGGTAGGTTCCATTAGGCTCTCTTTCAACGCCGCCCTATTGTCCTGGTATAGATGGCGATAAAACATTTCTACGTGATGGAATTTTTATGTTTCCGATCCATAGACGCCACCAGCATTATGATATTATATTTTTTTTTTTGTAAAAATAATCACAGGGATTCTTAATTGAGCTCTAAGTATCCAGGTATCGGAAGATAAAGTATGTCATTAAATTATTAAGCCTATAATAATGCACTGAAGTATTCAAAAATTGACAAGATATTGACAATGATAATTATTGATACTGAAGTATTCCAGGTATTTCTGTATGTTCCATTGTGCCATTCTATCTCTCTGCGTTAAAAGGGCTCTATCTAGCGAATAACACATCTACATCAGATACTAACTCACTAGACATTAAGTCTGAGCTTAGATCATCTACCTTTAGGAGTTACTTAAGTTTGTTACTATAACTTTTATAAGTTTAGATTCCTACTGGGAAGCGATTTATGTGTTGTTTATTATTGTGTAAAATTCCAGTTTAAAGTAGAGCGAAATACTATTTAGATTTATGATTATTTGTAGGTATACATTTTACTGTGTTTCACTATTACTGTTACATACATACTCATTTATTAACTGAAGATTTCTTTCATTCTAAAAATAAAATATACTTACATTAAATGTTGACAGTCAAGAGGCGGTCTTTTAGCAATTTCATCAGAAAAACTTGGGGTAGAAGCAAATTATAGAAAGGGATAGCAGTTTGCGGATTACATTATTATTATTAGTTTCTAAAAGTGGTGTAGCGATTCAAAAATAGCAGAAGGTATGCATACGATTTTCAAAAATGTTTTTTGGCGTATACGTATAAAATAAACCTATACCGATTCCAAAAATTCTAGTACTAGTAGTACTTTCCTCTAACAAATACTTCTTTTGGACACATTAATGACATGTAAAATGGGTGCTAAACAGATTTTTCCAAATCTATTAAAGAAATAAGAACAATAAACTTATACTTCTACACATATATGTTGCATTATATAAAGTTTAGTTTAGTAATTATAAAAACTCTGAAGATACTACTAATATTTTAATTATAATTATAACTTTATATTTGTAATAATTAATGACATTAAACTTTATAGTTATATAAATATGTGTCATTTCAGTTGAGCGTCGCATCACCAGCGCCTCCGCTGTAGGATCCACTCCATGTGCACTGGTATGAGGTGAGTCACCGTGCTGTATTTAACTCTGTTTACACCCGCATTGCATTCAAAGATACATTTAGAGCTCTCCGTTATGAAAGATGTTCGATGAAAAGGTAAGCTACTGCATCCTGGCTAAATTTCTATTAATACTATCGCTACAATGTACTTATTATTACTGTCTAATTTTATTACAATATCTAAAAGTAATAATAGAAACATGGCAGCGAGTGAACTGATAGGGATTAAAAATTGTTAAATAAGGGACGGTTGTCTGTACCAACTCACTATATACTATACTTGATTGATGACTAACCCCAGGTTCTATTTTAAGTATAGTCTGGTTATATTTGTTAATTGGTTTTTTTTACCCGACACGGCATAGCAAAATCCAGAGTGTTCATGTGTTACTAACTTCCAAACTTTCAGAATTAGGATATTTATGTATCATTAGCTGTACCCGCGACTTCGTCCGCGTGGAACTTAACTTAATTTTTTTTTAAATAAAACTAGCCTAAGTTACTCCTTATTATATCAGCTACCTGGCAATAAAAGTCCCATCAAAATTGTTCTAGTTCCATTTCAGAGATTAACCGGAACAAACAGACAGACAAAAATTGTAAGAAATGTTATTTTCAAGTATGTATCGAAATTATATTCATATGCATGTAGTAAAAAACGGTTATTTCAATATTACAAACAGACACTCCAATTTTATTTATATGTATAGATTAGAAGCATTTTGATCGGCTGCTCGTTATAAAAAACCTATAAACCAATTATTAGTAATGGAGACGGATTTTGGAGATACTGGATTTACCTACTACTTGTAAATTCAATACACATGTATTCGCATGTATTCACACACATTCTAAAGATAATAATTTGGCCCTCTACTCGTAAAACTGTTATCCTAACATAGTTCAACGTACCCAATGATTATATTACTACACCCACAGTCCAAACAATGCTTAGGCGAATATTTATCCACTATGCAAATAAATTACTCAACCAAATCCATATTGACTTTTACATTTATTAAATATTCTTCTGCACGTTAGTATACATACATATAATCTAAATTATAAATTAAACGTCTCTAGCTGCTCATGATTTATAATCCGCAACCTAAGCTGTTATATGCTTATCTAATCTGTGGATATACAGTCGCATATAGCACGTCCCAATTTTTAAATCATGCTTTAATTATTCTACTTTTTAATTCATTCTAGACCCGTATATACTCGTATATTTTAAACAAAATAACACTACTCTCCTAATTGACCATATTTGTATATTGTCAGATTTCATTGAAAGTTTTACGGTAAATAATACTCATGTAATAAAAATATTCTAAGAATTAAGTAGTCTCCTTAAAAGTTAGTTGATCGTACGGTTATTACGAATGAATGGGGCAGGTCGGCATAATACGCAGTGTAATATGACCAAAGTTTGTCTATTAATGTCCAGTATTTGGATACGCATACTATGGCCATGACGACGCCCGTCAGATGCGTATACTTTGTAGTGCGCTCGCTGTACTAGTATTACAAATATAAGTTATCGACGCACCTGCCCCTCGACCGCGCTCGATGTCATTGCCCGTCAAAGCGTTGAATACAAACACGTAAGCGAATATTAATATAAGCATCTATTCTAGTACATAATAACAGTAGTCGATTATTTAATACGATGTAAAAATTACGCTGATCGTTAGATTAGTGTTACTTAAGACCTGGTTATATCTCAATGTCATTCTATTACAGAAATAAACATAAAAATTACTAATTTAAATAGGTAACAAGGTTAATGAATTACCTAAATCGAATTTTCTTGCACAAATGTATAAAGGTTACTGAATTAGCGTAAGAATAGGTTAGAGATTTTCTTTTATTTGAATAGATAATATCGTAAAATATAGGTTCGTATATATTGTTGGATAGTTATAACTAAAAATTATATTGTAATTTAATCATTAAATTTATTATTAAATTAAACTTCAGTTTAATTTTTAAAAATCTAAATAATAGACTTTCAAACGACATTAATTTAAACAAATCATTGGCTGTACCGCAAGAATTCACAAAGTAGGCTAATACTGTTAGTGCGTTGGTATTAACATACCTTCACGTTTCTGAATTAGTACTATTAGAAAAACGTAATTACAAAGTAAATACGTAAACAAATCAGTAACAAGAATGGCATTTGTATGCCCTATAGGAATGCTAAGTGGGTGGTAACTGGACAGCAAAGGCATTATCCAGACACTTTAAAGGTTCGGTATGTACCTACGTCAAGGACTGCAAATAGTTATAATTCTCTTTAAATTATTCTAATTGACAGTTTAACGAATTAGCAATGAAGGTAATAGATAGATGCACTACTTTCGTGGATACATATAAAATTATCATAATTTGAAAATAATAGAGCAGTGGTTAAAAATTAATATTATATAAATAATTAAACAGACGGATAAAATATAATAATTTGCATACAATGTGAAACAATTGTATACGAATTGAGACTGTAAATGTAATATAATGTAAATATGACATTAAAACAAGGTAAATTTAATCTAGTTACTAGCGGTTACAATAAATTCTGAGATTTATGAAACTTTATTTTTCTCGTTTTATATTTCTCCAATAATTAATAAAAACAACGCCGATACAGTTAACATCGCTACCTTTATAAACTTTTACCTATAAAGTTAATATATTAAAAGCAGTTGTATGTTCAAACTTGTTTATATACGGGTAACAGCGGACACTATTCGATCACTACATTCCGATACTACGGGAAGATGTTTTATTGCTTCAAATTTATAACTCTATCTTTAATTAGTTACTCTGAGATGCTCTTATATTTTTTTATGTAATTGGAATAGTAAACAAGCTGTAGTAAATAACCATGTAATCGTCGCTTATATACATAAACAGCATAACAGAAATCACGTTAACCCCTTTCAAATTGTAGAAAATGTATTCGTATTCGTATTAGATAGTAAAGAACTAACGTAGACATAATTAGTAATGATGACAACATTATTTTTTTTATAAAAAAAAGATATACCTTCATATATATTTTGTAACTGTATGACTTCTGATAGTAATTTAATAATCGTAACAAACTTAGCGAGATTATGACATTCAATTCAAGCAGCAGGTGCGACCGATTCAAAATGTTACGTATTCCGCTATTCGATAATCGTTAAGTGTGGCCTACGTCCGGTCCGGAAGTCCCACTTCCTCACACACTCGTAATGAGAGACGCTTAGAATATCCAGTAATATAGTTATACTTATCGCATTTTTTGCAACATGACTATGCTACTACTATTCATCCGACTAAAGAAGCAGAGCGGAAAACGTACGTGATATATTCAGTTATCCGCAGATTATGAATAGAGAAATCACTACAATAAAAGCAAATAAAAACTTCGTTTTGTACTCAAAACTAAAAATCCTATTATATGTTAAATGATACTAAAATTAATAATTACGTAATTCTACGTTTTAAAGTTAATTTTATTCCTGAAATGATTTGGTAACGGATGGCTAAGTTGCAATGTTATAACTTCGTAATCGATAAAGTGGAAAGTTTAATAGTATATTCTGGTGGTGATCTGTAGTACATAAAATAATAAAATTAATTAAGGTACAAATGTGATAAAGGTAAAAATGTGAACATAACGACTATTTCTCTTATTGATTGCCGTGCCCACATTGCAATCCTCAAGCTGCCATTGCTTTTTTGCATTGCTGATCATTACTATCTGCTATCAAGCATTGCGCCGGAGGAAAATAATGTCTGATCAATACAAGATACACAACTTCAAATTTATCTTAATTATGTAAAGCTTTTATCAATCCAATCCCCTATATATTCTAGATATATAATTTATATATCTATATATAAAGAGGGCCTGTATATTATAATAAAGAAAAATACTGTGTTCGCTATTATTCGCACATACAAGTAATATCCATTAACATTTCCTGTAACGGGCAGTCATTAAAATTAGATTGAACATCTTCTAAAGATACCTTTACAGCTATTACGTGCTGTCGTCTCCGTTTAAGTGAAAAATAAACCTGTAGATGTAGAATATGAGCCAGAACTGGTTGAAGTGGGGTCCAGTTATTAGATGGCAGTGGAGTCTCGGCCAACGTGGTTTTCCGGTGATCCCGTCCAACCACTGCTATTGAATCCTTTTAATGATGAGTCACTCAAATTGCTCTGTTAGTAGATAAGGTAACATTATAAATATTACGGTTCATCTAACCGTCGTCATAATTATTCTAAATTATGAAGTAAATCCTAACTAAAAACAATCATAAAAATAAGGTTCATAATATGATGTAACATACAAATTACAAATATTGATTGGCAAAAATATTACCATGATAAGCACTGGTGCCCGTATTTTGTTAAAAATAAATATAATTGCTATAGAACACGACCAGTTCAATGAAAAAATCTCAGCTGCTATGATATTTTTCAAAACTTACGTACATTTTAGAATAGTATTTTCAAATAAATGTCTCGAAGGAAATAAAAATAGTAAGTTCATTAGCTCAGCATATCTATAATAATATTATATTATAAATTTATTTGATTGTATTGAATTAGCACCGAAACTACTAAACCGATTTAAAAAAATATTAGTATGACACTAACAACATACTTATAGGTACACGTGAAGTGCCTATATAAATGCATATTTTACACAAACTTACACGATAAAAAATTGTAAATTTTCGTGCAATGACAAATTCATAATTACACTACCTACTGTAACACTACATTTTCCAGTCCAATAGTAATACTTACTATTCATTAAGAAACCAAGTATGTTACGTCCTACTTAATCCAACCGTTATAAAATAAAGTAAAAATCAATCGGGGTTCTTGTCTGTTTCTGATTATAAAAGAGATTTAAATTTAGTACTGATGCTTCTTTTTGTAAATGATAGACTTTATTTACTGTACATTGCTTGCAATTGAGTGAAACACATACCAAACAAAATATGAACCTATAGTAATTTATTATATGAAGATAGTAAAAAAGTCCTAATATTCTATATCATTGAGCGATATATTAATTGTTTTATGGCAGATACTAGAGTAAATTTATCGTACTTTAGAGCAGACGGCGCGTGCGGTGTGGTGCGATGGATGCGTAACCGGTCATCATGCGCCTCTTCCGCGGGCCGAAGCGCAGGGAAGTGACCGCGCCGCTAGCCGTCGCAACGCCGTCTCTAGGGAGAGACGCCGCCGCCGCTACCGGCGCAACGCATGCTCCACAAGACTTCACGGTAGTCACTGCTCTCCCAGCAATGGTCATGGAGGACGATGTCAGGGAGATGAAAAAAGGTACTCGTACATCTATTCATAATATTTATTGTATTTTTCACTTATAATTCGAAATTATCTAAATAATTAATATTTTTTATAAAAATTATGAAATATAAAAATGATGATTAACATTGTTACATCAATTATTCCAGTGTTTGCAACGTGGGGTCGTCGAATGGGCAAAAAATTAGATATGCTAAAAAAGCCAGATCCAAAAGTTACAGAAGAAATACCGTCTGCTAAAAACATCAGTGAAGATTCTTCAGCAGTAGTCACAGGACAGTATAAGAAAAAACAACACTGGAAAATGGGGCGCAGCAGTTCCGATTCTACGTCACTGAAAAAGGACAATGACACGGATTCTATTAAAAGCAATTCCAGAGACAGATCGCCGAGTCCCTTCAAGTCATTTTTCCATAGGATGGGTTCAACGGGAATGTTAAATTCATCAAAATCACAGTCTCTAAATGCTCACAGAACTAATGAAAATTATCCAGTAGCAAATGGACCTTCTCTTTATAGAAGCTGTTCTACATCACATTTATCAACTTACGTAAAAGCTGATGACCCATCGGATGATATTGATTTACAAAATGCTGTGAATGAAAATAAAAAGTCGCCATCAAAACTCAATGTAATGGCAGATGAAACACTAGTATCGTCTTCAACTAAGGCCGTTAGTTGTGACAATATTCCAAATTTAGAAGGACAGACTAATAATAGTGCAAATAAAAAGCCTAATTTCCCCTATGCTTTCTTAAGATCCAAGTTATCGGTATTACCAGAAGAAAACAATATGGGATCGCAACAAAGAACCAGCTGTATGAGACAAAGCTTCTCGGAAAGAATAGACCGAAAATCACCAAAGTTACGAAGAGAACGAATATATCTCAATAACTCTCGGTCGGAAGAACGATACCAAAGTAACGACAGTATATCTATTCATGAAAACAATATGCTTCTTAATACAGCTCTAAGAAATGACTATGATTTTTCAAGAAGCTCAATGAGAAGCATTAATGAAATTGATGGCAATATGTATATACGACGTATTGATGATATACCACGAAGATCGTCTATGATTTCTCAACGAACACCTTTTGATTACGATCCTATGTTAATACCTAGAAACAGAAACAGTTTACCAGTATATGAATATAGCTCCGTTGTTGGATCCGTGAGAGATTTAAAAACAGAATTAGCCTCTTCTACACATAGCATACATCATATTCCTGAAACTGCTGAAGTTTTACAAGCTCATCGTTTGAGCAATTATGTTAGTTCAAATGAATCTGGCTATGATAGCGATGGTCGTCCCACAGATGAACATAGTAATCATTCTCCACCAGGTTATTCGTGTCACTTATCTTCTGGTTCTATTAAAACGGAAGTTAATGATATGCAAAATGAAAACTTTCATAGCAATTTTTCAAGACAACTAAGTCTGAACCACAAAATCAACGTGAGCAGAGTTCAGATACCAGCTCGAAGGAGTTCAACACCATGTGCCTTATTTCCTATCGAAAAAGGAACGGCTCAAGAATATGAGAATACAAGTAGAGAAAATAAATATTCCAATATTTCTATAAATTCACAAATATTTGACCATAATGATGGTAAACCTCCGCCACTTCCAAAGAAAACGATTAATAAAAAAAATCCATACATTTACAAAACCATTACTTTAGATGAACGAGTACAAACAAGGAAAATAAAACTTTTACATTCACAGATACTTAATGTACAACATTCATCAAATCCAAATCTTAACAAGGAATCCTTATTAGAAAGTAAAACACAAATGCATCAAAATACTGAAATAGATATATTCGGTCGTGGACCATGCACAAAGAGATTTAGAAAAATAAGATTACTAAAAGCCAGATTGGATGAGAGTTTAGGTGTGTATTTGGCTCAGCATAGAGTGGATTTTGATAATACAGGATCTAATAGTGAAATTCGATACATTGTAGTTAAACTAGATTTCGATGGAATAGCTCATAGAGATGGCAGATTAAGAATTGGCGATGAAATAGTAAATGTCAATGGCAGAATATTGAGGGGTTTAGCATCCTTAAAAGAGGTACAACATATCGTTAACTCTTGTTCCACTGAAGCTACAGTTGAAGATGGAGGGCTATTTCAACGTTATCAAGTTGACTTAGTAATGGCGCATGATGAAATCACTCCTATTACTTTAAGTCGAATAATAAATAGTCAAACCTGTGAACTGAATCAAGTTATACCTCCGACCGCTAACGTTCCTCCAGATATTATTTCCCAAACTGTTCATAAACCCTCATCTTCAAATCAAATTATCATCGAAACTCACTTTCCTAGTGACAATCAAAAGTATAATACGAATAGTATTCGTTTACTACGAGAACAGCAAACGAGTCTTAACAGAACTGAATCATTTAGTAATAGTGATTTTGAGATTCCAGTAAATAGTGATCTGTTACGATCCAATCCAAAAAGCGACGACGAAAAGTTATTAGAGAGACACTCATATAATCATTCATCTGCGTCTTTGCAAAATATTACAAATATTGAAATTTCATCGCGTCCTATAATAGGATCTAGAAATCCACACGGTAATAATAATTATAGACCTATATCACTTCACAATTCCAGACCTCAAACAGTGGCAATTTCGCAATTTTCAAATGATAACGCAACTAATGAAATTAAAGAAAATTCTCCACACTATATCAAACATGTTCCAAGGTTATACCAAAATCGCTCATTTGAGAGTATTCCTGAACAAGTAAGAAATAGCAGTAGAAGTAGATTTTTTAGTCGAGTTGGTTCCCAGAGGTGCTCACCAAATCACAACTCGCATGTATCACGACAGCAGGAATATGGTACACAAAATAGTGAAAATCAGTATGGTGGTCACTATTCACACAATCAACTAAGTAAAGCCGAATTTTGGAAAGGACCTGGCCATAAAAGTCTTGGATTCAGTATTGTCGGAGGAACAGATTCACCAAAAGGAAAAATGGGAATATTCGTGAAGACCGTCTTTCCAAATGGTCAAGCAGCAGACAAGGGTACTATTTTTGAAGGTACAGTATTATATTAAAAATATATTGTAAATAAATCCAATATACCTACAAAAAAATTATTGCTAAAAAATTACTATGTTATTATAGGTGATGAGATCTTGTCAGTGAACAATGTGCCAACACGTGGATTGAGCCATGCGGGGGCCATATCGCTTTTCAAACAAGTTAAAGAAGGAAAAATTGAATTGACGCTTTCAAGAAGAAGGTTAGTGACCATATATTCTTTTGTATATGATTTTAACAATGACAAACTACCTGATGGTTCAACTAATAGAGAGAACGAACATTGTGGTTCTCGTAATGGTTGTCTCTCCTTAGTGTTCAAAAGGAACACAGCGTAACTAGCCAGCTACTTTAGCGATGAAAATAGCATAGACTTCGATAAAACCTTCAAATAAGAAACTAAAAATAATTAAACATTTTTGTTTCAGAGCACCTAGGTCAAGATCTGTAGAACCTCTAGGTAATTCCCGTGGTGAACTCAAAAGAGAATAAATGAGCCCTGACCTCCAAAGAGACGTTATGTGTATTTATACGTGTGCAATAATTTCTTTGTAATTATAATTTAGCCAAAGGCAACTCCTTTTAGTATTTCGACATTTGTATAGGCAATACGCCTACTATAAAGTTAAATGTGACGAACGTTGTAACAACGAACAACGATTAGATATTATTTTTACGCGTACGATGTTAAAATATTTTTAATTGTGCATATATTAGAAATAGATTTATAGAAACAGTTTCCTTTATACGCTAACCAATGTTATCTTTGGTAGCAAATTTTATATCATACAACCTAAGTATTATCCATTATACTCTGTTCATTTATGCTTAACATATTCAGTGAATTGTATTGGTATTTATTTTTATCGAATTAAAATATGCTTAAGTAATCTAAAAATATTTATATCAAAGGAAGGTATAAATTTGACTAGCGACTAGAGCCATGGCTTTGCTACTTACTGGCTTTGTAAGTTCGCTTTATATTAACAAAATGTATACCTCATATCAATCTTGAATAACATACCTTACGAAAAGAGAAAGAAATTCTCAAATGGGTTGCAGAGGGTCTGGAGATTTTCATTCAAAATCTTTTCTCTCGTTTATAAATTATTTTCCTGTCTGCACTATTTCAATAAATAAATATGCTACTAATTAATGTTATACATGTAAAATACACCAAGATTGTGTACTGAATATACCAAATATACATGAATCGAGTATAATGTTGTCAATCGTGTTAAAATAATTTTGTATATTATTACTATGATAAGACTGTAATATACTATAATTACGTAGTTTTTAACTTAATTGTTGTAATCTGTTACACCATGTTATTGTTACGATATTTCATTAGGAAAGCTAGATCTCGTTATATGCTATACTTGTCTGTATGTACAACTAAATGGAATGCAAAGACAAATTTGTTGCAAAACTTACATAGAGATACAATTCTAGAATAAGATGTTGCTCTACTCTTAATCTAAAATTTTAAGTCAGATGCAACATTTATTTCGTGAACTCATTTCAACAACAAATGTGCGTGCATCGAACTAACACCTACTAGTTCATTTTCAGACAGGCCCATTAATAGACTGATATTTTCTACTTCAATTAGTTCAAGTACCTATCACTGCCAAAGTTTTAGACATAATGCAGAAAAAATAAAATCGTGTTGTTAAGGATTTAAATGTACATTACATTATTTATATAAACTTTACAGAATATTTAATTCACTTCATAACAGTTTCTCTCAATTCACTTCTAGATTATGTTGTTATAACATATTTAGATATACGGTAGGACTATTTTCTTTGTAAAAATATGGATATGGTCCGGATAATTAAGACAAAATCCCTATTAAATGCTTCCATACAATGTGATTGTAAACAATACAATATCAGCGAATGCGCTCCGTCCATTAAAGTTGTTACAGTCGATTGTTTTATTAGTGATTTTATTTTGTGATTATTTGCTTTATAGCAAGTGTTAAAAATCGTGATCTAAAACATGGCTGTTTAAGAAATGAGACCATCCATACCCAATGCAGTATTTTAAATGTAGCATGATATTCAAAATAATTAGTAAATAAATTAATATACGTAATTCAATCCGAATACCTCTCAGTGCTTTGGTATATCTTCACAGGTAATAAACATATTTAAATGTAAAATTCTTTTATTAATTAAACCACTACGAACCTCTAATAATAAATATATATGAGAAATTTCAAAAATTACCTAATACGTGAATAGTGTAAAACAGCTAGAACAACTCACAAATTAGTAAACAGTTAATCATCTAAACATTATTCTAGCTATTCTAGAATTACAATCATGATTATTAAAAAGTAAAAGTAGCATATATGTAAATGATGGAAACATACAACAAATATGTTTAAAACAGGCTTCTCACTAGACTAAAATCAGTGGCAATATTGGAATTATTCTTGTAGAGTAAAAAGGGCTCGATTATGAAAAATCGGTTCTGAATTCACTACACTAGAGACGCGATCCAGAGCGATTCACTGTTCTTTTATTGCCACTTGGTTTTAGTGTTATTTACAGACTGTTCAATAAAACACGTAAGAACGTTATTTAATATCACACAAGATGGCGACTCCTCTAAGAATCCAGTGGTCTGGGTTTTTGATAGTAGGCAACCATAAAGGTGTGATGAACGTGAGTCCAGTGCGCACAGGCTTCTTATATACTGGACACTGATAATCAATACAAACATGTTATTGATACTGTTTTTATTTTAAATATAGAAGAGTTCTTGATTATCCTATCTAATGTTACAATTAGAACAATGACATGATTAAAACTTGTAATTAATGCATGACTATGTGTTCAAAATTAAACTAAAAAAAGTCGAAAATGGGTTAATAGTAAACTTAACTTTCGATAAGTTTAGTTATTAAACAAAGGAATATAATAATAAGTATAAGTAAATAAACATAGATATGTCAAGCATTGCAATTCCAAAGTTTTACTGCCGAAACAACGACGTATCTAAGATTGTGTCATGTTATGTTAAGTTAGAAATCCTTGATATTCATACATATCAATTTAAGAAACCTTACCACTTGGTAATAAAAATATTAGAACTATAAAATAAGAACGTTTGATAAAATGATTGCAAATAAATGTACTAACACAATATAGGAGATAACCTCATTTACATATATTTTGATACTAATTAAATTCATTGTCATGTCTGATTATAATTTAATGAATGGAATTTATTGCCCCATGCCTATAAATGAAAGCGACTGCTTGAATAATAAAGTAATCATGATGTATACACATTTTAGTCAAATTACCTGATACAGTTTAGGGTCCTTGGGAGCTGTAGAGTTTATTGCGTATACGTGTATAACTGGTAATGGGGTGTATAATACTTTCAATGTTGACTCGCAAAGTCGAAGATTACGGCGATCCCAGCCTGCACCGTCGAGGAAGACTCCGTGTACGTAAACACCTTCCTGCATACCAATCGTTCTATATGTATTTATTGAAAGATAAAAACCCGTAGTACTGTAGTAAAACAATATTCATAAACATTATATAAACGGAATATTTACCATGATATTATTTATGAGCACCTGTTATTAAAAAACTAGAACTATTCTAAAAAGTAGAAACGATGTAGTGAGTGTGGTTAGTCGTGACTATGGAGACTATGGAGTGGTTTCCAGTGGTAGTGGTGATGGTCTACGTATAGAATAAGAATAGACTAGAATAGGCAATTTTTTAGGTCATATTAAATGTTTTCAACCAAAGCTGTAAATGGACGATTGGATGACCATTTGTATAAACTTAATACCAGGAGTTCATAAATTAATATCAACTTGGTAAATATCATGTTTCTATTAAGTGTACAATTCTATGTGAAAAAGATTAAAACAATATTTGGTCGAAACACTTCGTGTAATTGGAAAAGGCAAACAAAATCTTACAAAATAATCTTCTAATGTTTTAACATTTATTAAATATTAAAACAAAATTTGGACTACCTAACACACTGACGCTTGACGGCTGGTATGGAATATATCAATAGTCGCCTATATACATGAACAGCACTACGGATGTCAAGTCGTTATATAATACTAGTAGTGCCTTTTTTGCTTTACCATTCCTCAATACTACGGTCATATAATGCCCCAGTTTTCTATACAACACCTACAGCAATTTCAGGTAAAATATTAATAAATTGTAGGAATTGTTTACAAGGATAGTTATACAAAAATGAATTAGTATAATATTTACTGCGCTCCAACACGCAAATCGGTTAAATAATTTGGAATAATGATGTTAACGCACACGATTCTTGATAATCCAACTCTGTAATTATCCGAATTTTAATAACTTAAGAAATCATCGGAATCAACGTAATGGCCTCACCCTACTGCATTATCATAGAGGTCGGCGCAGTTTTTTTCCTTTTCTGTTAACGTTTTTTTATAATGTTCACGAAACTGATTACAAACTCCTTTCATTCACTGGTTCGAATAAAGTAAGTAAGTGCAAGCAATTATTATAAATGTGAATGTAAAAGTACCGGCGGAGGTGCTTTTATTTCCTCATATGTGAACTTCGTTACGTCATTGTGCAAGGTGACCATATCCAACGCCCAGCCTTTATGGGCTCGAGTTACTTCCTGACGCATAGCAGTCAAGAAACCTAGTACAATAATATTATTTATATATTACACATCCATACTAACATCAACATATAAATATCCAAGAGTGTCAGACTGTTACGTTTTCACGACTACAAGACAAAATGAATTTAAATGAAATACGTCAAATGAAGATAGATTAGATCATGAGAACAGACATAGACAATCTTTTAACTCAAAGAATTAGACGAAATTAAAGATAAAGTAACAAAATAAATTAGAGATTTAATTTCAATACAAAAATTATGCGTAATAATTACCTTGTGGATTGAAAAAGCCAGTCATCCAAAAAGAATTAGGTCTGGCTTGGAAGCACCATGATGAAAACTGAATATTTCTCTCGAGAAACTCCGTAAACCAAAATCCGAGTGTCGACGACGACCACGAACTTTTCAACCAAATTTTTGGCACTTTAGCATCATAAATATTATCTAGAGAATCACGGAGAGCCTGCACAGTTCAATGTTAATTTTAAGTAGAAGTGCCATCAAAATATTATTGTATATACAGTTATTTGATGTAATTAGCTCACCTCATTCATAATTATAGTACCATCGATTGCAAGTAGTAAATCTTTTAGAGTGGTTCTTACTAAAGATATCACTTTTTGCATCCGATCTATTTCTTGTCGCAAAAATATTACCATCGAATTCAGCATGCCGTAGTATCTTAGTCTGAAATTAACGAAACCACATAGATGTTTATTCGAGAATCTACAATCATATACTTCTAGATAATAACGATATTCTTAGAAAACTATTATAGAAATTAACCAAATCAATGAAACATTAACAACGTACCTATCTATACAATCTAAAAAATTTTAAACAACGTAGTAAACTACTTAATTAACTATCATAGTTATTTTAATGTATAACTGCAATAGCTATAACACATGTTTAGTTTATATAAATTAGTTGATATGAAGGTAACATTAAAAAAAATATTTTGCAAATATTATATTATCAAACATTTCTTAGTATAATTATATATCTTATATATAAAATACTCGAGTCACAGTTTTCGTTCCCATACTCCTCCGAAACGGCTTGACCGATTCTCATGAAATTTTGTGGGCGTATTGAGTAGGTCTGAGAATCGGCCAACATCTATTCTTCATCCCCCTAAATGTTAGGGGTAGTCCACCCCTATTTTTTTATTTTATTTTAACGCAAAACAATGTTTGCCGGGTACAGCTAGTATATATATATATATACCTCTCCTTAACTTCATGGGGGTCAAAATTAGGAGGCACTTTATCTAGCATTTCCTTGGCCTGTCTGTAAACTGATGCCTCTCTCGTCTCTCCGCCACCAGAGCTCGACTCTTTTGGCTGAATCGAGAGGATTGTATCCAGTAACTCTTGGGTCTTATTGCGTTGATATCTATAAAATATTCATGTGATAATAATTTTATATCTACACGACTATTATCATAAACGAAACAAAGTATTATTAACAGTGGACGTCACGGTGAAAGTAGACTTGATATGCCATATTTACCGAGTATATTTAAATTCTGTGTGAAAGATGGCGACCCTAAGTCCTATAGTCCCTTGGGTTAATTTTACAATTTCGGTGTTGAGAATCTTTTAGAAATTTTATTGATAAACAAAGTTTTCTTTTGGTATCGACCAGATTCAAACTCAAAATCTTGGGGATTAAATTCGAGTTATAATCATAAATTAAAAATATGCAAAATCTAATAATAACTTAAATTATATAACATACGTTATATCTGCATTCGTGTGTAGACCATAAGCCTGAGGTGGATCAACCGTCTTCATCTTCTCAATCTCCTCAATATATTCAGGGATATTTTTGAACTTCATTATACCGTAGTTTTTATAAAATTGGTAGTCCTCAGAAAATAATTGATCAGAGAACCACACTCTACAGAAAGTCACCAGCAGACGTGTGTCGTAGTCATCAGTCACCCGACCACCATATTGTACTGCAGATACCATGTAACTGTACACCAATAATATTATTTATACAAAAAGTCTTCCGTAAGTAAAATTACGTTTAAATCATGTAAATCATACCCTTTACTAAAGAAATAGCAATGAATTAAACGTGTATCATACAATGTACATACTGTAATAATTACTATTCATGTCAATTGGCCGTCTCCTTCCGGGGGGCAAATGTTATCCTAAAAGGAGTAGTCAAAAGCGTTCTCAACTGTCGATGTTCTGAACAGTTCCAATTCCAATTCCAATTTGAATATATGAACGTTACAACGTTGGATCAATTATACCAATAGAGTCGAGCCTACCACTGTCTCTTCTATAAATAGAAAATTATCACCGGAGAGTCAGAATCTTCAGTCATCCAAAAATATAAATTGACTAATAGTAAATCACTAGGCCATAACTCTCTCAAGAAAGAAGATGTAACAGGTACAGGTAAATTTACAAGATCACAGAACACACCGCACAGTTGTCCAACTTATAGATTGCCCAGGTTCCAATTGATCTAAATGATTTTGTATAAACATACAAGACGCCAGCCAGTCTGCAGAGTTAAACTCGTATGGAATATTCCATCCAAGCGGGCCAAACTTTCGTCTTTCTTGCACAACGGTATGCAGGAAGGAAATTGTGTAAATAAGTGGCAAGTAGAACGGACTGTCGCTGTAGTCGAGGAAGTCCTGACTCATGGAGTCGTAGGTTCTCATTAGACCTGCCTTTATACCTGAAAGTACAATTTATGTATGAAAATTCGGAAATAAAGTATATTACAACAATAAATATAAGAAAATAGAGCAACCAAAAAATATTTTATTTGGCAACGTACCTGAAGGTGGTTCACAAGTATACTTGATGGACATTTGGAGTAGAGTTATGGGAAACTTATCGTGAACTTCCGTAGTTATCCACAGTCTAAACGTCTCATGTACTTTTTCTGGCTCTTTTTCCAATTCTGCAAACTGCTCCATAATCTCTACCATGTATTCTAAACCTAAGTGGCAGTTTTGTAGTAATACCCATAGACCCTGAAAACATACATATTTTATTTTCTGTTTATGATTTAAAAATCATTTATATAAAAAATTACATGCAATTATAGAGTAGCACATATTGCGAAGTTAAAATTTTAAATATCTATTCGATATTTAGATTTTAATAACAAATAAATTAATAAGTTGTTAATTTAAAATTTCTATTCTATATTAATGTACTAATAAAATATAATTACTACAAGTACCATACCGCATACTAAGGGAGAAAAAACGAGTTTCCTGAACATGCATAAGACTAGTTATGAAATTGAATGAAGTAAGATGTGTTTAAGTTAATATCCTTTAATTTGCGATTCTCTGTGTACCTCATGTAGCACAAATTATGAAGGCAGATAAATGTCAGATAATAACTAATATAATATTAAGTTAAAATAGTATAAAAAAACCTCTTTCAAAGCTCGATCTATAAGCTTCCTCGCGTGAATCTCTTGCCCTTGGCCCATCGATATCGAGGAACAAAGACACTCCAAACGTTTAGCTGTAGTTTCAATAGACGGCGTTGGATCAGATCCCATTGCAAGAAACCCAATTAGCGGGACGAGAGGTCGTGATTCCAGAACCATTTGCTAAATAAAACACTAAGTTTAATTCACTTCCCATAAAGATCAACTATTCTTATGAGTTTGCAAATTTCATATATATATTTATACATTACTACCATAATTCACCTTTAGAAAAAATAATATGAATTTTAAATATTTATTAATAAAATGTTACACAAATAAAGATACTTTCTCTAAGTCAACCATAGAGCAACAGAGATTTATGTGGACAATGAAAATAAAAAAAAATAGCAATGTAAGAAAACTATAATTCACATGAATATTACACACATCAAAAATTATACATAATTTTCAATAAGTAATTATTATATACTAGTACATAGGTATAATACATTAAATATCATGAATAAGTAAGACCTTGATACTGATGGAAACGTATAAACTTTGTATACCCGATATATAAATTGAAACATGGAAAAAATATTATATTACCTCATAATTAACAATAACCGCTTCAGAGAATCTAGCACCCATTGAAAATACGACGTATTTCCTAAAAAAATGTTTACATTTATTTATTATTTATTAAAAGATACATGTAAATTAATATAACAGATAACATCAGCGTTTCTTTTTTCATAGTAAAGTTTCTTTACATACATGTAGTTCTTATCTCATATCATTTACAAACTCTGTGCAAACATCAAGCTTTATTATCTATTGCAGAACTTAAACCTTGTAAAAAACTTAGTGGTACTTACAAACTTTGTGCAAGTGTTCTATCAGGACACCATGCACGTACGATCAATAGTTTCCGGAACACGTCCAGAGAGTTATATCCGTCGGGCAACGGCTCATCTTCAGGTGCTTCTTTGTCAAACCTAAATACAATTTAGAAAAAAAGATGTTCTTAACTGAAAGGTGTTTTCTAACTTGGCTTTTCATTTTAAAAAAGAAACTTTCAATAATCAGAAAGTACCGGCTTTCAATATAGGTAAATGAAAATTATATAACGTCACTGTTGTCCTATATGGTGTAATCAAGACGTTATCAACTATCGACATGGAAGTGAACGCAATAATTAACAAGCCCGCATTTCGCTGGGTATATTTGAATTCAATATGGTAGATAGCATAACCTACCGCCATTTCTTATATCAAGGTTCGTAGTCGGTGTGTTTCCACCACAGGAGAGTCAGTGACAAATATAAATTGAGACACAAAGTACATATAGGTCTATTGGTATAAATAAAATTCAAATCAGTCTACGTTGGGCCTACACCCTCTAAATATAGATAAAACGTCAATAACTCACCAATTTTTCCAACCCTTTTCATTGTTAGTAACTTGATTAAGAATATTTGTGTACTGTCGAAGTTCTGATAACTGCACCAAATTTAACCAAGACATATCTGTTACCCATTTAAATGGTTTGGGTGGACACGCATTTAGATCTAAAGCAGCACCTCCTACAACATATATGTAATTACACGCTTCTTTATAGAATATAAAATAAATGACTATGCAGTGGTAATAGAATACTACTAATCGTCTTTACTCATAAAATATAATGTAATTTATTAAAATTTAAATTATATTCTAACCCTTTATCAATATTTGGAATTCATCGTAGGTTATGTATTCCTTCTGCAAGTCTATCTTCAGAGTAAGCAGCAGTGTAAATAAATACTTGTGTTTCTCGTAAAATCCTCGACTTATATATTTAAATACGTCGTAAGTCTTGAAAATAATTAACTTCAATTAGTAAAAAGATATTGCAAAATCTATTACAACAAGTACAACAAATACATATATCACATTAATTTAATTTTATTGTTAGTTATTCATATTATATCATAGTATTAACAATATTATTTAATTGCAACGGTATCTGTAGTAAGAATTTTTAGGCTTTATAATGAATTATAGTTATTATCTAAACTCTTTTTACTGAATACATTTCCTCTACTTAAGCCTCATTTAAGTATATCTACTACATAAAATCTATTACAAAGACTAACCAAATAATCAATGATGAATGCAATTCTTCGACTGGTGATAGGGCTCTGAGGAGATCGTTCCATAGATATGTCGAACCGCTCTAAAAACTGAGCCAGCGATGTCTGATACATGTTACATACAAGCGACATATTGCAAATTAAGAAGTACAGCACTGAGCCACGAGTTGCCACCGGCCGGAACTCTTCTCTAGCAGCGTTGATCTTTATCTCAGTTTCTTTTGCTACATCCAGTTTTTCTTTTACCTGAAGATCGTTCAAATAAAAGGTGCAGAAAACCACAATAACAAAACCAAAATGTATATATGAAACGGCAGTAGATTCGCCCCTGCCACTTCAGATTGAAGTATACCCAAATATAGGCTACCTTACTATTAATAAAAAATATTTACGATTTATCAAACTAATATTCACAGTTTGGAGACAGTCGGATCTGAATACATTCAGAAAAATGTAGGCATGTCAAGTATTGCGTTCACCATCACACAAAAATCCTAAAGGTATTATTACAACTGCTATCCCATTTAAGGTTACCAGTGCAAAGTCTGACACGTCAGCCATCAGGAATTGAAACGCATGATCAATACCACTTGTGCCAAAATATATTCTGGTTAGCGTTTCTAATATCTTTAATAGACGGTTAGGTACTATTTCTTAACTAATAAACTATTTGATAATAAAATATGTAGGTGTTAAAAATACAAGATCTCACGTACTTCAGTGGCCGTAGATTTAGTGACATTAAGCACTTGTATCAAAGATACGTCCTCAACCAAAGAGCCCTGTATAGTGGTCAGCTTGTGTAATAAGTTTGCTTCTAATTCTTGCATTTTTCTGCGGTTAGCGGTCACGTCCATTATTAACTGAGTGCGTTCAGCCTCCATTTCTGCCTTCTCCGTTAAAATTACTCTTCCCAGTAACTGGTCTTCCAAGCCTGATTACATTATTATAATATACTACTATGATTTACAAAAATTCTCAACATCGGATGACCTCGGTGATATAGCGGTAACTTTCGATGTTCGCGAGTTTATTCCTCGTACGATGCAAACACTACGTGTGTTTTATGAATACAATACGAGTTTATGAATACGAGTGTTTGTATCGATCTCAGTTTGCTCTATGTGTATTATGTATTGATTTACAAAAAATAATAATTTAAATATTGCTATCAGTTGTCTAGTGACCATCATACAAACTCTGTTTACCTTTGGACTAGATGGCGCTATGTAAACTGTCCAAAGTTATTATGATTATTTTAAAAGTACTAACATCTTTATGAAAATGCATTAATTATGAATGTGTTATAGAGAACTAATTACTGATAACAATAGCGCATTTCCTATAGGTATACATCAATGTTATCAAAAAGAAGATCTATTTATAAGAAAAATATCAGTGTTCAAGGAAAAAATTCCCGGAAAACATCGTACGTATATACAACATAACAATAGGTGAAGCTACTGAACATTAGATTTAGCATGACGATGGCGGATTGTTATTTCGCAGAATTCCAATATCATACCTTGCATTGTAACAGTAAAGTCGATTATTGAAGTTCGTGCCGAAATCTCAGGAGTATAGGCGGGGTTGGGTAGTTTCGTTGTTATGTAAATCTTATGACCATGGGTCACGTCGATTTCTTTGTCACCCAGTTTCACCTAAAAATATATAAGATACATCTTACTTCGAACTTCAATGACAAGAAAATCAAAGAAAGTTAGACATACCTTAAAAGTAGATCCGATTTTTATATAATTACGTTCCAATATATTATCTAGTGCGGGGTCCAATTCTTCAGCTACATCTTCAATTAACAACGGTCTACCGAGTGAAACGCAATCTTCTATATGGTTTCTGAAAAATAAGGACAAATAGAATTCATATAATACACGCACGTGTAGTTTATGTAGACATCGACTCTAAATGTGCCTCTAAATTAATTCAGAGCAAAATAAAGTGAAAGTATTATTCAGTTCACATCAATGTATTTTTATCATCATAGCTTATTTTATTATCCCATTTTATTTTTACTGAACTTTGAGCTTATGTACTGTTTACACCAACATTATATTAAAAGTTTCCTCAGAGTAATAACTTATTTGTGCATTCAATACTGAGTATACTTTATTCTGTGGAATACCAGAGAATAATAATAGTTAAATATAGTAGTATAATAATAGTTACAATAAATAAATATACGTAACATGAATTTACTAGCATGTAGATTAAATAAACAAAATGGTACCTGAAAGTATAATAGGATGTAAACTGACCTAAAATATTTATGATTTAACGTAGTAACGATGAGGTCATTAAACTTCTCCATATTCTTTATCCAGATTTTTCCTTGAGTCTGCGGGTCGATGAGCAGCGGGAAACGAGACGCCTTCGTTACGATGATGCCGTTTTGAATTGACAGCTCGTCTGTCGGTAGTCCGCATAAATTCCAATCACCAATCTATAGAATAATTAGCTTTATGAGAAAACTGATAGTTTTATGAATAAAATTAATATACCAACATTAGTAAGTCCGAAATAGTAGGTACATACCGAATATTCTATTTAAATTGGGGTATGTTTTATTACATCTTCATACTAATATTATAAATTCAAAAGTGTGTGTGTCTAATTTTTACCTTTTCACATCTAAACACACACAACTAAACGACGAAAAGACGAAGTTGCAGGTAAGAGGTAGAAAGTAACTCATCTCACCGCCTGATGGAGAACGGCAGCGAATGTAGTGCAAATAATAATATCCCAGGACAATTCACACAGCACCAACTAGTCCCAAGCTATGCAGAGCATGTTGGACAACTGATATAAATACTTATACTTTTTTTTTGTATATACTTAAAACACCCAGATTGATACAATTATACGCATGAATACAAATGGTAGTTAAGTAAAAGGTGTGCTAAACCGCTAGATCACCGAGGCCGTCAATTATGAGAATAGACGCTAACCGTAGCTGTATCCGTGAGTTGGTCTGTGATATTCAAATTCATAGAGACAGGTATTTTCCTTCGCAACAGTTCAGCTAACCAACTGCCTATCAATAGCGAACGGAATTCTTGGTTAAAAGGTCCAGAATACGATAGAAACCTGTAAAGTTATATTTTGTTAGAATTATTACTGAAAATGAAACATATAGATATAAATAAATAGAAATAAATAAATGAAACGTACGTACATTGTTATTGGTTTTGCCTATACAAATAATATTAAAACATATTCGGAAAAATGTACTTATCGTTCAAAAAGAAAGTACTAGATAAAGTTTTATATCTGAGAATTTGGAATTTTGCCAAGAATACTAGAAATATATCTATAGTCATTACAGTTTCTACTTAATAATATAGGTACGTAAATAACACTAAAACCATGCATGCATACTTAACGTCGTAAATATGTCCATAATATTATAATAACCACATATACCTACCACATAGTGCTCTACATACATAGCTCCGACCAACGTTTAATGATAATATTATCAAAATAGATTTTTATCTCCATCGTAACGATTAGGGTCATGACACAGGTCAACACACTCGTATTACGCATTGACCTTAAAACTTTGAATTTCATATGAGAAGAATATAAAATTTGATTGGCCGATAGGAAATAAGTGGAAGAATAATAATCAAAATTTTGTCAGTTCATACTTGTACAAATTATACTATAATCCGCACATTAATCGCTCCATGGTTATAACTAATTTTAATAAGTCATTTAATAAAATTCATTTAGTTGTTTAAGTTTTTTTTTTTAATATACGAGTACAGTATGTAACTGAAATGGCATGTGTGCGTGATGGAAAGTGCTCACCGTCACCTATAAACATGACCAGTACAACGGTCATCAAAAATGTATGTGATACCATTCCTGATGACTAATATGCTATACCTCCGTACACAGCAACCGTAACTCCCATATCTCACCCTTTTAAACTGAAAAAGAGGTTATAGACACTAGATCCAGGTCTTCCGCGCCTCGATAGGAGGGTGCAGATAGGGCTCTATACAATGCTTCTACATGAGTACCTTTGATGCCGTTGCCCCGCCATCAACCCTAGGGGCAAAATTCTGCCTCACCTGAGACTGGCATTGCCCCCAGAGTTGTTGGCGAGACAAAGAGGCAAACTTTGTAAAGCTAGTTGCTTTGTAGCAGGAAAAGGTGAAACAGTACAGACCTTTGTAAAAGACTTAGTTTAGTACAAAGTCTCTTTCGGTCGAAAACGTTGCCCCAAATATCTTACATACATACATATACAGATGTAAAATAATGGATGGATGGTAGGGGAAGGGGTGGGGGGGGGGTGGATTGTCAGCAACGTGGACTAATAAACCCATTGCCAACAATATACAATGTCAGGTTGACTTCCACGCGATTCTCTCTGGAAACCATTGTGATAAATTCATGGCCACACTGGGCTAACTGACCTGACCTCATGTTTATCTTATCCTCCACTGATACCCCACCAGCGTAAATCGTTAGCGTGGATGTGCGCATTATTCCATTATCAACCAATAAAGAAAACATACCCAGTGAGCAACAATATATCGCCGACCAGCCTCTCTATCTCCGATTTGAACAGCGCCGACTGCTCCGTCCACCGAACTCTTTCGCCACTAAGACCATTAATAAGTGCAGTGGCGGCATCCATCTTCTGCTGGCACTTGGCTGCATCATCCAGTACAGCTTGTTTCAAAGCCATGGCGTCGTCGAACTGCTTTTGTACTGCAGCCAACTCGCGCTATAATTAGTAATGCTTTTAAGTTGCATATACCTCGAAATATCGAAATATCAATATTGCTGGATTGAAGTATTTCAGCACTATAATTAAAATAAAATATTTAGGTGGAAACGTTTAATGTAATATAATATATATATATTACGAATGATCATCTCTTTTGAGAACCCACTCCAAAAAGAGAAGAAATTATTTTTTATGTAAGTATGTTATATAGATGTTACGCATCAGTCTCTCCAATTGTCAACCAATACGAATTATTGTAATTGTTATGTAAAAAAAATCCTTGCATGACAGTCGCATTATTATTTATTTGGTAATAATCGATAATAGTAAACACCTAAAGTAAAAAATATTAAATTTTACTTGAAAATACCAATAATTTTAACCGGTCTATAAAAAAATGTGTATACAAAACGTTGCTGTAATTACAATTATTCGACTAATAAATCCACAAATATCATTAATAAACATTATTGTACAACAAAAAGTGGATCGCCCGAACAGGGACTTGAACCCTGGACCCTTGGATTAAAAGTCCAATGCTCTACCGACTGAGCTATCCGGGCTGTGAGTGTTGTTACGAAATTTATTATTACATTAATAAATACAAATACTGAACTCATTGAAACCAACATAAACTAATGAAAAATTAATAATATCATTACATGACACTCAGGGCAATAAATAAATCCAGTAATATTTTGTTTGGCCGTTGGCAACGAAATAGTGAAGCCGCCTGCGCTAACGGTATACTGCAGCGGCCAGACGCGGCGCGGGCGGGACCCTAATAGGACACGAACAGTATGATCACAAAGTTAAGATAATTATCTCGTGCATTGTGACAACTTCTTTGGTTTCCAGAGAGTACCACTTTGAAATTGACTTCATGTGTAATGTATATTTCAGCAATGCCGCTACAAGCACAAATTACTAACAATAAATCTATCCCCTTTACTCTTCTCTAGTAGGCTAGGAGAGATGAGAGATTTCATTAAAAGTAATGACATATAGACCCTAATACATTTCCAACGTTAGATTCTATTATTATAGTTTTTTCCTACTATCCATTTACAAAATCATATACTTACCTATCTAATATTTAACAAACGTTCAACAATATATAACATTGTTAGTCTTTATAGGCCTACTAGGTGAGAAAAGAAAAGACCAAGGGAGAAATGAATGAAATTGAAGAAAACACTAAGCATAATAAAACATAAAAAGAAATCATGAATGAACGTTACTTTACAACGTACAAAAAGTGAGCTTTACCGGTATTTTCTCAACATGGGCATATCGTAATAAAATATTAATTACTTCTTTTTGACCATATATGTATTATTAGATATAGGTATACCGACAGTGTAATTTGTAAACTACAAATAAGTCCTTAGTTCAGCAGGTATAAATATAGAATGTAAGTATAGTTTAAAAGTTTATATTGTTTACTTGAAGATTTTACACCTCCCAAAAACATTGTTTAGACCACAATTCAATCTTTTTTTTGTCAGACTTTTTTCCCTCGACGCCGGCTCTTTTCGTATTCTTTGTAATCGCTTCATTGTGTTTCCGATTTACTATGGTCTGTCTTTACTAAATTTTTAGAGTTGTGTGCTTCAAAATTTAGAACTATATCCTTAAGCTTTGTAGACGTTTATTTTATAGATTCAAAGATATTATATCTATACAATGTTTTTTTTCAGTCAGTACATAAAGAAGACGTAATATGATATACATTATTAAGTAAACATTACGTTTAACAACTGACAAAACAATATTACCATATTTATATCGCAATGTATGCAAAACATTATCACATTACAATCACAATTAATGTTGACGATATGAATAGACTTCCATTCGCGTAATGGTAAAGTCACTTTATATTAATCTTATTTCTTTTAATGCACTACCATGGTATATTATAAGATTATATTTTTATTTCATTTCATTATTTAATTTAATATTATACACATATTTAGGTCCAATTATATATACATACCTTAATAACTAATGTCTATAGAATACAATAAAATATAAAGAGATATGAAATAATAGGCATATGAAATCCTATAGCAAGAACGGATGGTCAGGAAAAAATAATAATATAATAAATTTACGTTCATAAGCCGCTATAATGTCCTACATGAAAAAAAACTATTTCATCTACTTTATGTAAGTTTCATGAATTAATTCAGTAAATAATCGAAACGGAACCTGAATTGTGAGTTACCAATTAGTTTAACCCGTTTTTTTACTATTGTATGAACGAGGTTCCTTCCATTCAAGACTTTTTATCCGCATGTGGCCTTTCAATAAAAGAGCACTATGGTTATTTATTCCTATGAATATAACAGTAATACTCGTATAATTTTATACATTATCACAGTCATATGAGTTTTTTTATGAGTAGTTAAAAATAATGCTAAAGGTAAAGACAAATAAGAAATTTCTTTTTGGATCGAGTTTCCTGCATGGTTATAAAATATTGAGTAACAATGAATTGAGAACTACTTCTTTTTGGAGTTGGTTGAAAATAATTGGCGAATTGTATTTAGATGTATGTATTAGGTACTAAGAAATATGCCGTAATTTAACTGCTGTTTATTTATTAAAACTTCAATGCACAAATGATTACACAAATTAAAATGCACACAGCAGACTTAACACTTTGAGGCAATTACGAGGCAATTACATATTATCTCATTTTTTAACCTAAACAAATCTTAAAAATCAAGCTAGTTCGCGATTGAAATAGGTGAAGCTATAAGACCTAAAGCAGACAACTTTTTACCATATCTGCTAAAGCACACATACCTAATTTACCGAAGTAAATGAAAGAACTAACAAAATATTATTTTGACAGGCTCGGTGGTCTAGCGGTTTAGCACGCTATAGTTCCGCGTCGCGCGTTCAATTCCTCGCACGGTGCTAACTTTTGTACTCATGAATATGATACTTTGTATCGGTCTGGTAATTTTTAATGTACATTATGTATTTACAAAAAAATATCGAAGTATTTATATTATAAATAAAATATTTTTTAACTGATATACATTTTATATCAGTTGTCTAGTATCAATAACACAAGGTTTGCTTACCTTGGCGCTGTGTTAATTGTCCAGGGTTATTATTATTTTTGTTTATAATATTAATGTATTTTTTTTTCATCTAACCTCCTTCGCTTGCAGCTGAGCTTCAGCCGACTCGAGCTCTCTCTTTGCGGCCTGGTACTTGCCCTGCATAACTGCTAAGTTGGCCTTCAAAGGCAGGACGTCCTTATTCACAGAGTAGAACTGTGCCATCGCTATGGTCCATGAAATAAGACCGGCGACATTGCCGCATGCTACTTTAGCAGCTTCGAATGTGTATTGACTATATTAGAACAATATACAATACTCATTAGTAAACAATAGGTATATATATTTTTCATGGTGTCGGTGAGTTTTGGTTTAGCACAATGCCTTATTTCCAATGATTGTGGTTTCGAAGTATTGTATAGTTTATTTTTAATTATTTAAAAAATATATGCATATAAATTAAGTATTTCTATCAGTACCTCAGTACCTGTAGAAGATAATCTACATAGTATGGGATTACATAGTGTTGTGTGAATTTAGTAGCAACAAAATGACGACTTATTTAGAAAAGTAAATAAAATAAATCATTAGTAAAAATAATTTAGAAGAAAATTATACGGTTAAATACGGTCTTACATTTATCGTAAAAAGTTCATTTTTATTATGCCTGATATATTCTAGTTACCTGAAGTTGAAATAAGGTTGCAATAGATCAACCATTTCAGCATTGATCTCGTCCTTTGGATAAAACTTTAAATTATTTAAGAATCTTGAATCTGCCATTACCTTAAATATACAATATTAAACAAATTGACATAATTTTATTTTATTAAACACATTCTTAAAACAATAATCATGGGAAATCAAATTACTAGTGTCAATACATTATAGCTATAATCATATGTTAATTAATAACTTTTTTTATTTATATAAATAAATATTCTCAGATATATTAGATATTACCGCTTCGTAACGTAACGAATTCTATCCAGAATTATGTAATTTATTACCTTCAGAGACTCTGCCCAAGAAGCCATCAAAAATTGTTTCTCAGGGTCAGGCTTGACAGTGTCAATTCGTTTTCGGAATAGCAGTATGACAGCATCCATAATTAGTGTGATGAGATACGGCGGCTTGCCCAATTTCCTCACAGTCGCAATGTCAGCGGCATTAATTGTCTAAGTAAAAGACGATTATTAATCTTCCTAATATTATTTCATAAAGTGCGAACATTAGGTATATATCCAATCTAAATAGATTGGATATATATTGGTCGGTAAGTTAATAGGTACTGAAGCAGAAGAGGAAACGCCACTACACGTCTTATGTGGTTGTAGCCCACTCATACATATAAACGAAAATCTGCTTTAGAAAGTATACACTCAATCCTCATGAGATAAAAACCATTGCTCCTAAAGATATCCTTAAATTCTTGTCCGTCACGGGTCTAGGTAGCGAGATTTTACAGGTCGTAGTGTCATAGGTCTTAGCACCTGACAATAGCCCAAAATCTCTAATAATAAAAAAGTTATTCCACTGATCATAGTGAACACCTACAGAAATATTTCATTATATTCACAAGGAGTCTATTGCTATAGTTTTTAGTCAGGCGCTTCGCAGTTATTTCTTTATTCGGAAGATATCCATAAATTACGTCACACGAATTTCGTGTTTTATGACCCGTCCCTTGTCCACAGTTAGTCTCATTAATGAGACTCTTCCCTCCCTGGTGTGACGTCACACATTTAGTATATTAGTGTTAATAGTACCTAGTTAGTTCAAATTTTGTATTTTCATACTTAGATAGATATATTAGATTTTAAAATGTGCTATCACATAATTGTCCATACATTTTCACACTTTGTCAAGCCCCTCCTTAATGTGTGACGTAATTTATAGATGGCCCCTTGTTTAGTGACCATGCTGCACTAAATTCTATTTCACACACACAGGAGTTGTCATAAAAAGTATATGACGTCGAAATCCAGAAATACTATAATATATATATATATCAAATAGAATTGAATAACTTTTATTAAAAAAAAAAAAAAAAGAAATAAGACAATAAATTTGGAACTTTTCGGACTACATTCAGGTGATCGTTTTAAAGTGAAAGTTTTAACTTTTTTCAATTTTACGCGTTGTTTCTTTAGTCGTTGTCGACTTTCATGAATACTTATACTACCACTGCGTTTTCGTTACTTATACCCCTTTACGTCTAACATATATACGTGACTACTTCTAAGCAAACCTGTAAAGCAGCTTCAGCTGCTTCAAGAGCTGGTTTAGCTGCAGCCAGCTTCTCCTCAGCGACAGCAGTTTCCGCAGCGATTACGCTGACCAGGTTCACGGCGCGGTCCTTCACTTCCAATACCTCTGCCTTTACCACTTCAGCAGCAGCTGCCGACTCTGCTACAGCCGCGAGTACCTACGATCAGATTAATCAATACTCTACATTTCTGGACAGAATCCTGTTTCTAAAACCATTTGTTTTTTAATGTCCCTTAATAATTTATGTATAATTTACACTCATACCTCTTCGGCCTTCGCTGTCGCCTCTTTTATTTCAAGCTCTTTTACTTCCAATTCCTTTTTCAAAATATCAACGCTAGCAGCGGCTTCGACCAATTTGTCAAGGCCAGTTGTCATCCTAATATTAAATATAAATTATAAATTGTTTTCATACCTACTTTAATTAAAAACAACAAAGAATATAGGATTAAACTTTACATAAACAACAATTTAATACCGTTAAAATCGCTCTACCGTTGAATTCGAATAATACCGATGTTACAGCATGTTAACAACATGTGTGGTATTCCCAAGCTAGTTCCCGGGAGGTAAAATATTTTTGATGATTTACGAGTCTATTGTATTGAATGAGTAGCGCACGCGAAGTTGATTGTCTAAAGTTTCACCATATGGGCTACTATCAGGACGAATTATTTCAATACTCTTTTTAAAATTACTATTAAATATCTTCATATTTCATATATATTTAGACATTCGATGATTTTTTTAAACAGACTTTGAAGTTGTAACATTTATTATAATTAAAAGGTACCTTGAATAAGTTTAGTTTATTATTATTACTACAGTTTCTACGAACAAACCTCCTTGCCATTTCTGCAATGTTCATATGCTTTTCCTTGTACAAAACTTTGTACCCTTCCAAGAAGGATAAATATGACTTGGGAGTGACGTGCGTCTGCCTCCTGAATCTATCATAATACATAGTGCATGTGTCGGCCACATTGTCCTGAACCATGCCCATAATTTCGATCAACTGCAGCTTTGTCTCCGCAGAACATACTACCTGTTAACCGAAAATGTAATACGATTTTTATGTACTTTATGATCTGAAATAGCAAACGAGATGAGTTCATCGCGGTATTATATACATAGACCACTGATATCACAGAATAGACTAGACATCTCATACATGAGATGTCTGTCTCCAGTAATCTGCGATACCTAATCGGTCTTTAAATCAAAACATAGATAAAGTCAACTGCAGCTAAAACAGAGAAACAAGCGAATAACGAAATAAATGTACTAAATGAATCAACAGACCACATGAATAAAGACAAATCCAAATCGTAATAAATAACTTGAAGAAAAGAATTTTATTTTACTAACATGGAAGTCGGCCAAAAAATGAGATGCTACTTCAATTAGCGCCACCCTTGGCCATTTCTGGAACCAATCCATTATAGACCCGGATATGAGGCCAGGGAACTTCAGGGCTCTGCTTCGGAATTTTTCACCGACCTTCAAAATACAGATATTACAATTATGGTGAGATCTTGATTTGTCCCTTTTACAGTTCATAATTATTTATATATACTAATACTGTAGTACAAAGAGATAAATTTGTCATTCTACATGTTTTGGGGTGATCTCCGGTAGTACTGATTCGATTTTGAAAATTCTTTTAGTGTTACATAGCCCATTTATTGATGAATACTATACCGCATAGTATACCTTAAGACTAATAGGAGTGAAGCTGCGATGAAAAATGTTGAAAAACGGGAATGTGACGCAGACGATGTTGAGCAATTCATGTAGTAATATATAGTCTACTTATTAATATACAACAGACACTACTAAAGTAATTAAATACAGGAATCACATTATATAGGGTATATTTAATGTGTTTAAGAAAAATACAGCATAACATACCGGCGAGAAACACAAAACGACGTGCAAATTTGACCTAGATCGCATAATGAAGTATTCATAAAGAACGTCGGGGACTGGAATTCTTCTAGGAGCATATTTCTTCATTATTGGAGTTAATTCATTTAGTATCTCATCTAGTAAATATAATACAAACATTCAATTTACTTACAAGATATAATATTAAACCGATAAATCAAGTTCAAATCTATTACATAAGGAGTGTTCACTTGATTACATTAACTAAACAATTTCATTTCTAGAATTATCTGTTGCTCAAATTCATATTGAATACAGTATATTATAAACATATATTGTTAATTTGAAAAATGAAATTACTTTAGACTAAATAATATTTACCCATTTCATCTTTAGGGAACAAATTAGCTATTTCTCCTGAGCTGAGAATATTATTCAAGAACTCCAAAAATTGCTCGTCCTTTATATCATTATCAGTAAATATAAACGTAATACCCTGCCCCTGGAGCCCAGCTACTCTATACAAATATTTTATATCGTCCATGAAATTGTTCACGTTATATGATCTAAAAGAACATTACGTGTATAAAACATTTGAAGTAATTTTAATTCTGCATAACGCTGAGGTTGTAAAATGTAATAAAATTATCACTATATAGCGACTATAACTATTATATCTTTCAGAAAACCGAACTTAAAGTTGTTAAAACTTTTATGAACGTGCGATATGACTAATACGTAACTGTGACGGATTTTTTTATGAAACTTACTTTACGGATAAACAATAATTACCATCAGCATTTCAGCCAGTCACCATTCACTGCTGATCTCTTATCTGTATAAGATAAGATGCTGGATTCATGCAATACAGAATTTTATAAACTCACAATAGTAATTCACGTTGACTATAAAAATTTACCTTGATAGTGTAATCTGATAAAATGAGAAGTTTGCTATATAAGAAGCTAACTTAGTCAAACTCTGTTTGCCAGATCCTCCGACGCCTACTAATAAAGCGTTACCTCTGAAATTAGAACAATTCATTGATTCATATTATCATTTCAAATCATTATGGTAATGGAAAAAAATATAGATATTAAGTGAAAAACATTTTTCTTACCGTGGAGTATTTATAATTCTGGATATAATAAATAGGTGCACCATAGCGTCATGGAAAAATACGAGATCTAAGTGGGCACCTCTGATTTGATCATTAAACTGTTCTTGGAATTGGCCCAGCTTCATCAATACAAAGTCCCATCTAAAAAAGTAATATTTAAATCAAATATACCTATTTCTAGAGATCAAGCAAAAATTTATAATACATAAGTGTAATTCCTTTCATTATATAATATAATAATAATATTTAATTTATCCCACTTCTTTAGAGAAATATATAGTGAAACTGAATAATTAGGTTAATCTTTACGCAGGTAGCTCTTCATAAATTTTTGGCGCGTCAGTACTAAAATCTTCATCCTCATCTCCCGTCGGTTCTACCGGTTCTCGCAGGAAGTTCACAAAGAAAGTTTCCTGGTCGGGAAACTCGCTTGCCACATCTGGTAACTCTTGCGCAGCTGTTTTCCAAAAGTTAGCCACGAACCAGTCCTTATCGTCAAAAGTTGTAAATCTGTAAAGTTAGTTGCAATAAGCAAATGTTAGACAGATGGTTGTGATTGTAATACAAACCGGAGTGACTACCAAACTGACGGCCTACCTGGTGGTAAGTAACAAATACAATTCTCCTCTAATATACATGAAAGGCGTAACTATAAGGCACCTTTAGTGCCGTTACGGTGGGCTAAGATATACTGCCTCGTATCCTGTATTTTACTGCCACATCTTCTCCGCAAGTAAAACGTCCAAAAAGAGAACTTGAAAAGGGGGACAGATATATACAATACAGACCTGCAGTCTACTCGCGTAATCTACGGTTTGTTTCAATTTTTTATTTTTCGTACCTGTCAGAAATAACCCTTAAGCATTCGTGGAACCACAGTTTAAGAGCGGTCTTAATAGACGGTAACTCTTCTCTTTTGATAAATAGGATACCTTCCCATATGCGAGACAAATCACGAAGGTTGAACACATAATGAAATTTAGCTGGTGTTGGTAACATCTTTACCTAAGAATTATACAAACAAACATTAGAACTACCTTAAAAGCGAAAGAGCAAGGTTTAAAATGAAGCGTTCCATTTATCAATAGTATTGATAATAATAAATCAATACGTGTAACGTAATTAACACCTTACCTTTGTTTGTTGCCAAATAATCCGAGTAACTGGCACTAATCTAGGCATAAATTCGACGATTTTCTTATCGAAACGTGATTTGCAAAAATAGCCAGCGCTGATTGTTTCTGAAAATTTAAACCTAGTTATTATATCAAAACATCGTTATATAATATGGAATGTTAATAATTACTTTTTTTATTATAAAGACTTTAATAATTGGACTTTACAAGTTCTCTCTTTAATGACTGATAAGTCTTAATATGAAAACAACGAAACGGCAGCTATCATACTCAGTCTCAAGTAGGTTTTCAGAATCAAGTAGGTAGGCTCCTTATTACCTATTTCATTAGCTTTATAATCTATAATTAAAAATGTCTATATATACCGATTCCATGCTATAGAGTAATACATATAGAGTATAATTTTATTTACCAAAGATTCTATCCATTGAAATAGTACTTGGCAAAGTGCAATTAAATATGTTAAATTGCCGTTTCAAACGAGGAGGTATATCGTTTCGACCACCACCTGTATATTAACAAAGTATAAATTGCATATAAATTGTAAAATTGCTTAACCTTTAAAGTATAAAACAAATTCGCATGCACTGTCTGTTCGCTTATCTATATCTTTTCAATTACGCAACGGATTTTAATGTCGTTTCATATGTACCTATAATACATACGTGTTACAGTATATAAGTCGCTAGTTCTGTATAAATCGTAAAATAGGTTAATAATAAATAAACAAGAAATAAAATTATTAATCTCGCACTAGCCTGGATGAATCATTGCACCAAACATTTGTATATCGGCAATAATAATAAAGTCTCCAGGCTTCTCTAATGAGTAGAAGCCTCCACACTCCATCATTTGACGCACTATTTCATTTGTAACCTAAAATCAGATAGCATCAATAAGTAAACAGCGTGCGTTTTATTTTTCGAAAGCAGTCCATTTATAAAGTCCTATTCTCTATACCATCTATGCTCACTTGTAGAAATGTCACAAAAGAGAATAGTAAACTTGACTGAAGAAACTGAGGACTTTATACCAAGACGTTAAATTTATTACTGACTTATTATTATTATTCATATTTCTATACATTCTACGGCTATTACAATTACCCATTAGTACTAATGCTTTCTACCTTCAATGACTTAGTGAAATGTACTATATTTTCTTATTACGTACAATTTTCCAATTTTTTCTTGGAATATTAAATACAATATGTAAAAAAACCATTTTTGTTAACCGTTACCAATATATGTACATATGTACAGTAAAAATAACAGTTAAGAACTATTTCAAGGTGACCTTAATAGTATTTGGTTTAGTATATTTCACAACTGAACTGTTAAATTGTGTAAATTACCTGATCACCCCACTCGTTGACAATGGGCATATTGATATCGTCTACAAACACAGTCATGCCTCTTCCACCAGGTGGGCCGTAAGTCATACCAACACGTTTTTCAACGTACGACTCTACGATTCTCTGTAATGCAAAATGGAGATTTTAGTGTATATTTCTCGAATTATTGAAATCTAAACAAATTATTAGGGAATTTTAGTTTCATTTCAATAAGTATTTTATTAAATATCCTTTTAAATCTTACTTGAAACATATTAGGCGTGGTGGCTGAAGAAAAGTTGATCATTTTGTACAGCTTAACCTCATTGTCGTATTTTTGCATGTAACTCTTTAACATGACAGTTTTCGCAGTGCCCTGTTCGCCGATCAACAAAACTGCTTTGTTTTGTTTTGCTATTGTCTCGATCAAGAACGATATACACACATTATCAATGTTGGGTACTAAAATGGAGGAATATTCTGGTATACTGTCCGAGGGATAGATATAATCTTCTACGATTTCAGACCTAAAGCAAATGAAACGCGATCATTTTATTAAGGTAAATCAATTCAAAACATTTTCGAAGGACATCCAAATGGAAAGTAATTATATTTTATGTTTGCTATCTCAAAGAGCTTTAAAATGTATTTCAAAATAAATTTATTAAATTTGCAAATAGAACGTCAAGCAACGAATATCGGTATTGTTTTGTTTATTTTTATGAATTCTTTTCACTTTCCGCGGCATCGCGTCGCCATTAAAAAAATATTATCAACTACCTGTGCCTACTGTTTCACCCGCATGAAATTTAAAGCCTATATAATTATGCTGTATAAGCTACGTACTATAAGTTTATCAAAATCCGTTCAGTAGTTTTTTCGTGAAAGAGTAACAAACGGGTGGATAGATGCATGGATTTCTTATTATATGAAATAGATTATATAGAGAGGTAATATAGAGTATGAATGGACCATACTCACAAACTTTTCCATTTATAATATTATTGAGATTATAAGATTATAAAGACAGCAAAATTACTCCATTTATTTTTTTTCTAAAAAAGAGTAAATTAACATCTTTAATCTGCTAACATAAAAAGATCATTGAGAAAACAAAACCTTAAATTAATAATATACTAACTAACCCGCGCAACTTCGTCTGCATCACACTTACTTGACATTTATTATTATACTTCGTCCAATTCAGCCTATGTGTTATTCTGATGTATAAGCTGTACTGTAAAGTTTCATCAAAATCCATATCGAGTAGTTTTTGCGTGAAAGAATAAGAAATCCATGCATCTATCCACCCATACTCACAAACTTTCGCGATTATAATATTAATACGTATAATATAAAATATACAATTACCAATGCTGCCATACTCCAGTATCATTGACCATGTACTCAAAAGGCATAATCCACTCCTTGGACTTGGCCCCGGGCCAGTCCATTTTGACAGGCAGCTTGGTCATGAACTCGGCCATGCGCGTGCGCGCATCCAACTCGAGCACGGCGCCCAGCGACCACATCATGGCGAATATGAACAGACGCTCCAAGTGACGGTCAGTGTGCACTTCTGATAACGGTCAATTTACTTACAATATTATTTTATTTAATATTATATTTTATTTTTTAGCTACTCGCTAGCTTATAAACCTTCCTCTAGAATCACTCCTTCTATTTTAAAAAATCGATATCATTTAAAGATTAAAGCATACAAAGGTACAGCCAGCGACAGCGACTTTATTTTATACTATGTAATGATGATGATAAAATATAATGTGTGTTAAGTATAAATCTGGTGTTCTCCTAATAATCCAAATTAGTAGATGCTTTAGATTAAGTTGATATAAAGATACTTTAATTTACCCTAAATTACCCTAATAAAATTAAGAAATCTTTTGGTCTTACATAAACATTCATTAGTGAATAATAAATTTAAGAAATCTAATAAATTTAGATTTAACTCGCATCTATTTAAACTCTTTCGTTAAAACTATTCTAAATTAAACATCTCAACTGAAGGAATGAAGGTTCATTCCTTCAGTTTAGATGTTTAATATACCTGACAATTAGAATAATAATTACAATACCCCTGGTCAATACACAGAACACAATCTAGTACCAATGTAAGCACAGTTTGTTTTATTGGTATTAGACAACAGATACAAATACTTAGAGATTTTGTTTTGAAAATACACACATAATATACATAGAAAACACCCAGACCGATACAATCATACTCATGAATACAAATGTTACATACATTATACCGTACGAGGAATCAAACCCGCGACCATCGGAAGTAAAGCGATGTGCTAAACCTCTAGAGACCATTGAAGCTTAAATATAGTTATAATTATATAAATGTTATATTGTAAAATATACTTACTGCCACCAGGAACTTCTATTTGCAGGAGACCGATCAAAACATCAATACATTGTCTGTAAAGAAATTATATATATTGTTATGTTCTACGTTCACTAGAACTATTTTATAAATAGGAAATGTTTAAAATTATTCCATACTTTATACACACTTAGATTGTGGAATGAACTACCTGAACTACCTCTCTCGAGGTTTTCTCGAGGGACTACAGCATGGGGTTTTTCTAGAAGAGTATATTAAGGTTTCTTAAGGGTCGGCAACGTGCATGTGGCACCCCTGGTGTTTCAGGCTACGGTAACCGTTTACCATCAGATGGGGCGTATGCTTGTTTGCCACCTACGTGGTATAAAAAAAAACTTTAATATTTATATCTTTTAAGTATCGTATAATAACTTCTCTGTACTCTAATAATATTTTATTATGAACCTAATTAAAATATTATGTACTCTGTAAATTAGTTTACTTATGTAACAAAATGTAGGTTTGTTACGTAAGTAAACTAATTTTAAAGTTAAATACCTGACATAAATAGCTTCCAGTAATTTCATTTTAGCTGGTAACTTCTGTTGTACGTACATATGAACTTCATCATAAACTTTATTGAAAGCAGTACGGAGAGAATCAGATTCTTTCTGTGATCTCTTTTTCAACCAACCCTGAAATGCATGTATATTAATTGTATCTTTCAGATCTATTGGTGACTTGGGTTTAATATACCTGATTTTAAAATGTATATATAATTTATATGACATTTTTTTAAGGAACAAGTTAGAATATGAATAAATATATATTCCTACGTAATTGATGGGAAAATACAATTACAATTTACACGGAAAATCCGTACATTTATAAAACGATACACAAAATAGATGACAATATAACATTTTATATAGGTACCTCCAATACAGGCTGCCACTTGAGCACAGACGAAGATAGAAACACCATGCCCATTCTACTAACTGTAGCTGGGGAAGCATTATCTACATTGTCAGGTTCGAACACAAGCTTACTATTTTGTGCCATCGTAATACGATCACCATTAGCCAATGTGAGCGTTTTGTTGTCATCAAGTACGGAATTTAGGTTTTCAATCCATACAGCATCCACGGGACCATCTATAATAATATTATAGTAATAAATAATGTACCTTCGCGACTATTATCTAGGTGGGGTACCCAGAACCGTCGTCAACTGTCAGCTTTATGGAGAACGCAACACTTGACATGTATACATTTCGCAAGGTGTATGGAAACAAAGATACATTTAAAGATGCGTATTAGAATATTTTCTAATAAGACCAATAGAACTATTACAGATATTGCGACTGAAGCGGGAACATATCAACTACAACGCATCATCAACATCAAGAGGGCTCGCAAAGAAGTAGTCAAAAGTGACAATAAAGAGAAAAAAAAACAGGTATCAATATATTACAATTATCATCTGCTTCTTCTTTATCCCATTTATTTGGGGTCGGCGTAATATGTTTTTCTCTTTCATTCATCAAAATAATACAATATCTATTTAAAAAGAAAGGTGGACAATCTGCCAGCAAGATATACTTTAAAATAATAATACTTCAAACCTATATAATATACCTAGAACAATCCAAGTGGTATCTGACTTTTTCACTTTCAAAGCACGTCTCCACAATGTGGAAAATATTCCATCCGTCCAGTCATTCGTTGCTACATCTAAACGACCAAACATTTGTGGGGCCGTTATAGCCTACAATAAATCATGCAAATTAAACATTACAAGCACCTTAGTTATTAATTAAAAGAAATACTTATTGAAGAAATGCTTTTATTCTATGAGTTTTTTAATAAATGACAAATACTGTAGCTCAATATGCAATTATTATTATTATTTACGATAACAATAAGTATTTATTTAACTTTGTAATTAAATACTTATTGTTAAGAATTAATAGATAAATAAAATTATAACATTCCATCACTTACTGCCTAAAAAGCTTGCTGTGTACTCGTATACTTGCCTTGGGATTCATTCTCATTTCTTTATGCGGCCTGCCAACTTCTGTCAATGCTGCCATCAATGTGTGAATACAGGTAGTTTTTCCAGAACCAGTAGGACCCATTGTCATCAAACCGTGCCTCACTAGCGATGTCTCAAACAACTGAATGATCTTTAAGTTCCAATCGGGGTGGTTAACGAGACCCGTCCGCTCTGTTACTAAGTTTATAGCGCGTTGCATTTCTCTAAGATTTAATGAAAATCATTGTTATATTCATCACAGTTGCGTATTATTGCTTAAAGCAAAAGTGAAGTTCAATAAGCAAAGTAGAAGATATGTTCTAGTAATCTATATAATATATAGTTATAACTGATTGGGGCAGCGTTTTCGTTACTTTGATATTATCCCTTAAATAAAATAGTGCACTGACCTGCGATAAAGATATACTTACTCTGAATATTATTAGAGGACAATAGGATGAGGATGCAGTCAGATCAGTTAACCCATATGTATCCTCATTACTTATTAATGGCTTATGGGGAAAAGGGATTAATAAGTAATGGAGATTAGGATAATAGTATTAATAATGCTATACACAATGCAAAAATCTTATTTAATCGATAATGTTTATTTGGTGATGAAGAAAATCAGCAAGAAGAATATAATAACTATATATATTTATAAGAAATCTAGGACACACCACATATACATTTAAAATAGTCATTGAAGATAAGTATCATTCGAAACACTTACTTATGTACAGTTTGACTAAGCTTAATACCAGGGAACAAATCTTCAATTAGAGAGACAAACAAAGGTTCATCTTCGTCGACTAGTTTAGATACATTCATTTCCCTGTAATTGAATAAAAATAATTTCAAATATCTATAATAGTAAAAATAAGTTAAAAATATTGTGAAACTATACAGACTTCAACACTCTCATCATTATGTTTTCTTCAGTACTCTCTGGATTCGCTCGTTTCTGAGAGCCCATAGTCCTTAATACTGACAGAATATTTCGTAAACCAAAATCATAGTGCACTTGCTTAGACAATTGCTCTTCGCATAACTTGTACAGGGTGAAGAACTTACGGGCTAGAATTAAAACCAAGAATTTAGTATCTAACATTTACTGAATACCTAAAGCTATAAACATTTGTTATCGAATTAGGTATCATTTTATGAATGTTCGTTTCATTACTCAATGGATTTATATTATTTTGTTTAATTCCGCTAAAATTAGCATGAGTGAGACCACACATATTCAGTTAGTATAGTATGGTTATTGAGTACTACACCCATATAGCAACACGTATTTCGCCTCTGAACATCATCATCAGGAATAGAGTTCGGGTATAGCTGGGAAGCCAAGTGTGGACTGTCGCAGTTTAGTCACCAAAAAATTATAGACGAGTGCTCTGTTTTTTGTCAGCTAGTAACATATGCTATATCTAGTTTATTGTATAATTATATTAGGCACCTAGCAATATATTCTCCTTAAAACCACAACTAGCCAACTTGACTCTTATAATGATCTGTCTGTCAGGTACCATCATGGCTACAGAACGGAACTGAATCTTTAGGTTCTCCGGCAACTCCTGGCGGCCCGCGTATCCTGGATTCATAGTGATGATAAAGGCAAACTCGGGGTTCAGACTCACTACGTCGCCATCACTGTATAAACAAAATTACATCAATATTTTGTTACATTTCAATAAATGAAGAAATTTATTATTAATTACACTATGCTTTTAATTTACATAATTCAGAAATAAGGATTTTATAAATTTTTGTTTCTATTATAACTTCTGTAATGAGGTTCTGAGTTTGATTCTTGGTTCGGATTCGGTGATTGTTTTGAAATAAATTTTGTTTAATTGCCTTGCGTCTGACTTTATCGGTTGTGCTCCCAAATATTCAAAGCGTAATTTTTCATAACCAGGCTATAAATATTATTGTATTTATTTTTATAACTGTAATTGTGTAGCATGTATTCAAATTTGTCCGTGATGAAGTTACTAGACGTGTTCAAATATTTATTGATGCAAATAAAATATGTAGCACTACTTTGTAACTAGGTACTAATATGTTAACATAATATATTGTGTTTACTGTCAGTTACACATATTTTGAAATAAAAAAGCGGTTCACCTAAATATAAAGAACTCTCTCTTTTCTCGTCTGGCGGTAAGGCAGATATAAATTTGCTGCGCCGCTACCGACAACACTGGAAGTTCAATGCGATTGAACTCGTCGAAACAACCCCAAGTTCCTGATTGCGCCAGCCCTTTGTAAATACGCCCTAAGCCTATAAATGAGAGAAAAGTTTTATAATTATACTGGTTTTGATGGTAAGTGGCAGTTTGAACAAATCAGTAAATATAAATTAATTTGACAAAGTGTATAAATAAATAATTATGAATAACATATAAATTATTGACAAATTTTCGAGACATGTTTAGTCATTCTACCTTTAACCTATAAATAATAAATAAAATTGTAGTGTCTGTTTGTAATATTGAAATAACCGTTTTTTACTACGGTACATACACTAAACTAACATTTTTTACAATTTTTGTCTGTCTGTCTGTTTGTTTCGGCTAATCGGCTGGACCGATTTTAACGGGCCTTTTTTTGGCAGGTAGCTGATGTAATAAGGAGTAACTTAAGCCAATGTTATATTTGAAAAAATAAAGTTAATTTCCACGCGGACTAAGTCGCGTGAACAGCTAGTAGAAAATAAGAATATTAGCCCTTATTCATCTATAGCTCCCGTTACGATAAGATATGATTACTTGTGGCTCATGTAGCTATCGTCATAGGCTAAATTCCGCCAATGCATCATTAATGTTACGAATATATGAATCATTCACTTTACTATCAGAATAATTTTCATAATTTTGACATTAATATTGACCACTAAATATTACATGGGTGAAACAATAACACAGCACTATGTAGAAGGTTCTCGCACATTCAAAACCATGTCAGGTTAAGAGAAATTGCTAATGTATTAACCGCAAAAACGACCATATAGGCAATTTCTTCATATCATAATTATATACCTATGAATTAAGAAGGAGGCTAAAAACTCATGAAACTTATAAAGAGACGTGCACAAACCTCTAAAGTCCATCTGGTCAGAGCAGTTGAACACAATGACTAGTTTCCCAAGCGTTCTGCCCATGTCCTTGGTGGTCTCAGTTTTGCCTGTACCCGCGGGTCCTGCAGGTGCACCGCCCATACTCATACCGATCGCCTGCGAGAGCGTGATATAGCAGCGATCCGTCAGAGGCGTGATTACTAAACGCTCTGTGATGCCGAGATATTCATTCTGAAGAAAACGTACCGTGATATGAGTATTGACATACTTAGTATTTACATCGCATACAGCTATGACACGCTCGTCATCTAATTGTGGCTGCGCGCCGTGCAATATATATTGTGTATCTGTGGCGTATTATGTTTTGCGCAAGACAATAAAAGGAGATTGAAAAAAAAACTTCATCTGCAGAGATACTCATTTGTATGTAGTACTCTTTATTATTAATTATTTTACTTTATTCTATATAGTTTTTATGTCTATAATTTACTTCTAATACAATATACTAACTATATATGTAACAACCAAAGTATAAATACTGCACCTATTAAAACAACACAACGTCATTAACGTAATTCGCCGAATTGAAATTTTTTATTTAATTTTTAAATACCTAGTTACGTATTCATATTTACTAGCTGTGCCCGCGATTTCACTCGCATTAAATTTCAATATAAAATATAGTCTGTGTTATTCTGATGCATAAGTTATATTACTGTAAAGTTTCATCAAAATGCGTTCAGTAGTTTTTGCGTGAGAGTAACAAACATTCATACTCACAAACTCACATTTATAATATTATATTAAGTTTAAGATATCTTCAATTAAATAGAGTATAAAGATTAGTAGAAGAGTAGAAGAGTATTAAGATATCGTAAATTTAACCTGATATAAGAAATCCACATCTGTTATTGATACGATACAATCGTCACTATCTTCAAAATAATAGAATCGAGCCTGTTTCTGCCATTCAAAGTCTATGGGTGATTTAATTCTCATCCGTACTAAATCATCAAAAATATCTCTGTAAAAATATACATAACATACATTCAAATTTTCCTACTAATATCATTATGAAACACTTACGTATTATTTTCAATCAACTTCAAATTAATTCACAGTACCTTTGATGGACATGAATCGTAATCATAGTTTCAACTCTAGTCCTATCTAAAGGCACTAAGTCTTTGACTGTCATATCAATTAATCCATTCAATAAGTCAAGGAATTTCTGATTGGTCAGCCTCATAATAAACCGGTCCGCTCTAGCCTTCTTTAGCGCATATTCTGCATCACTGGTCCACAAAATTTGCATACCTAACAAGCCAGCCTGGAAATAACATGAGCCAAGAATTTTAAGACTTTAGAAGATAAGTGCTAATGCTAACTGCAAATCAAAATAGTTTATTTTAAAATCATTACCTGTCCAGGGAAATTCCAAAACCCCACTAAAAACTCGAATTCCGGATCGCCAGACATAGTTTGTGAAATGTTAGCAATCATATTCCTAACCGTATCTTTCATTGTATCCAACAAAGTATTCAACCAGATCTGAAAATTATCGCAATAAAATTTTTAAAATTTGTTTCCTACAAGCAACATGCTTGACGAACGCACATTAGAAAAAATAAGATTATATTATTATTATAATATTTCCGAATAAAATTAGATCTTGAAATATCACCTCTACACCTCCAACGCAGGCGACAGGTCGTTCCAGAGGAATAGTCTCGCCATTATCAGAATTCATATTTATTATCCTCTCCTTGTCATCGAAATCGACTGTATACATTGCATCAAAGATGCTCGGAAGATGGGGCTGTTCATACAATATAATAACTTATTAGTAAAATGTGATAACATAAGAAGAAGAAGAAGAAAGACATTGCACTTGCCTGTATAGAATGAGGATCTGATGCCTGTCCAAGAATCTCTAGCAACACTGGATCTGACACGAAAAAGAACCTCGGGAATATCAATCGCTTCATCTCGAGGTAACCCGTAAGCGATTTCTGGCAAGCTTCTAACTGTTCAAATAGATGTGGTAACAGCTGCTTGAGGGTTTCATCAGAAGTACAAGTCTCTACACAGTTAACTATATCACGGGCGCGGTACATAATCTTGACGTAAGTTTTGTCGATTGTCTGAAATACAAAAAAAGATATTGAAGGCTGCCTTTAGAGTAATATTGATGTAAGTACAACATCACTAATTACTTAATGTACCCTGGACAATTCACACTACGCCATCTAGTCCCAACGTAAGCAGAGTTTGTATTATGAGAAATAAACTGCTGATATAAATGCTTCGATTTTTTTTGGAAATACATACATGATATATGTAGAAAACACCCAGACCTACACAAAAAAAACACATTACACGCACACTGTTTGTATCGTGCGAGTAGGAAGTAAAGAGATGTGCTAAACCAGTATAAAAAACATGTAAATAATAAAAACCATTTACTAAACCATCAATGACGAACTTCTCGACGACACTTCTTTCAAAGTTTCCAAAAACAGATACACCAGAGTTCTTTGTATTATAGTTATTTCATTATTTCATTTGTAACACACCTAGTTACATAGCAACATTCTAATACTACAAGTATACTCACGCCAAATCTCTTAGCTTCCGCCGGCAACTGTTTTGCAATATCACCACCTACAAATACAGCCTCCAGATACATCCATAAGTTCTGCACTTGAAGCCACTTCTCTAGAATCTCACTCGTGCTTACCAACTTATTAATCCACAAAAGTATATCCTTTTTAAACGGTGCATTGTACCTAAGTTATAAATATTTGCCATTACTATCTGTACATACTACCAGTCATTGTTATTATTAGCCACTTATAGATTCCAATCCTTACCACCTAATATAAAATTCCAGAATTATATCAACGTAATGAAAAGTGGAAAAAACATCTTTAAGCTTCATCAAGCACCTATTAAAGAATATACGTGTATATGTATGTACAATGCCACTTCTGAGTTGATCATGATGATCGAACTATATTTGCTAAAAGTATTTAAATAAATAAATTCAATACCTGTTAGACGCTAAAGAATTCAGCACCATCAGAGAATCTTCTAGCATAGTAATAATATCTAGGGTATCCTGCGCCTTAAGAAGTAACTCGCCACGATTTTTGAATGGCGCAAATGTTAGATCTACGACTGCCCAATCAGCAATCACTTGTTTCAATTTTGCTTCAATATCTTTTTCTTTGACAGCACTTATGCAGATATCCTGCATTAAAACCGATATTGAATAATTTTAATTTCGATTGAAATAGCAACTAAACTGTTAAGTTCCATTCAATTTTATACAATTTTTATATTAATGGATATGTGACTTTTCCCACTCTTACAGAGTAGGTAGAGATTAAGCCACTATATTTAGTCCTTCTACGTACAGTACATTATTTACATTAAACAATACAAGTAAGAGTGATGAATATCAACAATATTTAGAAAACATCTGACCTCTACATCTTCCTTATTTTTCAATAGGGGTGCTTCCATAACATTAGCAAGTGTAAATGAATCGGATTCCACATCCAAAACACAATCTACAAAATATACAATTATTTGAGTGACATTAAGTAACGCTCATATAAAAATACTCCGTCTTGTATCAGAGTGGCGGCTATTGGGAACTTCTGGATTTTTTTACTGCAAAATACTGTTTGCCATAAAAAGTATATTCAGTTAGTTGTTTTCTACGCCTTACTATAAACTGGTAATTTATTATAAAAATTTTTTAATAGAGGAATTCTAATCCATAATTATTTCAGTCCAGAAAATAATTTCTTCACAAAACAACGTATGTTTCTCAGCATACATAGGTTAATTACAAACTACAATTATAAATACATTAACAAAATTATAGAACTTTAAAATATTATTGCAATGGTTACACTAACTCATAAGTTTCTCTAGTCTCCTCCAATGTCTATCCTTCATTGATTTATCTGCCATCAACTCGAGCAAGGGACAAGTTTGATTGAAATCGTCAATTTTATTCTTTAATTCGATGAAAGCAGGCCAATCTTTCATTCCCTTCGGCAATTTTCGGCATCTGCAAACACGAATAGAAAAGAATCAATCAATAATTTATTCCCAAACATAATATAACTACGTATTCGGTACAAATTTCATTACCTAATATCGAATTCTGTCAATTGTGCTATGATTTGTTGAATATCGATTTCAACCCAGGGTGTTTCAAAATACCCGTCAATGGAGTTCATAACAGCTAAATACAAACTGTACCTGAGAAGTAAAATAAAAAAATTATATTATATTGTAGCTAAATCTAAACTGTTGCAACTACAAAAAAGAATAAGTATATTCTACACAAAATATTGTAGAAAAGAAAATAAACGAGGTACGGTAATAAGATATTTACTACAATGCAAATACTTTTGAAAACTTCAAACATATCTTGATAATAACCTACTACATAGTATAAGGAATACATGCCTGGCCAAGCTTGGTACATACCAAGCGGCCTGGCCAGAGTGTTCCTACGATTCTTTGATTTTAATTAGATCTTTCCTTCTCTAGCAATGCTATATTATGCTTTACATACACATATATATTTTACTACAACATGTGAAGCTTTTACAATTCAATATGTATACTAATGAGGGTTTTAAGATACCACTCGTACTGTACGAGTACAAACGACGACCCTAAATTATAGCAAAATGTTAAACCCAAAATAAATAAAAATCCCCGTACAATTTGCTGAGTAAATTAAATTCTTTCTTCTTTTGATGCAATATAGGATAGTCCTTTACTTCCATTCCAAATAACTTTTCACCATTGGAATACATTTCGAATCGTCGCCATAGGTCATCGAATCTTGATTGAAACATAATAACTCTGCAACAATATATTCTCTAATTAAAATCTAATTGGGGGGAAAGGGGATTGTTTGTAATGTGGAATGATGATCTTATTGCAAGCACTGTAACATGTAAGGTTGACCTCCACACGGTTCCTCTTGGAAAACATCATTAAAGATTCATTGTGAATTTGTCACGATGGGCTAACTGACCTGACCTGCTATCTTATCTTCCTCCACTGGAGCCATACCAGTGTATACCGTTAGCGCAAATGCACCTTTCTATTATCATCCATCAAAAAAATGTGTTTAATTCGTTATCAAAGTGATGCAATCACTGTTATATTTCATCGACAACTTCGATAAAGGGCAGTAGAGACATAAAAAGGGTTATATTGGGGTTCCTATAATTTTAATGATGATAATAAGGTAATGATACCTGTCACTAGCCTCTCTGGCACTGAGGCCAGGGGTCATCGGCCCGAAGGCATCGTAATCGGCGTCGAATTTCAACACGTCTTCAAGGAATGTCGCCACACCCTCAGTCAATTCTTTCTGCAGAGGTCCTTGCATATCTACAATTTTCTGTTGTACTTGTTGTGACTAAAATATATAATTATCATTATGTATTATTTAATTATTAATTTCTCTATACTAACATTTTAGTACAGAGAAAGATATGATGATGATGATGATGATAAGTTGACGAGATAGATATAGAGACTGTAATAGAAGTAGAATGTAGAGATAAACTAAAATTTAAATGAGCTGTTGTAAATCTGATTTTACTATACGTGTAGGAAATAGCGTAAAATAATAAATAAAAGAAAAATACACAAACATTTAATTTCATAATTTACTCTAAATAATAAACTAAGACTTTAAAGTGATAATACCTAACACTCTTCGACCTATGTTGTTACACTATCAGAAATTAATTATCTAGTTATATTTAATTCACTAAACGTGTACCTACCTAATATAAATAAAGTTCAATATAAATTTGCTCTTTCATTCACAGTTAACTCAAACTAGACATTATTAACTATTCTAAATATAATAATAACTAATATACTATAATAATATACTAAATATATATAATGATATGATAATGCTAGGCAGACCTTAATGGGTGGGTTGGAGGTATGACAGAAAAACTTAATATATTTTGTCAAATACGTACACAACACGTAACACACGTAAACAATCATACTCATAAATAACTTTAACTTAACCGCTAGGTGCTTGACCGAGAACGTCAATAATAATCTAAGTACCTCCTATACGACACGTAATACTTAACTTTTAAACTTAATAATATACATACAGTTAATAGCATATTCTGGAATGCATATCGTAATCCATAAACCATATCCGCATCGTCCTTAGGTATATCAATATTAAATTGTGCAAATGTCGCGTAGCTTTCTTCAATTAAATCTAATTCCATGTCCATACTATAAGAGATGGTTCAATTATTTAGTTTAATTATATACATACTAAAATAATGTGAGACCGTCGTGGCCTAGAGGTTTACTACTCTGAATTACGCCCAAGAGATCGTGAGTTCAAATCAGGCCGACACCAAAAAAACTGAGTGAAAGTTTATTTTTAGCTGGACTAAAAATTTATTCTAGAGGTGGTGGTAGCGACGTTAGTTTCAAAATACACCAAGCGAAATGTAGACATGTCAACTGTGGTGAACGACCAGAACGACAGTTAACAACGACAGTTGATTTTTTTTGTAATGCGAAAGTGAATGTATGTTAACTTTACTCCTTTTTACTAAACGAGCGCACGAATCTAAATAAATTAAATAATAAGATATGATTACATCACGATGATTATATAAAAAAATAATATGGAATAGGGTGAAATAGGGCACGAAAGTTTGTTAATATGAAGTGGCGGGTAACAGATACTTTCTTATATTTCATTTACCATTATAAGCGTCGTATGCTTTTTTGCCATCATCGTAGTATAAAAAATCTCTGAAACTTAAAAACTTACCCTATGAATTCTTCTCGGATCAATTCAAGACACAACATAGCCAATCTGACATCATCCAAATCCTTGATCTTCTTGCCCATCGTCTTCATGCGGTCATTGATGAATTGCATTAATCTTTGTACACGTTCCTTGTATGCCTGACTTAGCAATTTACCTAATATACGCTTCCATTCTACAGATTCCACGTGCAATGCTAATTTTATTTTATCTATAGAAAATATAAATAGTTAGTAGGTCAAAATACTTTTAGAACTTCGATTTTAAAGTTATTCATACCTGGATAGTTGCATAAACTTTTATATAACTGGAATACAAACAATCTTATGGAATACCTGCCAATTGTTATCTATATAGCGTGCAAAGCGCCACGAATATTATATCAATGTGACGCCTGTTATACCCTTCATGAATTGCCATTCCCTCCGTACCGAAATTGCTATACTGAGCCTTGGATGGTTAAAATGGATATGACAGAAGTTCTCAAGTAGACGGCTTTGTTCGAAGTCTCTGATATCTCAATGGTTACTATTCCTATTTCATTCAATTAACGGCAATATTTAAGTACATATTAATTTAGAACTGTACCGCCTTATTTTGTCTAATCAGTGCAACGGTTAAGGAATGCCATGAGTCATTAAGTCTGCCATGTATACAATTTTGTGCGCAAAAAAATAATTTAAAAGAATTTACCGTGTATAAAATAGTAAAGAAATATATACACACCCATATTGATTTGAATTGAACCTATAATATGCCGTTCTGGCAAATTTAAAACTTCTTCAGTTTGTTTTTCATATTTTTTGAGCATATCTCTGATGATTACATTGAGAGGATTTGAATCAACGAAGCTTTGCACCTGTTGGACTCTATCCTCGGCCCATAAAGGCGCGAACCTGCCATAAGTCTGAAATAAAATCTTTAACTACTACTCGTTCCATACAACTTTGTCTTCTTTTTTATACTAAAAGATTATCAATATCTGGTCTCGTGATGTGACCTCGGTAGCCTGGCGATTTGACATACCGCTTTACTTCCGATCATCGCTGGTTCGATTCCACGCACGATGTAAAGATTTATATTCATGAGTATGTCTGTTTATATCGCTTTTAATGTATTCTATTGCATATATATAATATATTATGTATGTTTTAAAAAAAAAATGAACTATGATGGCGCTGTTCTAATTGGCCTGGGTTATTATTATAAGTATTATCACTCATATTATTTTTTATAAAGGATAGGCTATGTCCGTTCTACTAACGTAATGTTCTATATTTTAATTTCAATAAGATCTAATCAGCCTTTTAATCATAAAAAGCTACAATAGTCAGATAGACAGACTGTAACACTGTCCTGTCACTGATTGCTTCTAAGTATGAACAATAAAGATGGTCAAATATATTATTGGATAAGTAATACTGACTTTTAGCAGTTTCTCTATGTCTGGTTTAAACATATACATCATTCCTTGTAAAGCCATTACTGATCTCACAATGTCTTTATGTTCCGAAACCATTCTGAAGTAATTTCTGATACCAAGTATATTCGATCCTGATCTTGACCCAGCTGAAAAAATAGTTCGTATTTAAATTTGCATTTTAAAATATCCATATAATTATTATAGTTATATTATAGACTATATTTAATTTGTACGCTTGTTTGTTTGATTGTAAAATATATACCTACTCAAATACTACTTAACCGATTTAAAAAATATCAAAATACAATTTATGTTCGCGGTAATCTCAAAAACAATGAAATGGATTTTCTTTCGGTTTTCATACTTTCTACAATAGAGATTTCGGAAAAAGCTTTAGATGTTACGTTAAGTTTTTTATAAATTAATTGGAATACCGTTTAAAACTAGCGAAGATTGTTAGTTAAGAAATAAAGTATTTTAAACATTACAATAAGGTCATACCACTCATACTCCTACTGTTTAACAAAGACCGTCCCTCCATTTTTTCCTTTTTTATTAATTCTTGTTGTCCCCACATAAAGACGTAACGGTGAATATCCATAATACAATTCAACACCACCTACAACCAAAATTAACAGAAACATATAAAACTTAAGGAAATTGAAAAAATATGAACAAAAACTTAAGAACGATATAGACATACTTGAGAAAATGAATTCTGTATTTCCTCCAGGGTTGGCTTTATTAAAATGCGAGGAATCATTAAATACATCATAGTCAACATAAGAGGCTTCAGTTTCTTTTGTTCCTCGGGATCAGTAGTCATTGTAAGGAAGCTGAAAGATTCAATGATAAACAATAATAATAACTAGTAGTCGCCCAACATTATCGAATTGCATTTTAATATGAATTAATAATAACATAAAAACATGTATTATTGTTATTAAGCAAAGAGACATTGATATACCTAGATACAGAAGCCCGTCGGCGGAGCAGATCTAAGCTCTGCCTTGTGCACTTAATGAGGGATTCCAGACACTTGGTAGCAAAATAAGCAAATAGTTCGTTGCACTCATTGATCGCAGGCAATACGTCAAATCTATCTGGATTTTCTATCTCTACAAATGCTGAGGAACATAATCGTTTGAACGGTATTAATATTTACGTCTGGAAAACAAGCTTGCCTATACACTTGAACCGTATTATGAATATTGCAATGAGTACTTATGAGTGGCTTTTCCTGAAAATTAAGGTATTGTACGCGCAAATTCAATAATACAAACAGACATTAATAGTAAGATACTTATTGATACCGATATAACATTAGAAAAATGAAGTTCTGTGTTCGATTCTATGAACATATTTTATGTATGTTCTTTGACAAATAGTGAATTGTGGACTGATTTAGTAAATCCTTTTTTGTTGTAACTAATTTAATGTCCATTAATAATAGAATAAAATACCATATGTAAACTAAAAATTTTATTATTATTAGTTTGGTACTACCTGTGTTTATAAATACTTATATTTCTTTTACGATATATAAACAAACATACCAGCATCCTCTGGAAATACTCTTGTGGCAGACGTTACTTGTTTTAATGCCTTCTCTGTATCTAACCTAAATATACAAAATAAAATCACATACCATCACTTTTATAGCATGAAGTACAAAAAAAATTAGCTTCAATGAAATAAGTTGTGAGGTGATTTAAATATATGTATATATATTTATTATAGCCAAAAATAAAAAAAACCTTAATAAAAGTTAATGGTGAAATATTTAATAATCAATTAAAACAGTAATAAGAACGTTGACAAAATATAAGTAGATCATAATTATCATGATGTATTATTACCAATTATCTTTCAAGTCCTGAATTTGTTTTGAAGGTACACTGTCTAAAAATTTATTAACCAACTCAATGACTGCAATTTCTGCATTACATGACTTCTGTTGTAAATCAGATGCTGAAATGTAATTTAACAATCCTGAGGGTATATTATTGTATTAATTGACTAGGCATTCATTAGTTTATTAAATTACAACTTTTTAAAAACTTTTATTAGGACAACTCACATAGCGCCCTTTAGTACAAAGCTAAGCAGAGATTATGTTATGGGTACTAAACAACTGATATAAATACATAGATGTACATTTTTGTAAATACACATAAAACAGCCAGACCAATAGAAATAATCACTCATTTAATACAATTGTCTGTACCGTGTGAGCAATCGAACCCGCGACCATCGATGTGCCAACGCTGGACCACCGAGGTTATCTAAAACTTAGTAGTTATATATTCTAGTGCTACAAAATATCAAATACCTGATTCTCTACATGAACTACAAACTGACCTATTTCGTCACGTCTATTATAATTCTCTTCATAAAACACTCCTGGGTCGACAGCTTCTTCCGGAAGGTACACTAACAAGGTTTTTGTAATGGACTGTAAAATCGCGTCAATACGAGCTTCTTTCATGTCTACCACCTAAAAATATGAGAAAATTCTCTTGAATGTCCTAATATCTTCATCCTCATTCATAGTAGTTATTCGGCCCGTGTCACTTAAAAGATTTTTTTAATAAAACCTTGCAAGAATTCAATACATTTTATAAAGAGTAACGATAACATAAAAAAGTAGTCTTTAATAGCTCAGTGTTAGTTATAATAATGGCACCAGTTACCTCTTTAACGAAGAGATCTACTTCGTCCAATATTGCATCTATCTTATCACAATACGAGGGTATTTCTAATGAAGTCCACGTTATGGTGGATAGACCTGGTTGGAACGCTTTCTCGAGTTTAATCAATTGAGCTCGAAGCAAAGGTAAATATAACTTAGGCATACTCCTGAAATATATCATACAAGTTTCATAATTTAATCAAAAATAACTTTTTTATTGCTATCTACGTTTGTGGAACCCATAAGATTAAACTTAATCTTATCTACTATTTCTTCGATAGAGTAGACCGGTAGTTCCTGCTAAGCGAACTTTAGACATAGGATAAGCATATCTATACTTTTTTGCTACTTCCTAGTTCATTGGTTGATGATGTTAATAATACCATAAAAAGACACTAGAAATGCATGCCTGCATCTTTCACCACGATTTAGAACTTAATTACTGACATTATTTACTTCTAATATTTTACATGTAAAACAATAAAATATATAATACTATTCTGTACGCAACAAAATTTAAAATAGTACCTTCTTATCTGGTTATTTCTTTCAACTAAATATTTTATTCGTTCATAATGTCCCAGTATTTTATCTTTACAGAACGCAACCACCTGAGCTCCATCAGGTACATCTGCAATGTACAACATATAGGTATAACATCTAGACCTACGTCGTAGCTCGCACTGAAACATTTGGCCCAACGTCGTACTAGTAACAACAGCAATTTATTTCTTTATACTACTCTCGGAAGCTAGGGAAGCTTTGCACTGTTACACACCGTAACAAAAGAGTGTAATTTGATAGGTATAGTCAAAGACTGAAATGTTGCTGTAGTCAGTTTCACTGTACAATTATTTATACAGCTCTTATGTGTGTACTCGAGATGATGATATAAATTTAAGAAAGCAGACCATAATACAATATAGTTTAGTTGCTTTTAACTAAAATAATTAATACACTTAGAATACATTTAAAATTTACTTACTGAGTCCCAACTGCCACATGTACTCTACCTCTCTAATACACTCCGGTATATAAATACTAAAGTTCACAATATACATGTTAGTTACAGGATGCCGAATTAAAAGCGGCGCGATCAAACCGAGGCGCACCTACAACGAATCATGCTTTGTTTAATAAATACCTAAATACTGAAATATTGAATATAATATATATTTATAACATATTAATAGATCGATAATCAGAGGCAGCACAGTACGAATACATTCTGTAATAAAGACGTGGCGGTGTTATTGTACAAAAATATATTAATCTATATGTATATTCAAGATCAGATACGGAATTAACAGAAAAAAGACTTGTAGAGGAAGTTATCAAACATTAAGTTAGCCATGTATACAAATTTAGTTTGCATGTAGCACGAATAAATAAATAAAAAGAATGATTTCATCATAAACCTGTAGATATGTATATATTTGCGTATGGGAATAAAATATATATTTTTTTGTATTTATTTCATATTGTTTATATGTAATTAATTATAAAAAGTACTAATTACTCTCTTCGTATTAAGTCAGCTAACAAGTTATTTTCTACTGTCAGCTATATAAAAATAATATTATTATTATTATAAATATTAGTCACTCATAGGTAGGTACATCGCGTAGAAATAAGCAAAATATTATAAAGTGGCCCATTAGTCTTACCTGCCCAACATTTTCTACCCAGGCTTTATGATATATTAATTCAAATTCCGTGAATACTATACTCATTACGTTGTATAATTTTATACACCTTTGTGTATTCTGAAATAAAATTATATTTTATTTAATAAGTATTATATACTACCTAATTACCTATTAATTTTAATGTAATATAGTAGAATAATAAAACAGAAAAATATGTATTAAAACATGCCCATTTAATTACCATATGTGTAATAACTTCATAATGTTTCATGAATTCTTTCATTGGTCGTTTGATATTTTCATCATAAAATCTAATCCACATGACTCTGCCGGCAACTGGCGGCATATTCCTCGGTAACTCTGGATTTTCTCGTTCCTCATTATATCTATATGTATATTATTATTGTTATTTTTTACTTGTCGTGTATAATACTGTATAATATATATCAAATACTTCTTGTAATTGATAAATTTAGATAAAGCTGCTTTATATCGTTTATTTAGTAATATAATTTAAAAAAATACAAGAACATTAGTGTATATAAAGATATATCCAATAATATATAACTATTATTTTTATCTGTAATCGCAGTACCGATTTTGTTAATTATCTTGCGTCAACTTCCACTGTAAAAAACCTAGGTAAAACCTATAATTGAAATCATCTAAACTAAACTGAACTAGACATTTCTAGTGCATGGTCTATTGAAAACATACTGTACTTTTACTCTACATAAAAAATGGAAATTAAATTTGCTGGATTTTAGTTAATGTGAAAACCAAAAAAGAAAAACTGTTACACGCTTAGAAATATACCTGTCACGTATAGACTCAATTTCAGCAGTGTATTTACTTATCAGATCGTAATATTGATCTTCAAGATACAAGCAATCCAATTTTAGCGTTCCAAATCGTAATAACAATTGGAGCGCAATTTCCGTTGTTGGGCATTTATTAACGCTCTGAAATAAAAGAACTTTATAATAGACACCTTATATCTCTTAAGCTTTGATAAGCTGACGCCCTTTAATGATTAAACTGTTTAGAGTACTGACAACGTAAACATCAGTCAACAAAAATGTACTAAAGTACCATAAATTTGTGTAGTAACATCATGATATCAGAATTAACATTCTCTATTTCAATACCTACAATGAAATGGTAAAGAAATGATCGATTTAAAAAATATCTATAGGCTTATAAAATAAGAGCTCTGTAATCTAAACTCCTTTTCAAAAATAATCTCAATTCCGTATTACCTAAGTAACATAGAAGATAATGTTTCAGAAGGATAATAATTACCGCAATCATGAAATTTTCCAACAATAACTCTTGGCTGGCGACGGCATCTTTGTATACTTTATAATCTTTATCAAAATCGGGCCGCCTGCACAAATAAAAAATTTAATTCTTTCTAGTAAAATAATAAGTAACATATTATTAAAATAGAGGTATCGTTTGAAATAATATAATGTTAATAATGTTTATACTATGTGTACATAAAAATTTTGGCATTATAGAATATTTAGAAAATTACGCTAAGAGTGGTGTTGAGATTCGCTGAACTGAATTTTATCTGTTGCACCTCATTTGTGTCAAAATATAAAACATCAGCCACTAGTTAAAGAATAAATGCTTCTATTTTTAAAAACTAACTACTCAGTCTTATTGAAACAAGTTTAACCTGTGATCTAAAGCATCGTAACTTTTAGTAGATATTGTCTTGAAAAGTTTATTAAAATTAGTCGCATACTCTTCGATACCTTCTAATGTAGTTTTATTTAAGACATAATAAGTAATATAAGTTTGGAATAAATCAATTATCTGGAACAATACAATAACAAACACAAAATGTAATTTATCAATATATTTTTTTACACATAAAATAATAAGTGAAAAAGACGAGTCTATCCCCTAGTCTGTAACCTTTAGTTTTACCACAGATAAGATGTTATACCAAAAAACAAGTAATTTTATGTTTACTGTCCTAAGGTCACGATGAAGATGTATCTTAAAAATATTGGGTAAACAATATTCGGTATCATGGGAAATTCTAGATCTATGCGAATCATTAAATGAGTAAATGTGATCAATATGTTTTGTAGTTGTTTTCAGTAGTATACGGGATTAAACTAACGATGTCTGTAAATAATGAATAGAAACGCGGTGGTAACAATTTATGCATATAATGATATTGAATCGGTCAGAGTTCCATAAGAATATAAACCTTTTGCAATCGTGTTCTGAACGTTTCGAACTTGCCAAATATATACATTTCGGAACAATCAAACGGCCTCTCGTCAGCAGCTTCCATCATCTCCTTCTGAGTTTCACTGTAGCACTCAAGGTAAAAGTTATATAGGTTCAGGCACAACTATATCCAAAATAGACATTTTTACTCAAATGTATTATATAATGAAATGGAAATTGAAATAATGTTTATAAAGATATAAATTTAATTATTATTAGTACTATTTTTTTTTCTACTTATCTGTTTCATATAGTTTAGTATAATTATTGTTAATTATTAAAAATAGAATTATTATTGATATACAGGGAAAAAGAAAATTATTGAATACTATCTCTCTCGGGCGCCGCTACTCGCGTGCTTTAGTTATAATTCGGGTATATCCTGTCCTATTTTAATTTAGAATATAGTCTATCTGGATATCAAGTTTAATTCGAATTTAACTAGTCGTTTGAGGATGGTTTAATAACAAACATTTAAACATATGGTACGTTTAAATGTTTGTTATTAAATCATATTATTAGTAGGTATATGCAATAGTATTTATACAATGTTACTTTTGTAGCTATGCTACGTACGAAACAGTACAGTGAATAGTTTTGTTTATATATCTTCCTAAATCTTTTAGCTGTACAACGCAAATAAAAAGAAATATAATAACTGAAACAATTACTTCTTTATCTTTCTTACCCTTGCTTTCTTTATAAAATTTAACTTATCCTGGTTCCAAATGGTCCTCTTACCACTATTAGTTAAATAATCCATACACATATTGAGTATCTGATTAGTAACTTTAACCAACAACGTCGATATTTGCTTTGTAGTGTTATAGTACCGGGATGTTGCGAATATCATGCGAATTGTATAGATCAGGCCTGGTATATACTGCTGCATTGTAACTGGATCGCATCTGTCAGTATTTATTACATTATCAGTCCAATATCGATTAGGTACTTGATTAATCCATAATTAGCGAAAATACTTAATATCTATGTAGATAGATATAAAGCGCGAGTCAGACCAAAAAAAGATGTATGGACTATGTGAAAGATGATACGCATAAAAAGAGGCCGGTTGAGGATCAGTGCAAAAAAATGACAACCACGCTGATCAAGGCAATAATGACGATGATCAAATGTTAATTATTATTATATTGTTAGATTTGAATAAAATCTAAGTTCAGATCTAAAAAATATTACTGAAACCAATAGCATAAATCATTTAACAAGAATCGAATATGTTACTAAAAAAATAATTGTATATTCTTGGGAAATTTATGACTTATTCACCTTAATTTGTATCTAGTTAAGTAGGTACTACTTTTGCTAAATTTAATCGTAAATTTTATTAATATAGATAGATATTTTGTGACGATTTTCTAAAATTATTTCTAAATTAATTAAACCAAATGTAACATGTAGGTATTACAATTTACTGACTTATTATACTTACCTATATAACGGTTCGCAATATTTTTCCAAAGCGTATAAATATTTTACATTATCATAAGCCTCATTGTAATAATCAGTGACTTGATTATCCAACAACCGCCATTTCTACAAATTATTAAGGTTTAGTTATGAATGCCAACATGAGGATTTTATGAATATATATTAGAAATCTTTTTGATATTTTTTTCTTATCTCTCGATTCTCTTTTGTATATGTCTAGTATTAAGGCTAGGGAGTCTCTAAACAGAAATCCTTGGATCACGATTTCAAATTAGGCATGCTCCATAATTCTTACCTAACTGTATTACTTTCTGTTAAAGTCCGATGAGTTGCAAAATTAATTAACTTTTATATTATATTATATACATATTTATACATGCAGTTTCCCGCGAATTCGTCTGCTTTTTTTGAGTTAAAGATAAGCTATGTTCGTCCGCGTATTATAATCTATATTTACGTTAAATTTCATTCAGTTCGGTTCAGTCGTTTAGACGTTAAAAGGTAGCAATTAGACAGACAGTAGGGCACGCTTTTACATTTATTATATTAGTATGGATGAGAGTCACCACTTTGAGACAGTATATTTTGTATAATATATCATGACAGTAGTCAAGAAAATATATAATTAAGTGTCATAGAAAATAAAAACATAATAATAACCTTTATAAGTTTAGATTTAGCTCGAATCAACGTGTGTATGTACATATGACAAGGATCGCTCTTGATATGCTCTATAATAGAGGTAAATGTGGTCAATTGTCGTCGCCAATGGTCCAACTCCGCCAAAGGCCCTATATTGGCAGGTTCACGACGCAGCTGCTGACTTTGTACTAAAACCTAGAATCAGCGCCATATTAAAGAATTATACCATGTCGGGTTAACCTCCATGGGGTCTCCCTGAAAACCATCGTGATAAGTTCCTGGTGAATTTGCTCGGAGCAGCAAGCAAGCAGGAGTCAGGTAGCTTATCCTAGGCTACCTGACTCCTGCTCATACTCCACTAGTGGCCCGCTATCACAAACCGTTAGGACAAGCAATTCGATAATTAAAATGTTTAGCCCTGTGCATATCTAAGCAAAATAGTTACCACTTCCGTCGAATAAGCCGTCAGCTTAGTAGCCATTCCCAATGGTATGAAAAAATAAGAATTCGTACACGTGCACACATATCAATAATAATACTTACCATAGTAATTTGCCTGACCCACTGTTTGACATAAGAACATATTTCTTCTAGAACGTGAGTTTTTGTTACAGCTAGTTTCATTTTATCTAAATCGGACAGTTCATCTTCATACAACATTAGATTTATTTTGAATTTCGTGCAACAATCCAAATCTACTTTGGTTTCTATTAAAAAATATATATATTTCATTTACTACATAAAGATAAAAAGGTAGGTATTTGAATTAATTTTTAAATTATAAAAATACAGAAATTAATTACGTAAGTCAGTTTTTACTACACGCTTAATGTAATCAACTCTTTAAAGAAAAAGTTACTATTTAACTTTTTTCTGAAATAAAGTATACAATAGATCTTATCTTGTATGAATATAATATTTTTTATTATAATAATAATAAAATGTGTTTGAATCTGTTCTTTTGAATTCAGTCAAATCCAAGTGTTCAGTTAATTCTTTTAAACCTAAATTAAAGTTACTTTGTTAATGTTCTAATGTTACTCACTTTCTAGATATTCAATGAATAACATTATCTTTGATTTATAGTACTTGATAATATCAGCACTCTTAGGATTTGGTGGGTTGATGTCACCCCATGCTTTACAAGCGTATAGAGCGGGCACGTACACACGATTCATAGTTTTGTAAATACCAGAAACTACATTCTCCGTTTCTCGGTTCATATCAAACATCACCATATAATAATCCTGAAATTAAATTCGATATTAAATTCGGTTGTACGTAATTTTTTTAATGGAATTAAAAACAGTCATCTGTATTTTCCATTCAAGCTGGATATAAAATTATGACCGACTAAACCAACGTGCAACGTTCGCGCCCTAAAGTCGTATTCGTTAGAAAGGAGTATGATTTCAGTCGCCCCATAAGATTGTAAATTCTAAATACATTGTATGTAGTATATTTTACAGTAAGGTAGTTTAGGCAATAAACATACATAATATAAGTATATATTAAAACTTACATCGGCTACATTTTTTGTATCAATAGCTTTGTTCTTTATCCTATACATTGCTATACATATGCCCTCCGTTCCTATAGTAGACGCATCAGATATATAAGTACGTTCCATCCTTGCTTTCTGGTTATGTATAAATCGCCCCGATTCTGGACAGTGGAAATAAATCGATGTTACGATATAAACTAAAATACTATGCTTAATACCTATAATAATTAATTATGAACATCTACATTTCTGTGCAATATACCTAATTCTTTGATTATCTCCCCGGGATCATGGGCTTCTGTTTTGTTATATTTATAACGATTTATTTACTTAAGTCAATATTTTGCTATTTCAGAGTTTGTATCACCCAAAATCTTAAAAAAGCGCTAGTTTCTTGCTGGTTCTTGTTGTGTGTGATGAGTCTGTGTACCGAAGTAGTAGCAATACGAAACGTAACATCTCTTAGATACCCTCCGTATTCCAAATAAAGAGAAACAATTGCATTTTGCATACTTATATTTTCAAAGAATTCCTAAATACTTGTCTAGATATCTCAATTAAGATGGTGCATACCCATTTTTAATGGCGGTAACAAAGCATCACACAGAACTATACAATTTCTTCCACCTTCAGCAACAGCGCTCTCTAAAAGATCTATGTGAACATCAGCGTCAAACACTCCCTCCTAAAATAAAATTGACAATTTTAATACAGCATATTAAAAATGTAGTACATACAATATTAGAGGTATGAAACATACCAATACATATTCAATGCTTTTGTTTAATGTTGCTGCTGCATTTTCCAACAAAAATCGATGCTGATTTTTAATACCTCCAATTCTATTATTACGAGCGTCTTTAGCCTTTGCCTACAAAAAAAAAATCATCAGTAGAATTCAAAATCTTTAAAATAAAACAAAGCATTTAATTACAAAATTTATTTACTTGTTTGTCTTTATAAGACTCATGAGCCAAGGCTAACGTACTCATTGAAACTTTACTCTTTTTCTGAATATCTTGTAGTCGGGACCCGACATCGAGTATGGCTTCAAGTGCAGTTCTATCTACTTCTACACGCTCCTCGTCGCCTATCACTTCTGGAAAAGCAGACTGCTTCCGCGACATCCTATTAGATAATTCTTCTACTTTCGCTGTAGTTTCTGCTACAACTTCATCCCGTTCTATAGTTTTATCAGGTACACCACTAACAGTAGCCTCAGCTGCTGGACCTTCTGGCGGGGGCTCACCGCCTTCTCCAGACATAATCGTCGATAATTTTATATCTTAAATTCAGTTTCAATATTAAGTAAACCGACGTACCAATGTACAATTGATATTTTTATGATTGATATTTAAAATACGAAAAATGTAATTTGAATTTCGAATAAATTAAAAATTTTACAAATCCTGACTCCTTGAATAATGAAACTTAAAAAAGAAATATTTTAATTTTAATAAAAAAACAATATTTATTTTATTTACCCAATTTTATGCAAATGAAGTAACAGATATGAGCTAAATATATATTAATTAGTCACTTCCTAAGAATTTTGAATATTCAATGTTCGTCCTTAAACATTATAACATATTAGGTATTTAGGTACCTATAAATCATAAACTGAATCATCACATAAAGTCTGAAATAATATAAACTTTGTTTTAATGTTTCCCGCCAGAAATAATATATTTTTTGTTCTATTTGTACAAGGAAAGGCAAAGGAACTGCGCCCATACAGCCAGGTCTGTAAGTAAGAGAAATCAATAAAATTGAACGCGCCAAAATGAGTTTAACAACAAACTGAAATGTCATACTGACATAAACATTGACATATCTAAGACAATGTCTTAAATGTCTTAACATAAATAAACAAAATATCAACAATATTTAGGATAATTTAAATTGAATTATTGAATATTTTTGAACTAAATTAATAATATAAAGATTGGCTAATTCCAAAACAAATTTTTGTAAGATTCCTGTACCAATATTTGATTTTAGTTTATTTATTTCTAAGTATAATTGTTGTATAATAAAAGAAAAAAAAAACTTGGAATATTTATTCATAATTATTTAATAGATTATACACTAACTACTTTATTTTGCAATATGCCGCGTAATTGGAGAGGTCGATATAAGTATAACTGGAACCGGTCTAATAATAAATCAGATAATTCTGTTGATAACCAAAGTATAAAACATTCGTCAAATTCCACGCGAATAAACAGCACTGCAGGTTCATCAAGAGCACCAGCCAATAAGTTACCTATTATTGTGACTCTTAATGCAAGCGAAAACCCATGGAAGTTGTATTTTCCTTCTGAAGGTATGTTATTTATGTCTAGAAAACAATCAAAATACTATACTATACTTAAGATAAATTATGTATTGTTATTTGTTTTACTTTATTTCACACAAAAAATAAGTTATAGAATCCATAAAAAAATTATTTGAAATTACCAAGTAAATAAAATATATTACACTTATTAATGAATTAGTTAGTGTTATAGTTAAAGTTAAGGTTTAGTTAATGTTAGTTTTTAACTGATGTGATTCAGAAAACATAATCTTTTAATTTAAATTTCCTCATGTGTGTAAATATTTAAATTAAAAGATTATGTTTTCTTTCTATATGTTTCATTTGTAGGTTTATAATTATTTTTGCAAAAAATAAAAATAATAAACATAATAAACATATAGAAATTCAATTCAATGAAATGGAATTACAAAACTATCCTTACCATTTTTTTAATAATTTATTTCTGCTATAAGGTTATACTTATATTTCAGAATATCCACCTAAAAATGAAACTTCTGAACATATCAAAAATTTCAAATCTTTTGTAGAGAAATATAGAAGTTTATTTGATCTAGAAAAGATAGATAATACTCGAAGTGTTCCATTAGATTTGCAAACTTTACTGAATGATGATCTTTTTCATAAGGGTTGGTCTACATTTGAAATGGATTTATTTGAAAAACCTGAGTACACATTGCGAGTATTGGAGTATTGTTTACATGAAGTAAGTTATCATATTTTTGGTTTATTAAGCAATATCATATACTAGAAAAAAAATAATGAGTCCAAAACTGCTTGACTACTGAAAGATCTGAAATTTACTGTATTAAATTATCATATTTTGACTTAGTTATTTTTTTACTTCTAAAAGATTCACCACAGTCAGGTAACTTGAAAAAAATCTTAATAGATTTCAGAAATAGTTGATATTATTATCTTATCTAAATAATAGAATGCAAGTTGTTGAAATAAATGGTGTAAAATCTGAGGGAACTAGTATTAAAATGGGTGTTCCTCAGGGCTCTATTCTAGGTCCTATCTTATTTTTAGTTTACATAAACGATCTTCCTTATATGGTAGAAAAGATAGCTGACATAGTTCTGTTTGCTGATGATACTTCATTAGTATTCAAAGTCAATCGACATATTGATGATATGGACGAAGTAAATGCTGCTCTCTCTTATGTTTTGAAATGGTTTACTGCTAATAATATGCTACTAAATGCAAATAAAACTAAATGTATCAAATTTACTCTCCCCAATGTAAGGCTAGTAACCATCAACAAAATTAATAAACCTATTAATTTTGTTGAGGAAACTGTATTTTTAGGTATCACATTAGATTCCAAGTTGCAATGGGGTGCTCATATTACTAAATTGGCGAGTCGACTTAGTTCTGCCACTTATGCGGTAAGAAGAATTAGACAATTACCAGATGTGGCAATGGCTAAACTTGTCTATTTTAGCTATTTACATAACATTATGTTGTATGTATTTTGTTATGGGGCAAAGCAGCTGATATAAATATAATATTTACTTTACAAAAGACGGCCTGTCGCTCCATTTATGGTATGGGTTCCAGGGAGTCATTGCGAGAGTGTTTTAAGGAATCAAATATCCTCACCGTTGCTTCTCAATACATTTATGAAAATATCATCTATACCAGGAAAATATAGACAGTTTCAAAAGAGTTAGTGATTACACCAATAAAAGCTTACGTAACAATAACAAACTGATTTTACATAAATGTCGTTTTGGCTAAAGTTAGTAATTCGTTTTATGGAAATTGCATAAGGTTTTACAATAAAATACCAGAGTCTGTTATAAATCTGCCAGAAAAAAGATTTAAATGTCAAATAAAACAGTTCCTTTGCAAAAAAGCTTACTATAAAATTAAAGAATTCGTTAACGATAATAATGTTTTTATAGAAAAACTTTAAATCCATAGCACTGACAATATTATCTAATTACACTAATAATGAGTGCGTAGCGATTTCTATGTTGATTATCGCATGCCTCTTACTTGTTATACTGTAATTATTTATATAAAAAAAACATCTATTAAAAAGAGCAACACTCAAGTTTCTTGCTCGTTCTTCTTTTGACGAATCTGCATTCCGAATGAGTGGTAGAATCAAAATATGACTATTCAAAAGTGCTTGTAATGAGTTTATTTGAATAAAGATTATTTCTATTTCTATTTTTTTTTTCAGTGTTTAAAATGTGAAGCACAAATAAAAGTTCGATTATTGAATCATCAACCAGTGATCCCACTAGCGAATTTAAAAGTTAACTATTTTGGTAAGTTACATTTTCCAGTTCAGTCCACATTACTTGAATTGAATAAATAACTGGTTTGTTGAAGGATGTAGTGGTTCACTTGATAGAAACCATAGCCTAGAGTTATTTGGATCATGGACCATAGAAGAGTAGTGTGATAATTATAACACATTCCCCATATTTCTATGTAACTATCAATACACTAACTAACAAATACCATGAAATATAGTAACATTCTACATAGGTATATAAAGTTACGTAAAATGTTACTGTATTCCATTTCCTACATAAAAAAAACGAATTACATTTAAACATACACCTAATTCATTTAGGCCCTTCTCTGCTCTACAACTAGTGTAAATAAAATTTATGCAATTACTTATATTTTCAGGTAAATTAGTCACAATAAAAGGTACTGTTATAAGAGTAGGAAGTGTTGGCCTCATCTGCACTTCCATGGCCTTTGAATGTTCAAGTTGCCACAGTGTTCAAGCTGTTATACAACCTCAGGGAGTTTTTACAGGTATTCTAATGGTAATAGATACTATGAAAATTAAATATGTATTTAGAAAATGAAGGTTTAATTTTAAATACCTTTCAATTTCAGATTACACAGCAATCCTTATTATTATTAGCTAAGCTAGTATTTAATTAAAATCCTTACCGGCACATCTACTGTCATATTCTACCATGATCTTCAGGATAGTTATTACCCTATCTATAGGTAATAACCATCCTGAAGATACATAGTGAAAATTTAATAAATGACAATTAATGCCAACTTTTCATTTTATAGCTCCAGTTTGCTGTCAAAGTTGCAATAGAGGTTCAAAGTTTGAACCATTACAATCATCACCATTTACCAACACAACAGACTGGCAAATAGCGAAAATACAAGAAATACAATCTCAGGTAATAAACTGGACCTTTTATTATGTATTTATTTTTTTGAAGTGCTGTATACAGATTTTTATTTAATTTTAAAAGTAAAAGTACCTGCCAATATAGATAGAGGGAATCAATCAATTTCAATCTTTTTAACTCTTTCTTTGATCTGCTTTCAGAGTGCATCTGGTACAATACCAAGAAATGTTGAAATAGAACTCCAAGGTGACCTAGTTGGAACAGCATGTCCTGGTGATGTACTATCTGTCACTGGAATTGTACAGGTATTCATTCAATTCTTGTTCATAACTATAATAAGTAATGCTTACTAATCTTCAACAATGCATTGGCAAGAATTAACTTTAAAATTTCAAAAAATATTTTTGCAAAAATATCATTTGATATTTAAAATTCCACTACATATTTGTGTGTGATTTGACACACAAATATGTAGTGGAAACTTTTAAAATCAAGACTTAAACATAATAAGATAGAAAGGAGTTTTATATTTTATCTTTTTGTACATTCCTAACGCAAATAGTTGCAAATATGTGTAGAAACATCCAAGTACTGTCTACTTAAATATGTATTTTATAATTAGTTGATTGTTATCATTTATTTGTATGTAGGTTCGTGGTGAAAGCAAAGGTGGAGAAGACGGCAAAAGAGCAGCCAGACTTTTACAACTTTATATAGAAGCTATTTCAATACACAGTCAGAGAAACCTAAGTAATCCTACATTGTCATTTACACTTAAGGATTATTATGCTATTCAGGTACCAAATTTTGAATCAGCTTTGTTAACCAATATTACCATTAGCGACTAATTATATTCTCTCAGCTGAACATGTTTCAATAAGCGAATAATGACACTTTCCAGAAAAAACCTTCATTAATAAAAATCCTGTCATACCCTAATGATTTATCGCTTGAGAATCAAAAATACTTTGAGTTGCGAGTAGGAATTCAATTCAGCTTTACAATTAAGTTTTACAATACTGAATTGATTTTTGACTAGTCTATTGGCCTTGTCAATCATGTAGGACTTATACAACAAATGTTTTTCTTTTCGAAGTATTCTAAAGTTGGGAGAAACAGGACTTTGCTTTACCAAACGTAAATGGGGTGGCCCCCATTTACGTTTGGTTCCAGTGGGTGCTACAAACCCGCGGAAGGACTTATGGAGCGGCTAAATACCAGATCGTGATTGACGGATGCAACTTAAATCTGAAGTCAATGCTGCGATTTCGAACCTCGGCTCAGACTGCCGTTTTTCAGAATTTCGGTCCCCATTGCAATAGGACATTATGTCGACGGCAACTATAAGATGGGAATAAAATTAGTCTTGCTAATCAATTGCAAATTTCTTATTATGTTAAACGTTTCATACACTTACATAAATATTTTCAGGAAATACATGCGTCAGAAAACGTTTTTAAACTGTTAGTCCATTCACTATGCCCAACAATATTTGGTCATGAAGCAGTTAAGGCGGGTCTTATATTAGGTTTAATGGGAGGCACCGAACAAGAAAACGGGCCCAGATCTAATCCACATGTGTTGATAGTCGGGGATCCTGGGTTAGGAAAATCTCAGTTACTACAAGCTGCAGCTCATGCCGCTCCAAGAGGTATTTGAAATGTTCATTTATAGTTAAATAGCTTTGTCTGTGACTTTATAATCCGTATATTATGAATGGAAATAGGTTAACGTAACTTTTTAAATGGAAAATAATTTGTATTCTAATAATGTAAAATTTCTATATTACTTTTTTGGAATCTACCTACCGCTGAAATAGATTGAAGTTTCAATCAAGTAGATTTAACAATGAACTTGCCTGTTGTAACTTCAAATGAATGTTATATACCTGCAGCTTTATATTTTTAAGTTACAATATGTCTGAATACAATATACTAAATAGTACGAATTCATTGCAATCGTAATATTAGACATACAGTTGGTTCAGTTGGTTAATGTTTATTCATTTCAATACATACAAATATTATAAAGTTGATTATACATTGGACCCCGCACCAGGCAAACCTGTGTCGCGGGAGTCCTCAAAAGAATTGCCAGATAATTATTAACTATTACAAGATCAGTAAGTAGAGTAGATTTGACATATATTGTTTGATTTCATAAAAACATTCCGGATCCATTGACATAAAATTAAAATTTGAATATAAAATACAAAATAGAACGAATTCAGTACAGTCATAATATTAAACATACAGTTAGTTGGGTTAGTTAATTGATGGTAAGAGTTCGTTATATACATGAAAAGCGCACGTTGCCACGTGACTTCTATAGTGTCCTTCAAGCGGTGCCATTCTGAAGGACAAATATTATGTTCACTACCATATCTCATACTTTAAAGCGAAACTTTTAAAATTAGTACGCAATTGACTTTATAAGACTTAATTGGTAAATTATATCATATAACACTATCAATAGTGCTTTACATACAAACGTTATCGGACGGTTATTCGAAAAAAAATCGTTAGTTTTCCTCATGTTTGTATTCTCAAATGTAAAAACATAATGTGTGTATTATACTGTCAAAATTGATCATTTCTGATTCAATCACACGTGAAAGAATATTTTTGAATATAAATCTGTATTTTTTTATTTGGTAATGATGTAGGTAATTGTGCTGAAAGACTATAGGATGTGCATGAAATCAGATAGATCAGTTGACCCATCGTGGCGAAATTACCTGGACCTAACCATAATAAATTACTCTTAGTGACGTTTTATTTTATAGGTGTTTATGTTTGTGGTGCTTCTGCATCAGCTGGTGGGCTAACGGTGGCACTGGGCCGGGAGGCTGGCGGTGATTTCGCACTCGAGGCAGGAGCCCTCGTACTAGCCGATAGAGGCGTATGTTGTGTTGATGAATTAGATAAGGTAAGATAACTTGACGATTGTCGCAGGTACGATTACTCGCACAGTATTATATATTTACAAAAAATATCTAAATATTTATGAGTTGTCTAGTACCCACAACACAAGCCCTCCTTACCTTAGGGCTTGATGGCATTGTGTGAATGGTCCAAGTGTATTACTATTGTTATTATTAATTAATGATATCGTAGACCCCTCTTCATTAATGGTATACGCTGGTAGGCTCAAGTGTAGGAAGATAGAATGAGCATTTAATCGGGTCAGTCACCCCATTATGAGTTCACCAATAATTAACCATGATGTTCTCTACGTGGAAGCTGAATTGAACGAAGATAATTGCTAGCAATCAGACCACTAGTCCCTGTTACTAACAATTAACTCCCCCCGCCCGAGGGGAAAGGTATTGTTAGCAATGTGAACTAAGTAACTAACTACTCCATCGCCAGCAATATACAAAGTCAGGTTGACCTCCACGCGATTACATCTGGAAACCATCGTGATAAATTCTTTGCGAATTTGTCACGATGGGCCAACTGACCTGACCTCATGCTCAACTTATATCCTCCACTGGTGCTCCGCCAGCGTAAACCGTTAGCATACGCAGGTGCACTTTACATTATCATAGTAAAAAAAATCTACCCCATATCTACCTCCTAAGGGATGATATTTCATCATATGGTATTGATTAGATGGCAGCCCACCACAGCAGCCTGTTAGAAGCGATGGAGCAGCGCCGTGTGAGTATAGCCAAGGGCGGAGTGGTATGTAGTTTGGCGGCGCGAGCTACCGTGCTGGCGGCCGCTAATCCTGCCGGTGGTAGTTACAACAGGTCAGTATATCCACACTAATATTATAACTGCGAATGTATCTGCCTTTCTGTTTATTACTCGTATCTTCTCACGACGAGACAAGAGGATTGTTAGTAATGTGGACTAATAATACCATTGCTAGCAATAGACCATTTCAGGTTGACCTCAACGCAGTGACGCAGTCAATTTTCCATTTACCAAGATGGACTCACTGACCTGACCTGATTTCATGCTTATTTTGTCATCCTCCACTTGTGTTCTGCCAGCGTAAATCGTTAGAGCTGGCATTATTCCATTGTTATCCATAAATTACCTTATCATGACTAAATGAATTTGTGATTGTATTCATATAAACGTGTTATTTTATTTAGTAAATACATAAATTGGAACCTGATATTGCCCATAGGGTTTAGGTTATTGCTATATCTGCTGGTGCTAAAGAGAGCCTGTATCACTGCGACCTAATGTGCTCCCCCTTTTTTATAGTTTCTAAAAAAGGTATATTGTTAGCGTATATCTTTAACCCTATACCTTTTTTATAAGCTAATAAACGTTTAAGCAGCGAACATATATATTATTATGGTAGATAGGAATTCTGTTCCAATTATCTGGATGAATAAGTAGGTTAACTATTTCTGTTTTGCTTATTCCTTAAGAGTGGCAACATAATACAGATCTGGGGCTCCATCTTTCGGGACTTTAACATGTTCTATGTGCCTACACCGTCTGCTTGATATTATTCCTTTTAATATTTTGTAAAGGAATATAATGTTCTGTTTATCTTTAGATACATAATTTTTTTATCATTGTAAATTATCTACATTCAATTTACTGCATGTACAATTTTGATTTATTTTCTCTTTCAGAGCCAAGACTGTATCTGAAAATTTAAAAATGAATTCGGCACTTTTATCACGGTTTGATTTAGTATTTATTTTATTAGATCAACCTGATGAGGTAAGTATACCTAAATACCCTCATGAGTATTATTTCTGGTATAACTCCATGCTGTACCAGAAATACAAACTTGGTTTAAAAAGTATTTATATAGAATTATGTTGTTGTATATCCGCCATTGTTGTTTTAGAAAATAGATGCAATGCTTTCCGCACATGTCTTAGCTTTGCATAGCGGTCAAAAAAAGACTACAACTAAAAATGATATAATCTCCACCTTTACTACAAGCCAATGCGATAACGAAGCATCATTGAGGTATTTAATTATTAGTTTAATTTATATTCACATAATTTTCAGCATTTTAGTAACGTAAATAAAATATATTTTATACATAGAATACATATATAAAACACCTGTTACCTTTTCCAGTAAAAAGTTAAGATTAAAACTAGGAGAAAATATTGATACACTACCCCTGGTACTGCTTCGGAAATATATTGCCTACGCAAGAAGATACGTACATCCAAAACTTAGCGTCGAAGCAGCCAATGTGTTACAAAACTTTTATTTGGAATTACGTCATAATCAAGAAAATGGTTCAGATGGTACACCTATAACAACTCGTCAACTGGAAGCCTGCATTCGACTATCACAAGTAATATTCTACTACTAAATTGTAGCATACGAAATATCTATAGGTCGTCTAACCAAAATTTTTATTTTTAGGCTCGTGCAAGAGTAGATTTACGAGAAGAAGTCACAGTACAAGATGCTAATGATGTAATTAGTTTAGTGAAACATAGTTTAATGGATACATTTAGTGATGAATTCGGTAACATACAACTATCTCGTTCAATAAACGGGTCTGGAGTAAGTTCAAGAAATAAAGTAAGTACTTACATCATATATTTTTATTTTATTACTTTTATACATGACTAGCCTAATATAATATCTAACAATTTATAAAAATGAATGAGGATAATAATGTTTGTTTCAGTTGAAAAGATTCTTAGAAGTTCTAAGAAAACAAACAAGTCAATTAGGTAAAGATGTGTTCACCAGAAAAGAATTGATGCAATTACATAAAGCCGCCGGTATATCAGGCGACCCAAATGATCTGATAGAAGCAATGCATATACATTCATATCTATTACTGAAGGGCTCCAATACATACCAATTTATTGCTATATAATATGTAAATATTCAAATACAAAGTTAAAATGTTAAAATATATTCACATTTTTTTAATACTTTTCCTGTTTTAGTCTATTAAAATAATAATTTCCTGTATGTATACTCACATAAATCATAAACTGAAATTCTAGGAACTATAAACATATAAGCTTAGCAAATAGTATTTTGAGACCATTTTATCATTCTACTAACAATGGGTATGAAATAATTACACAACTTATTTTTAAATTTTAATGGCTATAAATTATGGCGAGTATGGGATACTTACATAGTCTTGTCCCATATCTGATATGGTTCTGAACCACCTGCATCCACACACACAACTTACCGTAGGCCAACCCAACAATCGCCAATGTTTTAGGGAAAGCACTGTACTAACTGTATGATGATGACTTCCAAAGTCATCGCTGATAGCATGTTTATCTACAAATATACCGGTTCGCCAATATAAGCACGAAACAGTTTCAGATACAGACTGGTCAAGATATTACATCTAATGAATCTACATTTATACATGGCTCTATAAAATAATACTGATAATTTGAGTATAACTGAAAAATAGCTTAATAAAAAAATATACAAAATTTTAATTTAAATATGAATAAGAAGGCATCTAGTAACTGATGCTATGTTTATGCCTAATATCACAGAAATTTTAATATATGAAAATAAATAGAAAAAGACTAAACCTAACATTCCAAGTTAAATTCAATCCGTTTATTATATTTATCAGTTCTCGACCCTATGTTTTTTAGTGCCATAGACACTTGACAGCAAGAATACAATGCAATGCAGACTAACAATGTATTCCAAAATGAAGGGTTCAGAAGACTTTCAAAGAATAAATTCCCAACTTGAGTGCCACCAAATAAATAGAAATTTGATATGGCAGACAGGGCTAATAATGGTGTACATAACAGAGCAATAAATCGTGTTTCCATCTCATTTGTCTTCAGTACATTTTCCTTGAACCATTTATACAACACACCTCCTGATATTCCTTTGCCTATGTGTTCCATTGTTATACCAAAAAAATTTAGAACTGACCATACAAATATATTCCAAACTGTTCCATGCCACATAAATATAAATACAAATGTGAAAAATGAAGCTATTAATTTATTTGCTGACTCATAGAGCATGAAACATTTGGACAAGGTAGTAAAACTAGGCTTGTAGATATATCTGAAAACAAAAACAAGCTTTATCAATTCATCAATAAACAAGAAGTATATTGCATAAGTTTTATAATGGTACTAACATATAAACCAAAAACATGATATTCTCAAAGAAAAAATGTAGGCAAATAATAATGTAGATAGTGATAAACAAATAAAAAGTAATTTTAATTTATTACTCTTAGCAATCTTTACTTACTTGACTAAAAATCTGTAGAGGCCAACATCAAAATATCTCCACATTTGAGAGTACACATGAACCCTGGCTATACATCTAGGAGTTGGAGGAGCATCAATGTTGTCTAGTCTAGCAAATGCTGTAGTTGTGCCATATGATATGACATACTTCATGTGAAACTCCAGCCCCATCCACAACCCACCCCCACACAGTGCTATTGTGGGCAACTTTCTAATAGTCTAAAAAGAATTATATTATATGTAATGTATGTATTATGATCATAAATCTTAATAAGTTTTTAAAAAGATTTTATACCTCCATATCATTCTGCATTGCTAAAAAATAAATAAAGTGAAATGCCAAATCCAAAATAAAGGTATAAAACAGGAATAATGACATATCTGAAATGAAATTCTTCAGTCTTAATGGTAATTTTTCCTTAGGTCGACAAAAGCTCTTCTCAAAATCTTGATAAAGAATCATGGGTCCAATATACAACAATGGCAAATACAAAATATAACTGAACATGTCAACAATTGTATCAACAGCGGTAGGTTGGTTATGGTTATTAATCTTTTCTTTTTTGTCAATGTAATCAATACAAAAACTAATGCACCTCAGTTCAATCCAGGCTATGGTAAATAAAATTAAATATACTTCTTCATCTTCAAGTTCTTTGTGGTCCAAAAAATACCAAAAGAAATACTTGTATTTAAGTGAGTTATAACTGACTAGAAGCACTATGCCAGTTAGCCAAATACTTATTTTCTTTCCACCACAAAATATTATTGATACAAATATTATTGGTTGTGCACATATCACAAGTAACTGCTTTAATCCCATATGTAAGACAATAAATATCACACTTGATGTTATATACCAATATTTCAATGCTATCAATTCAGTTCTTCTCAGAATCTCCGATACCACAAATTGGAGAATCAAATAATGCCATGATGACTGTATAAAATATTTCCAGCTACTCCATTCAACATCTGAAATATCTTTGGGTCTATACAACATTTCCCAACCAGGGCTCATGTCACTCAAAATATATGACAATTCAGTATTATTATATAAAACATCTGGAAATACATTAATTATTTTAATTAATTAAGTCATTCAAGTCGTGTAAATCATGCTATGAGGAAAATAATATTACAAATTCAAAGACGAGCGGTTTGACGAAACTTTGTAATTTTCATGTATAAACGTTTATTAGGACACAATAAAACAAGGACTAATTCTACATACAGATGTTCAGATATATGAAAAAAAATATTTTATCTTACAAGATTCAAATAACATAAAATTCTACATTACCTGTTTGTGTAACAAACAACAAGTGTAAGGAATAAATATTCGAGAATATCCACACACAAAAATAAAGCACGAGTTCATAAATATTAACTGTGACTTCCATTGTAATTATATATTAGTGGTATTAGTAACTTTCAATTATTTTATAATCATTTCGAAAACACAATGAATTTAAATTTATCCGGCAAATAAGTCAAACAACGGTAAGAAGTAAAGTAACAATACATATTAACAAACATGAATGTATTGAATGATATTAACAGATGTCTGTCTTTTTTAGTGTCAACGTCAGCTGTCATTTGACATAGTTTGTGTTTCACGTAGACCTTAGGATTATATAGAGTGTGCAACAAAAAGTATAGAATGATATTAATAATATTTGTATAAAACTTTTGAGAGAAATTATAACTTTTCATACACTTTGTATCAATATAAACAGCATGATGGAAAATGAAAAATTCATTTCGGTAATTTAAATGTATGAATTAAATTTATTGTTATTTTTATGACAATTGTATTTAGCAAAAAAATATTATGTACTTCTATTGTGTTTATACCCAATATCCTTGTTTCTAACAACATCTTTATAGTTTGTCCTTCTAGTGTTGTTTCGCAGTAAACTCTAATGTCGATTTACATGAAATGACCAATATAACAGATGTTGAACTACTTAATAAATGTAGTAATAAATATATGTAATATGTACCTATAGGTATTGCAATTCTTATCATATAAAACTGATCAGAATTCAATTATTAATATTAAGAAGTGAGATAAATGGAATGTCCTTACAAGTAATTTCTTTAATGTTTTATGTTTAGATCACTAGTATAGCAATAATTTTATCCATAATTTTAGGACACATATTCGCCACATATAGGATGTCGCAAAAATCGGAAGCAGGAGAAAGAAAAAGTCATCACAGTTTTCAGAATTTTAATGTAATTAGACCCAGTGGCTATAATTTAACTATATTACTATATTTAAAAAAAGCTTTAAAATCAGTATTAGTAGTAGTAGTATCGTCATCAGTAGCTATTATCGTTTCAACTATTTTGCTACATATTGTAACTTTTATTCGATTTTAATCTTAGAATATCTGGAGTACAACCATTAGGGAAATATAATTATATTATATATTCATTATCTGACGACTGTTGCAAATTATTATAACATTACGAACCATTTTATAATATGAACGAAGTTCTTTCATTCGTCTTTACGTCATTTCAAGTAGCCAGTCAAGAGCGTTGATATACCTAGTTAGATTATCCATTCACTTACACATTTAATACCTACTCAATATTATTATAGCTACCTAATAACAGAGACCACTGAGAGCCGAGATGTTTAGTCTCGAGTACTCGACACGTCGTCTGTCAGTCGCTCGTTTATATCTCTGTGACCCTGTGTTAGCAGAGAAACTTCTGCTTATAACTATAACAAATTTGTGACAACTTTGCACTGTTTCCAATTTTTAGTAAACATCGTAATTTGTTTTTTGTACACAACAGGAACAGGCTCCAAAGAATATGAAAAATATGCTGAATTTACTTTTTGGAACATTATTATTTTTTAATTTCAGCTTAGGTAAGTGATTTCGTAATTCTTCTAATAACAATAGACTTAAAACTTTACTATATTTTAATTTGTCTAACCACAAAAGAAATATATTCGTTTGTATACTAAATACAACTGGCTGTAAAATATTTATGTACCTATTATTCAGCAGTTATTGTTGTGCTAATGACCTACCTATTTTGAGGAAACTTAAGCAATAAGCAAATGGTGACCTCTTTAGTTAGGAATTTATTTACCTAATGAATAACTACTTAAAATAATAATTGACTACTGTTATATTTATTCACAAAATTTGTTAATATGTATACATAATACATATTTACTAATTTTGTAGGCTATAAAATAAGAAATAAAGCAACAAGAACATAACATAATTAATAAGCTTATAGGAACTCAATTAGTTTGATAACACCCTAATCATAACAAAATTATATGTATAGTACCTATTTGTTTTCAAAATATCTATACTAATATCTAGGGGAAATCCGTTAATTACGTCACACAATTGTTTTTTGAGAAAAGCACCGTCTTTTTGAAAAGCTCTGTCAGTCTGTATGCTTTTGTGAAATATCCCCTCACTAGTAGAACCTCACATATTTTGCTACTTGATTCCTTCATAGATTATATAAAATATGACTGAGAATCCTCTTTCCTCCTCACACTTTATCATACTAGAGCTCCTGGCTTCCATTAACGCGTGACGTATTTAATGGATGGCCCCTTAATAATAACAACAATACTAATCTATACATCTATACATATAAATAAAATTGGAGTGTCTGTTTGTAATATTGAAATAATCGTTTTTTACTACATTCATATGAATATAAATACGGTATATACACCAAAATAACATTTTTTGTATTTTTGTCTGTCTGTTTGTTCCGGCTAATCTCTAAAATGGCTGGACCGATTTTGACGGGAACTTTTTTGGTAGGTAGCTGATGTAATAAGGAGTAACTTAGGCTACTTTTTCTATTTTAGAAAAATATTCTGATTAATTTTTTTTGTAAAATTCCACGCGAAGTCGCGGGAACAGCTAGTTATGATTAAAATCATTTTTTCTCAATGTCAACATGCTATATTTTTATAATACTACGCGAGAATAATTTCAGCTATAATAAGAAATCCCAATATCAGTAAAAACATTGGCAATTAAAATCTACGAGTAGGCACAATTTAGTTAAGTTCCTACCACAGTTAAAAACTAATTAAATTATATGTACCTGTATTCCTCAAATCAAAAGACGACTCCGGCTGTAAATATAGACGGCAAATACAATTATATCATGGTTGTGAACAGAAAGATATTAATATCTACTTTGTCGTATATACAGATATGAGGTTTTTTTATATACAAAAGTAGAGTATATTTATTATACATTAAACTAATTACCAAAAATATCTCTAGTTGTTTCAGGAAGAGAATATAATAAGCAACAACTACTGAATCACAATACAGATTTTTTATTACATGAATCAAATGTGAATCCAACTTCACCAAAACGAGATTACGTCACATCACAGCCAAATCCTCAAAATACTCAGATAAGTAAACAAGATTTCCCCCCGTTAAAACCTACATCGGCTACATCGCCGCCACCTGGGGTGACTGTGATTTCGACTACGAAAAAACAAGACTTTCCTCCTTTACGGTCCCCTTCCGCTACACCACCTTATCAAGGTATTCCACAAGGATCTACTCGCCCTGATCAGACGTCGTCTGGAAAACGAGACTATGTCGCTCCTCATTATCCATCCTCTAATCCTACTGCCCATCAATCATCGGGAAAAGTTAAAGATTTAATAAACTTTTATGACAACAAGGACAGAGAAAATACTCCCCAGAAGGTACCAAGTTATAGTAATATTTTACAAGGAACTACGAATAATAAAGTAACGCCAAGTACTACCAGTATATATCAACCAGTTACCCAACCTAATCAAAAGATATCAACTATTTATATTCCAAAGCCTTCTAGTTACAGCGGCGTTGTTAGTGGGCACACATCTACGTCAGGAACTACTTTTAAACCTTCATCCAAAGGGCCTTATCAATCTACTTTCCCGGTATATGGAATGACGACTGTTCGACCAGGAAGCCCAATTTTGCCAAGTACACTCGTAAATAATAACTTAAACAATAGAAATAATCCTACCGATACCGAATTACAAACTTTAAGTGAAGACTTGTTAAGAAAAGATGTCAATAATGCAGCAAAATATATTACTATTAATTTTCAAGAAAAAACTACGGGGCAGTCTAAAGAAGATAGGGCACCTAGACCGTGAGTAATATCAACACAAACATTAGCTAAATTATCTGTAATCAATTCATGATCAATTGTTGGTTGTCATTAATAAAGTAGATAATTAGTTGTTGCTGATGCTTACTGATTCCGTAGTAATAGTTATACCTAATTTGTAGTCCCTAAATCACTTTTTAGCAATAAATAATTATGTACAACATGCCTACAACAGTTTATCGTGTATTAGTTTTTTAAATAGTTGACACATTATGTATGTACCTACTTCTTTGATCATACTAAGTATTTCTATGATGGATAGCATTATGATTGTCTAATTGTTTACTTAATTTGCAGATTATTCACTATCACGGACGAGGCATGGAATATCCCTACAGTCCAAAAAATACTCCCCTTGTTAGATAATTACGAAAGAGACACTTTGGTAAACGAACATGTTACTGCGCAGGTGAGTCATTGTTTAGAGAAGAAGCATAATATTATGTAGGTGCAGAGATACCTACTTAAGTCATTCATGGTTTTGTTTACCTTAAATATATGAAACCATACTTACTATCCGTAATATAAAGGTATCTACTTATCAAAACAATCTAGGTATTGCAACGTATACTCGTATTTCACAAAGTATAAGACTCCCTTTACCCAGGTTCTCAAGTATAGCAGATACAATAAACTTTGTAATACAAAATAAAATAGGTAGAATAAATATAACAGTAGTTCAAAATATCGAGGTAGCATTTTGCATCGTCTGGTTAACTTCGAATATACGAATTTAGGAGTAGGTATCTTAACAAATTTAACCTTCAACCTAATTATCTCTTGTAATACAAAATATTATCTCAGTAGCAGTATTTATAAACTCTGCTACATTTTGTTATCTAAGGACTTTAATATAGTTAATAACTTGAACAAAATCAAAAATTTATCAATGAAGCTTACAGTTGTGCAATACCTGTCTGGCCTGATTTTAGTATATTAATTTCAGTGTTTGTGTGTATGTTTTTATAGTTATTTATTTTTATTACGTTCAGGTTCTTCAGTTCGAAACAGCACTATTACGAGCTTATTAATTCCTTTAAATAAAATTATTAATAAGAATACAAATATTTACTTGTGTCATGCTGTAGCCAGTTGGATTTTAGTTTTTTAACTTAATTATCCTTACACAATTTGATATATATTGTGATATCAGATTCATAAAGTTGAAACCGAATACATAAACTACACGATTAGTAACGGAACATGAATGACAATATTATTTGTTTTAATGTTTCTATTTCTAAGTAGGTACCTATGTGACCAATACCATCTACTCAAAAAATGTTATTTTTTATCAGCTAATGCTAATAGCATACAAATTTTTGAAAGTAACTAGCTCGCATATGTGAATACACATATTTAATTACAGGAACGTAATGAAGAAAATGCATTTATGGATGCAATCATGTCTACAACAGTTATACGACACTTGATGAACTTTTTAAAAGATAAAGGTCCTGTGCTCTTCAATTTTATTATTCAAATTTTTAAATATTGGTGGCAACCAATTACAGACCGATACCCAATTATTTATTTATAGGATATGTTACACCCGACCCAAGGCAACAAAGGGACTTCTTGAAACAACTGTGGTTTGGCCTGTATTCTAGAAGCAGGGGGAAGATTAGCAGCTCCGGGTTTGAGCATGTATTTGTATCTGAACTTAAAAATGGTGAAGTATCAGGTATGGTCTCCTCATTAATAAGTGGCCAGAAAATTTATTTGTTTAAATATTTTCCATAAATAACCTTCTTATATTTTGCTCATTTCAGGACTACACAATTGGATATATTTCTCCAAAGAAGAAACAGCTAATAGAGTTAATTACCTAGGCTATCTGAAATATACGCAATTAAGCGATGTGAGTAAAAATGTTAATTATAATTATAAGCGAATAAAATTTAAACTTAGTTGGTATATTTATTACTAATACTATAATTTCTACTTGCAGAAAGGTACAGTTTTGAAATTGCACTTTAGTCAACAAGGAGTTGATAAGCCCGTCGACAGTATGTTCATCGGTACTTCCCCGGAATTAGAAATTGCGTTGTACACACTTTGTTTCGTTACCCGAACCGATAATGACTGTTACCTTAAACTTGCTGGTAAAGATGTGAATGTTATTACTCATTCTTATCGCTATCGTAGTAAAAATTTTATTGGTAGTGCCTATCCACAGATTTAAGATAAATGTTGTGTAATTTATTGGAAATTCATTATTTCAATTAATTGCCAATACTCAAGTCAAATATTGTGTATATATTTAGATAAATATTTTTTTTAAATAACTAGATGTACATAACAGCAAGTTTGTGTTTAAAGTTTTTGGTTACCTTAATGAAAAAGTTTAAATATTTTAAATAATAAACAGATTAAGTATTTATAATGTATAGTCACTTGTAAAAATAAATATGTTTTGTTTATACCTAAAATGTTGTAATTACATAATTATGCAAGAGCTAATTATTTATAACCCCCAGACTGCAGTTGTCCTGCAGTCATTCCATAAATTTGGTGTTCCTACTGGACAAGTCTTCAATTTTATTGGAAAAAGTAAGTCAGCTGCGGACATTAGAATTATAATAATTAAAAATGAAAGTAATCTCACTATACTAACAAAACCCATCACGTCCATGTAGTCCATGTCTATGCCTACAGCAGATTCGAAATTAAACCTTGTATCTATGGCGCTTGAACTCATACAGATAAATACTGTATGCCAGTAGAAACAAAACTATTTTCATAGTCACATAACTAAGTCAGTATATTTTGAATTCACGTCGTACCTTTATTTTACCAATTTAAATTAATATTTTATTTATCGTACCAATATAAAACTTTAAACCAATCTACTTTCTTTCATCAGAATATTTGTATCAGCCAATCAGAGAGTATTCTGTTTTTCCTTAGATAATAATAATGTATCAGTCACATATTTTAAACAATACAATTATTTATGAAGTCCCAGATTACTGAGGTAGATATAGAAAATACGTGTATTTAAGGACTCAGTGTCCTCTTCCATAATATGGAAGAGGACACTGAGTTATTCTAACTATTTTCATAGTCACATAACTAAATCAGTATATTTTGAATTCACGTCGTACCTTTATTTTACCAATTTAAATTAATATTTTATTTATCGTACCAATATAAAACTTTAAACCAATCTACTTTCTTTCATCAGAATATTTGTATCAGCCAATCAGAGAGTATTCTCTTCTTCCTTAGATAATAATAATGTATCAGTCACATATTTTAAACAATACAATTATTTATGAAGTCCCAGATTACTGAGGTAGATATAGAAAATACGTGTATTTAAGGACTCAGTGTCCTCTTCCATATTAGGGTCTACTTGTCGGTGAAATAATGAAGATATTTATACCCAATGGAACATTACATTATCATGTACACTTCCATGTAAATAGAGAAGTGTTACCGCAGCAAGCTAGGTGGAGAAGAAGAGATAGCTTTGTGAGAGTAACCCCAGTGTGTATGTTTGTATTTGAAGATATTTGAAATAGTATATGTAAATGACGATGACAATATCAAAATGAACAGTTGATACCACAAAACAATTTATCTGTTCCGTGCTTGACACCTATAAAATTGAATCCAAATGAAATTAGATTTATCCTGTAAATAATATTAAATACATGGATATATAAATACTAAACATAATATATAATTTCTATTTAGCATTGTAGGTCTTGTACCCAAGCCATGAACCTGCATAACAAAATAATAATTAATTAGCTGTCAGTTCAGTGTCTTAATAAATGACATACAAAGTGACATATAATATATTACTTACTGAATGAATAGCACGTTTCAGCTGTCAATCATTACATTCAGTTAGCCATCAGTCAATTCAATGCATACTGTGTTTTTTAAACGTATTGTTCTACTTTTTAATTAATTTTCAATTATGCAATAATAATAAAGTTAAAATAACTGTAATCAACTATGTTTACTTACTGATTTAATTATTTCATACTCATAAGTTACTTTAATATCTATAATTTATTATATAAATCTTTGTATATTTAATTTAATTTTTATAAATTTTGTGTTCACATAATTTTTTTATTAATATGAGTCTATTTAAAGCTTCTATATTAGGAGCAAGAACCATAACCATCTTATTTACCAATTCTCAAAAGTATACATTAGTATGTAGGCGATTTTCTACGCGCGAACTATTAAAGGAAGCATATTGTCGCACGAAACTTAAATGTCGATGTGAGTTGTACTTTTATACTAATTTTACATTCATTTTACATATAAAATTAATTGCTAAATATTTTTTTATCTTTTACTGTTTTCTGTATTTTGTCGTTAAAACTTTTTATCCAGCTAAGAAATTACCTCAAGATGTGAACCCCAAAGGTGTGTTTGCTTGCAATGAATTGGATCTCTCCGAGGTCAAAGTATATGGGTTCGATTATGACTACACATTGGCACATTATAAACCTACATTGGAACATCTTCTCTATAATCTTGGTAGAGATATTCTGTTAGAAAAATATAATGTAAGTACTTAAACTTTTATCCCATTTGACTACTTACTGCCCCTTTAAAGCAAGGTAAGGACATTTTTGGCAGGTCTTTGTATCTTTAGATTATTAATTAATTAGCTAGTGTTTAAAGTTGGCTATTAATATTAATTCTATTAACACAAAAAATTCTAATGTTTTAATTGTGGAGATATTCATAATTTTTAATATTAAAAATTTTAATTAAATTAAAAAATTACATGTAATGTTTAAAATGTATAATAATTTTATTATTTATGAATACTCACCCTGAGTATGAAACTATTTATGTTCCTCATGTCAATTTTTTGTGTTCTTTTGTTATTCAAAATCAGTAATTATAATTGGAATGGCAAGACAGTGCAAGTCTGCAGTCCATATAGTGCATAACTCTTTATTGCTAGTAAGTAACCTCTAGCTAGCTTGTTCAGGTGAACATTCAGCCGGCCTTATGTTTTGAAAATTTTGTTTACAACAATAGTAATCATTTCAATTTGCATTGACCTCCTACAACCAACACAGAATGTCATAGAATCCTCACATTTTATACAGAATATTGATGAAGATCTGTTGTATTGATAAGTAAAAAAATATTGGTTTATAAAACACTATAATCATAATATATTACTATCAGATCAGCAAATAAAAAAATATTTTACATTAATTACATTTCCATTCTATATTGACTGCCTTCCCAAAACAGTGACTATCATGTTATGTTGGTTTAGTCTGTAAAACTGTGTGCATAGAGTTTTTTTTTATTGTATGTAGTTGTAACTCATACAGATACTATACACTTACATAAAACTTTTGTTAATTTACAGTATCCTCCAGAAATATTAAAATTAGAGTATAGACCTAACTTTGCGGTAAGGGGCCTGCATTATGATATTGAAAAGGGAGTTCTCTTGAAATTGGATTCCTTTTTGCAAATACAATTTGGAGCTGTCTATCGTGGCCTCACACCTGTCTCCACGGAAGAAGTCCTCAAAATGTACAAAAATAGGATCATACCTATTGCTTATGTAGAGGGCGATACAAGAGCACATAAGGTAATATTATTGTCCTTTTATTATGATGGGTTGGTTATATGCCTAGATAAATAAATACAGTTTTTAATTAACTAACATTACGTGGTATAAATATATTCAAATCATCTAAATAGATATTATTGTAGATACTATAATTCATATTTGAAATTTCACTATAATATTGTAATTGTAAATGAAAAAAATATATTTGTTTTTGCCGTATCATTGGAGTCCCGTTTAGTTAATAGTAATATATAGTCTAACTACCTATAAATACAGATATATAGATATATTTGTAGGTATTGTTTACTTAAAAATAATAATTACGATATTCAAATTTTCTTTTTACTAAATTTAAGTATAGTTTGTATATGGTACAACCATTCTGGTAAATTAGCTTTTCTATTAAGTAAAATAGAATATGTATTTACAAAGCTAGTTGCCTGAGTAAAGATATTTTAAATTTAATTGCACTCGCGCGCTCACAGTGCTGGTACCGCCGATTCGTTTTCGGTATGCCCCATGCAAGCGGCCCTATGCAAGTCCTGAAGTTATCAAATCTATATAGGATTACAACAATGTAGTAGTAAGTGAGAATTTAAAGAATATATAACAGAATTAATACATATATCTATTCAAACGTAATTATATTACTCAGAGGAAATACTATATTATTTGTTTGTTTGCTGGTAATGTAGCCTACAGTATATTATTTTGAAAATAATTCACGCAGCCCTACAATAATACCAGCCGCGGCGAGCATGTATAAATAAATATTATGCTACATGTATTTATTTACGATATTGCTAATTAAATAGAATCAATAATTCTTAGTTAAATAAAAAAAAAATATTTTTAAGCAGTTGTTCTTGCATATTGTACATTCAATTATTATATGATAGAGTGTAACACAGTTCCAGATAGCGTATTCAGTAATGACTGGCACTTGTAGGCAATCATTCATTTGTGCTCCCCTACTACTGGTCATATAAGAATATCGTGTGTGGCATGACACTGATCGTCAATTGTAAATACCATATATGAATAATACACGGTTTCTCGACTCTACTTGTATAACTCAAATTAAATATAAAGTACTTTAATAATAAAGTACTTACTTGTAACAGAATTAATACAAGTCCTTATATTTTCTATTCTCAGCAGAAGTAGTTAGCCAAAATGGACGGTATAAAAAAATTTACTTTAAATGATTTTGACTTCGATTAGATTATATAATTACACATTTTATATAAAAAAAAACAAAATGCGAATGTGTATATATTACTAGCTGACTCGACAATCGTTGTTTTTCATAGAAATTAAAATCACTATTAAAAAATAGGAGTTGGTGATATAAGGGTGAAAATTTAAGTATGTACTTTTAAATGCCACATTTACCTTAAAACTAAAAAAAATTTTTCGAAAAAATTTAAAATAATTTTTAGGGTAAGCCACCTTTAACACTTAGGGGTATAAAAATTTGTTACTTAGTTAAAAATTGGTTAGTTACCTATTCTCAGAACTACTGAAGTTAAACAAAATGGCCAAAGCTCAGGTTATTGTTTTGCCCTTGAAAGAGTTTATCATAATATATCATTGACATTCTGAAGTAGTAGAGGTTGTTATTTAATAACAATGCCTGGCCAAACTGCTACTTCCTCTATTTAATGACCCACGAAACGTACGGATTCTATTGTAATACAATTTGTTTTTAAGGATAATATTGATTACTACGACCTGTTTCTCGCGGCATCAGCCCGTGAAATGGGATAAAATGTACCCCATGTCTAATAGAATATAATCAAAATTTCAATCGAATCAGTACTGTAATATGTATAAATATAAATCCATCCAAACTCACACACTTTCTTATTACGATAATGTGAATGATATTAAATTGTGTTCTATATTATAAATACATACGTAAATGGATGAGATTTAGTCTAATATTACTATTCTTCGAGATTGGGTTTAATAATTCTATTACGTGTTTTAGAAGGATCTTCTTAGTTTGTTATAGTAAGATAGACATAATTTATGTAAATTACAGGTTTTCCCATTAGTAATAAATGTATGTTGGTAATGATAGTGCTGATAATAAAGAAGTGACATCCTCTACTTATTAATTTTCCTTTATGTGTTACATAATGCTATAGTTTATATTTTCAGGCAAATCGGGCCAAAATGGTACACTTAGCTGATCTATTCTCAGTACCTGAAATGGGACTGCTTTGTAATGTAGCTGAATATTTTATTAAGAATCACATTGACTATCACCCTGAGATACTTTTCTTAGATGTTAAGGTAATATCACGTTAATTTTTTAAACAAATAATTTGTATATCTGTAACATTCCCTCATTGTCTATTTGTTTTTTATTTTTTCATGTGAAGAATTGTTAGGAATAAAACTATAAAATGATAAATCCAATATACATATATTTTGTAATTTGTATTTATAAATGTGTCATTTTGTATATTTTAGAATTCAGTACAGAGTTGTCATCCAGTAATGCATAAGATTGTTTCACAAAATGTTGAGGAATATATAAGACCCAATCCTGATCTCAAGAAATATTTTGAGATGCTTCAGACCAGTGGGAAGAAATTGTTTCTTGTAACCAACAGCCCTTTTAATTTCGTGTATGTATTATAATGCTGTAATTTGAAAACTGCTACACTAAGTTAGTACCTACTTGCTAGTACAGGTAGGTACTCAAATCAATTTAATCTTACAAAAGACGAAAGACAACGAAGAAGTCTATCTTTTGTAAGATTGAATATATTACAGCAAGAGCCAAATGCTAAATTGCACCAAAATTTTGATTGACTATATCTACGATCAAGTAACCATTTAAATATTTCTATAAACTTTCATATATTTTTTAAATTGTTTCTAATAGTCATTATAGTATTTATTTTAGTACTAAAAATGTTTATCATTTAGTTCTATAATTGCATAGAATACTTAAGTCAATAAATGGAGAGGTACTTTGAATTGACTGTTCACATGCTCGGCCGTATGAGTAAGCTGTAGTCTTATCTGAATCTTTGGTTTAATTATCTCTTTATAAGCTAAGTTTGAGATCAATCGCTGTTATGGCAATGTTTAGAAGTATATTTATTTATATTTCTAAGAATATCATATCTCGTATGTTGACATTCTAAACTTATGGTATAATACTGCTTGTCTAGTTGCCTTTATTTTTAAATGGCAACATAATTTATAAATATTATTAGGAAAGTATATATCTGAAGATATTATCAATTAATTAATTGTTTGTTCTTTTATACTGATTTTATTTATGTCATTTACTAGTAATGCTGGTATGGAAATGTTGGCTGGACATGACTGGTTAGACTTCTTTGATGTGGTAATTGTGAATGCCAACAAACCTAAGTTTTTCACGGAAGTGTCACGGCCTATTAGAGTGTTCGATAAAAATGCCGATACCCATATATGGGAGAAGGTTTCATCTCTAGAAAAGGGTATAATTTATTATGAGGTGAGTTCATGATGTATTTAATTCATGACATTTAATATTAAAACACTTTACTACAGTTCAATACAGTAAACAAAATTTATAATAAAAAATAGTACTTATATAATAAAATACCAGAGAGAGACTGTAACAATTCTACTAATTCAGAAACTATTTCAGCTTCCAAGTAGCTTGCTTAGTAAGTTCGCTTTCGGCTGTAGAATACAGATTCAATGAAATTACAGGATAAGAGGCGTGTCATTTTAGTGCTCTGTAAAGACAACAGATGAGTAGTTTCACGGTAGTTTCTCGTCACATGATAAGGTAATGTCAGTAGTGCTGTATATAGACGTCATCATGTATATAGACGACGAATATCGCTTATCTGTCATACTGAATATATAAAAATATTGTAAACGGTCACGCAAATATAGCTCATCTAATGGAAAGTGGTTCTTCAGATACGTGTTCTATTATCTCACTCAAACGTATCCGACTTCCATTGCTGCACATAAACAACAACCTCACAAAGAGAACCTCTACATATTACGCCCCTTAGCCAACTGCATTAATTACTCTGCGTATTTTTTAGACTGTAACTTTGGCCTGTTGGATCATTCCTGGGTTTTAACACAAGTTTGAAAATAGTATATATTATATATACTGCGAAGTATGCAAGAAGGAAAATATATGAGATTATAGATGACGAATGAGCTACACAATGCTTCTAGCAAGAAACATTGTGTTGCTGGTCGCTGGTCGCTTGCCGCTGCGTCCGAGTCGAGTCGTTGTCGGAAACTAAATATTTTATGAGCGGAGCGAGATCGTTATTCAAGTATACATTTAACAATTACAGGGAACAGTAAAGCAACTACAGGACCTTACAGGGTGGAGTGGTCACCAGGTACTATACTTCGGTGACCACCCTTATACTGACCTCGCCGACGTGACGCTAGAACACGGTTGGCGTACTGGGGCTATCATCAACGAGCTAACGGTCAGTCTATGGAAATTATATATACAAGTTTCTTAAAATATATGCAAAAAAAATTTTTAATAATTGTTTTTGTATAGAGAAGTAGTACTTGTATTTGCCATAATTGAAGATTTTATTTTACTAAAAAGAAGCATGTGTGGATAAAATAAATTAAACGAAAGTAAACACAATATGTTGATTCATAAAGACATATTTGTTTTATCAGAACCATTTTTCAGAATCTATTATGTAAACTCAGTATTCAAATTGTAGAGAGTTTGCTATCATTTTCAACACCTTGCCATTTTTATTAGAAAACAATATTGCTTTAATTAACGATTTTATTATTACGAAATTTGTATAAATTTGTATGATTTATTGCTTCATATATTGGCTATATATATTATGTAATTACAAAATGTATTTAACTAGTACTAATAGTCTATATGACGCTGTGTGAATTGTTCTGGGTTTTTATTATTAATAATTGTCGTAACTGTCTACAGCATGAGATCAACACCTTGAACACCAGATCCTTCAAAGAGAACGCTAACTGGCTTCAGATGCTTACACAACTTATTGAAGATCACCAGGACTACAAAGACCCCGAAGCACTCAAGATCCTCAACGAATGGATGGCAGAGAGGGATTTTCTAAGGTTCGTAAAACAAATTCTTATAAATATTTGTGTGTATATTGGAATAACATATATGTCTTTTTAAAAAGTGTGTTGTGTTTTTCTCTCTATCGTAAAATATATGTACTAATTGTGGGGAATCTAATTATGTAACGCTGTAACTATTAACTAACTAACAACCTCGGTCTAGCGATTCATCAACCCGCTTTACTTGTGATGGGTGTGTATTGATTCTTCGTAGCGTACAGATATTTGTATTAATACGTATGATTGCTTATGTCGATCTGAGTGTTTTCTATGTGTTTTATGTTTAAAAAATATATATGTTTATGTATTATCACTTGTATAGTACTGATAACACAAACTCTTTTTAGCTTGGAAATAGATGGCGCTGTATGAGTTGCCTTGAGATATTAGTAGTATCATCATTACAAAGTCGCTGTCTGTCCCTATGTATGGTTAAATCTTAAAAACTACGCAACGGATTTTAAAGCGGTTTTTTTAATAGATAGAGTGATTCTAGAAGAAGGTTTATATATATAACTAGCTTTTGCCCGCGGCTTCGCTCGCGTTAATTTATCCTCTTAGGGGTGGAATTTATCAAAATCCTTTCTTAGCGGATGCCTACGTCGTAACATCTACCTGCATGCCAAATTTCAGTCCGATCCGTCCAGTGATTTGGGCTGTGCGTTGATAGATCACTATGTCAGTCACCTTTGAGTTATATATATTTAGATACATGTACACCCGGGCGAAGCCGGCACAAATAGCTAGTTAATAATAATTGTTATTTGAAACAGATTTAAAATGTACAAATTTGAAATAATGGATGCACTATTTCAGAGTTGCAATTAGCTTGCATCTGCTGCTCTTGATTAGTTTGCAAATCCATCGATTTTAATCTTTTACAATTCAGAATTGTTCGTATCAGCATTACATAATTGACCCCTATGCATTTAAATCAAATTTAGTGGTGAATTTAACATGCTATCTAAACTAATACAATTTTTATTTCACTGTAAATATTCAGTCATAATTAAAATCAAACTATGTGTTCATCAAACATTATATAATTAAATATTTATTGCATTCCATAATGTTTATAGTGAAATTATTATATATATAGCATTACTTATAACTTATAATTTAATATTATTAATATTGGACCAAAGCGAATTTTAAACTTTTATGCAGGCGATACAATATTAAAAATGTATTATTCTAATTAACGCCATCCAACTTAATGCTTTAATTGTAATATTTGTGTGTTGCAGTGGTTATTTCTAAATTTTGTATATAAACTAATTGGCTTTTGTAAATAACGCACATGTCTTTCCCTTTCATGCTCGCATTGTAGGAGTTCTTGTCTCACTTCCAGGAACAACATAAAGGCTGTATTTAACCCCCAATTCGGTAGCGTGTTCCGAACGTATCACAACCCCACCTACTTCTCGCGAAGACTGTTCCGTTTTGCAGACATCTACACATCAAATATAACTAATTTACTGAATTATTCACTAACACATACGTTTTACCCACGCCGTGGTGTCATGCCACACGAATATGGATCGTATTTTGTTTAATTTTAATGTTGAGTGTGCATACCGAATTTTCGCATCATTTGTAATGTTTGTAACCTTTTAAACTGTCTGTATTAATATGTAGGAGTGAGAAAATTCAGTAACAGTCATAATTAAAATTAAAATATCAAACAAATAAACTATATAAGCATAATATGAAGTTGCATATTTTTGTCTTACATTTGAGTACAACTTATTAGAGTCATTTATAATATTATTTATGTAATAAATACTTCAGTAATTGTGTAATTGACTTTAAATATCGAAACATTATTCAGACGTGTGCGTCTTCGGTATGAACGCACTTAAGAATAATAGTTCAATGTTAGAATAATAAGTGTTATTATTTTGAAAGACTTGAACATATGTTAATGTATAGTGTTTATTTTATTTTTATAATTCTAATCTACAATACGAGGTTTATCTCATGTTAGTAAGTGTATACTATTTATTGTGGTAGTGTAATTGTATGCTCAGGTATGTTAACCGAACTTGCCATTTATTACTTATTTTATTTTGAAGTATTTTAATTGTTATCATTATAATTAAGCATAATATTTATTATAAAAGGCCAAATAAATAAAAAACCCGTTCTCGGTACTGAAAAATACATATAATGTTACATATTAGTATAAAATAATGTAGAGGAAACCTAGTATCAATTCGTATATTTATATTTAAAAAAGTTTTTATTATTGTTCAATATTTTATTGTTGGTATGTTGTAACGTTTCCACATCATAGGAATTTGTTTTTTTATTATAAATAAATAAGAGTAAGTGAAATAATCATCAAGAAATATAAGTTTTAGTCTTCAAATGATTAAGTAAGAGTAAAATTTTAATCATTTGATGAATTAAATGACTGGCGTTTCGTCGCAATTTCGTTTTTATAATATGCTAGGCATATAGCTATACGTCTGAAATAATGTATATCACAATTCTCGAGAGTACGTTTTATATGTGATTCCAGAGATTACCCTTACACACACTTACAAAATTCGCACTCCGTATTATTAGTGGTATTATGTGCATAAAAGCGAAAAGGATAATAGTTATTTATTGATCCCAGCTTTTCTGCACATTTCTCACATGTACCGTTTTATAACTGACATATGCCCCATACAGAATAGTAATAGAATGTAAGTATTCAGCCAACTGTATTCTAGTCACGTGTATTTAATACTGTCTCAGATGAGTTAAGATCATTAGTATCTATAATATAAGTGTTAAAAACATATCTTTACTGTCAATTTTACAACTGTGTGTATAAAGAAATGAATCTATTAATTAACATTTATAAGTAATAGAACTAGATAGGCTGATATTAAACACGACAACCGACATTGTAACTGCATTTACAGTTACATATCCATTGCTCAATTGGTTACAATGATGTTTCGTTTCAAAACCTTTCAGAAGTTTATATTTAAATAAGTCTTGTCTATTCCATTAGGGACTTTTGTAAAGAATATTTTCATTTCAAAATTACATTATATCTTAAGGTTTTATTTAAAATCGATTCCAATTCTTTGTAACAGAACTTCAAGAATCGTTTCAGTTTCAACTTTAAAACATAACTCATATCGAAAATAACCCAGTATCAATGGAACATATGAGTGATTTTAAATGACATCTTGGGATATTATATGTGTAAATTGGACTTAATCACTCCAGTAATATAATTGAATTAATGAAATTATTGTATTCTATGAATGAAGTTCTATTTAGTTAGTTAGAAAATGTAGACATGCTAAATCGGTATCATAGTCCAATCATACCCTAGAATTACTAGATCATAGTTTAAGTGCCAAATAGGTTTACACGTGTTACGTTAATATCTAATAATAAAATAAATAGTTCGTGAATATTGTTATATTTGTGAATACTGTCAATGAATTTCGGATTGTTGTGTACTTCCTTCTTTTATTTATAATATTACTAATAAGACATATACTTAAAATAATTAACCTGTATTCACCATTCTATTTGTTTGTTAAACATCGTCTTTCGTATATTATTATTTAATTTAATGAGAAGTTATTTTTACAGTGTTATACAAGCATAATAAAAATAAAGTTGTAGAACATTTTCTTATTTACTAGCCTTATGGAAATAAGTCTCAGTTTATTGTATTAGAGAGAATATATAATAAATTGTATCATATGTAAAATTAGTAATTTGAAATGTACATAATAATAGTGTCTTATGGTGAAGATAGACTACACTCCGACATTTCATACAAAACTGCAGTGATCACTACTACGTAAATTAGAGGTTCATCAATCGACAGGAAATTCATCCCCACACCCAAATTCCTAAGTGCTCTCGGACAATGCGGTTTTAGAGGCTTCTCTCGCGTACACTTAGATTATGAAATGAACTACCTACCGTGGGTTTGTCTAAATACTACAGCATGGGGGTTTTTCAAGATGGGTATATTAAGGTTCCTTAAGGGTCGGCAACGCCAGGTGACACTCCTGTTTCAGGCGTCCATAGGCTACGGTAACCGTTTACCATTAGATGAGCCATTCCGCAAGCCTGTTTGTTACCAGTGTGGCAAAAAAAGGCATTTACCATACCGAATCCGGTAAATGGCTATTATACCACACATTATCGCAAGAGGTGAACAACTGTCTTACTATTTCACCTAACTTTCGCCAATAGTCTTACTTCATAAGCTGTGTGTTCAATTTGAAGAGCGAGGTACTGTAATGAAATTATCAAGTATAAAGGCATATCATTTTAGTCCTAAGTCCCAATTGCAAGGTATAACAGGTACCACGGGGGTCACATGTTCATTTTATATAATTTTGATTAATTGTAATTATCGAAGAATGTGGGGAACACCACGAAGTGTTAAAAAATTATTGTAAATACAAATATAATAAATTAAAAGTGGCACGGACATTCTGTCTGTGGTTGTAAATAATAAATAAATAAAAATGTTCATGCCAATATTCGTCGATTACCACATTGTATGTCATATCATTAATTAGAAATACATTGTTAAAATAACATTATAAATAGACGAGTATTTTCCTGTAAACAACTAAGATGACATCTTTGTAGATATCTTTATGTAAATACTAGTGCCATAGACTTCGACAATAAATCATTTAACAAATCGATGACATCAAGTTTTGTATTGTATTTTCCAGGTATCATTCTAAAACAATCATGTTACGTTTATATCACCAGGTTTTTTTTTAATTATTCTCATTAAAAATATTTACAATATACCGATTTGTTTATCTTTACTCATGTCATTTTGTAATAAATCCCGTTTATCGTACGTACTTGTTTATATTCTTGCAATTTCATTATCGACGGGGTCATGTCATGACCTATGAATTGAGTAAGTATACTATACTGATAATATTTCGCCTAAATGTATCAATGCAGCATTATATTTCAAATAATTCAAACAAACATGATATTATTGTCTTTAATAGATTTATTGCAATAAATATTTACAAATTGGTACCTGTAAAGAAATGTGCTTTACTATGCGTTCTTTTTTTATAAATAATATTAAATAAAACTTATACTTACCATATACAAAATTACTTAATTGAACCAGTTTGATCATTGGACATGTTTAAAAAAAATATTTTTAATTTTCATAATAGTAAATGTTAATTACTTAAATTATGCTGTAGCCCCTGTAAATTGATTGACCTATTATTTAAATTTAATAAAACAAGATATCTATAACTTTTTATGTCCAATATTTCTATTTTTACATTAAGTAAACTTTGTTACAAAACAAATATAAAACTTATACCAGCTTTATTATGGGTAAGGATGATGAATAATGTGCTAAACCGCTTAGTGAATTGTTTCATTCGTAAAGCAGTAGATATCCTAAGCAATTTAATAAGAAAAGAAATAAATTCTAGAATATTCTATTTTATCCTAACACAGTTACTCCATAAACTTCAACATCATTGAATCAATACATTAAACATTAACCAAACACTGGATATGCTGTATCAATCAACGGAACGTTGTCCGCCCTGATAGTCTTGGTTTGTATGATGAAGTTGATATTATTGTAACGTAATTTGCATGGGCGGTCAGGTCGTGCCATGAAGCATAGTGTGTACAACGCCGTCTCCAGCTCCGGTGAGGTGCCAACGAACATGTTCACCTCTGGGGCATCCTTAGTTTCACTTAGGATCGAGTGTTGTTTTAATATCAACCCTTTCTGAAATGAGTAAATATTTCAAAGGTTTATGCCACTGACGAATACCTATATTGGTAAGTTGTTTATACCGAGATAGACTTTGTAAAGTCATCTGCGTGCTAACCTGAGGTTAGCACTTCAGTCTCACTTATTTAACGGCCAAGTAACTTGCGTTATGAGATGTGTTTCGGTTAAACGGTGATACAGTGAAATGACAAGATAAGTGGAATAATATCTTAGTCCTCTGGAATGCCAAAGCATGAGTGGCATCACGGGAGTCACATAACTGTCAACTTGATGTCCGTGGTGCTGTACCTATATGTGCATATATAGAAAACGGTTACCACTTGCTAGTACATGGGGTATTAGCTTGTTTGCCAATCAAATTTTTTTTTTTTATATGAATTGATCAAGCTTGTATCACACTATAGATATTGGAAGAATTAGTTTGGTATTATTTAAGTGCAGAAAGACAGAAATTAATGTAATAGTGTATTTTGGGGCATAAGTACAGAATATTGTAATGTTTAGGTGAGCAATGTTCACTTATTTTTTGTGCTGAAGTAATGATATTAGGTAGTTCTTAACAATTAATCGATCAATGTGTTTTTTTAAAACAAACTAAGTGTAGCCACAAGTCTAAAATATGGAAACTAAAGTTTATGTTATATAATTTAAATGAAAATACTGAATTAGGTACTTACGCCAGCGAGATCAAGCTTGTCTATATATCCAAGGTAGTTTGCTTTGTGGTCTAACTCACGTTTAGCGAAGAACAGCCAGCTATGTAGACCTAAACAATAATGCATATACATATATAAGATACATTTATTGTAGGTATATTACATATGTATTTGGTATTTTGGTAGATACCTAGATATAACAAACTAAAAATAGGTTCTACAAATCTAAATGCTATTTTTAGTTTATCAGTAGCCCTGTTTGGAAATGCATCGCTACATACCGGATCCAACCATGCAGGAACCAATTCAACAATATACACAAAAAATCGTCTTAATCGCTAAATCCGTTTAGGAGTAGTTAATTGACATACACACGTACAAAATAATAAGACATTAGAAGGTATATAATAAGACATGAAATGCATATTTCATGTTACAGCTAGGTAGGGTAATTGAAGAAATATTAGCATGACAGAGTGACAAAAAGGACAGCAATCGAAGATTACATAGGCAATAAGTATTAGTACTTTGTATTTAGTGACAATACTTGTATTACCCACACATTTTACGGTGCAGATGGTATATGCAGTACATACATACGTGTTTAAATAAAAGAAATCTTACCCAGCACTTGATCAGACTTTAATTCAGCCATAAATACGTTCTCGAAGGCACAGCTGCACTTGCATACACCGGTCCAGTGGCGGGCGTACTTGGTGAACCAGATTTTCCTGAACAGCTCCACTTGTTCGTTGTATTCGTTCAACTGTGTCAGACCTGTCGAATAATACTGATATCAGAATATAATTAATATTTACTAAGTACATTACTTATAATGTTATTCAGATGCATATTGTTGTCAATTCAAAAGCAATTTATCAACTTGTTAGGTAACTCACCGATGTACTTAGCAATTTTTCATACCTTAGATACGAGTCAGTTTATATAGATACCTATCTATGTATTTCTTGGTAACACGTATATACTTCCGGAAAACTTGTTATTCGAAATAAAACTCATATAAATGGTATCAAATAGATTCTTCGAATTTCACATAAATAAGTTTAATAGCATTTTTCAGTGTGGTTCGTGACTTCCCAGAGATATTCAAATGGTATGCGGTCTTAAATCCACTGTAATTAATTACAGTGGTATCTACTAGTACATAGTATACAAGTAGCTGTTTATGTTGATACATGCGAGTACATCTTCACTTACCTTTATTAACTAAGTGGGCCATGAGACTCCTAATAGGGCCTGTGGCTAGTATAGTATTTATGAAGGTAGTCTGCTCCGATTCTTCCTGTAACAAGTTTTTTTATAACACCATCAATAGATTTGGTACATATATCTGTATACTGAGATATTTATTAAATTTAAAATATTGTCTCTGGTAGGTATTCAAAACTATATTTGCATGCATTTCCTGCATACATTGTGTTTTCATCACCTAATACCAATCTATTTTCTTACGATGGGACTATGCAGGAGTACATTTATTTCTTACCGTCACTACGCGACGCAAGTTACTTACCTTATCCGTTATTTTATATTTTTATATTTCTAATCCAGATTCGACTCTTCTGTAATTCACAACTGTAGTTAGGTTCTCAATAAAATTTCATATATCTAAATATTGCGAATTTTATCGCCTGACTCATAAATACTTTTTATTAGATATATGAAGGTATTGAAAGATATAGATAGAACATGCTTAGTCAACTCACATTAGGTGTGACGAATTCGGGTCTGATCACATTTTTGTGGTAATTGTCAAATAGTGCCACAAAAGGTCTGATTGTTGGTCCATTCCACACGTTGTCTGGTACGTTCAAGAGACTGTAACAAATTATGTATGATAATATGATAGGTATGATAATATGATCATTTGATAACAATATTATAAACTAAGTGTCTGTACGACGGCGTCCAAATTGACTCATTTTTAAGATTTGTATAACAGGACCACAGTGTAGATGCAAACTGTACAGTGCTATCAATAATTGTCAAAACTTCAATTGTATTGCAATCTATTTCAAACAGGAAAGTTTTGTAAATGCGTTACATAATGCTGGTGGATTATTGTGAATAAAACGAATATTGAAATGTGATTATAAATAGCACCTCTATAGATACGCTATTAGGTAATTTAACCCTTATAAAATTTGCCTCAATAGTATGGAAATAGCAATAACACAAGTAATACAAAAAAAATCTCATTTATTGAGTAAAATTGTAACGAAATGTTTGAAATAATAGCTGAATCATCATCTACTACCTATATCAATTATTCTATTATAATATTCCTACATTTTTGAGATACAAGAGAAATCTCTAATTGTCATACTATTTCGTCATAAATGCATGAGCAATGACCGGTACGTTTGCTTTCTATTCGAGCAGACCTCTACAATTTGCATATTTAATAAGAGTATAGTTATATTCTAAAGTTTCTTATTACAGGTTATTTATTTTACATTCTGTCCGACTAGGGAATTGGGAATCGTAAATAACATAAAATATAAAAAATGATGTGTATCGTGACTGATCTAGTGCAGACGAGGTCATAGGCATCTAAAAGACATCATCGGCATCTAAAAGGGAAAGCAATATTGATTTTTTTTTAAATTAAAAAAGAAAACATGGTATATACACATGAAAAAAAATTGAATTGAAAAAATGTAGGTATCTAATTATTCTTTGATATTATCTTTTACTAATTTTTAAAATAGAGGAGGTGGTGTATTTCCTGTTGGCTCCAGGCGGGGAAAGATTATGCTACGCCACGAATAAGTGTTATTATACAGTAAGTATATAAAGTATGTTCTATACTTTTTTAAGTAGATGATTATGGAATGGTGCATAAGTCTGCGTCAACGGTATACGGTTTCGGGGCGTCAGTGGAGGATAATAAGATAAGTAGGAGGTCAGGTCAGTCATACAGAAATTCCTAAAGAATTAACCATGATGGTGACCAGGAGGAACAACGTGGATGTCGACCTGACATTGCTAGCTAATGAGGTCCCCGTTACTAACTATCCCGTCCCCCCTAATGTTCTATATTAAGTAAGATTTTAATTATTATACTAACTATATTTCTTATTGTATATACTGTGCTTGTAATTTTTGTACTCGTATTATGGTTGCTTTTATAATCTAGTATCTAAATGACTTATCGTTACGCTTGGTGCACTCATTGGATTGAATGTTGAGCTAATTTTAGATTAAAACCTAAAAAACGGATTAAATGTAAGTGATTGTATGTGCTAAACTGTTAAGTTATAAGTAAAATTAATCTCTACGAGCCTACCCATCTGCAAGCTAGTAAGTAGCTAGATGAACTAGAAGAACTCAGGAGACTGCACGTTATAGGGCGTTTATTATATCCATACTGAATTAAAAACACCGTAGCAAATATCGATATTCACTGACACTGAATTTTAATGAATTCATTTGCTTTCGATAAACTAGGTATACACTCGCTCTCTCGGTCGTCCATTAAAAAATTAAATAAAATTCAATTGATTTGTAAATATGCTTATAAAAATCTATCTTTGGTAGGTACTTATTATTCTGTGTTTACCTATGTGGCAGTACTGCCACTGTACCTACTGTTTATGTCATTTCTATAAGCGGCAGTTAACATTTTCCATCCGGCTGGCCGTCAGCGCATATTTCCGTATTTATAACTTAATTTGATTCGGATTATGGATATGGATCCTATATAAAAACTATCAGGCTAGTCACAACTTTGAAGTTAATTATAATTTTGAAATTTTAACTGTAAATATTTACAACTATTGCAACTTTTAACAAATTTTAACTGTAAACATTTACAAACTCTTACAAGAAGTTATATGCATTCAATGTGACCTTAAACAAATAGGCAACAAGTTACTTACTTATTTTGCGCCTGGTCATTCTTGGACATGGCACTAGTTTTGCCTTGCACATTAACTTCAATGTAGTTGATCGCGTTATTGACGTCCGAGTTGAACATCTCCTCACCAACTCGGAGCAGGTCATCGTCGGTGGTGGAGTCTTGCACTTGTTTCAACAAGTCTTCGTAACTCTTCTTCTTTGCATAATCAACAACACCGCCCACTACTGTACCGATTTGCTGTAGAGTGTTAGAGCCTGTGTTTCCTTGCTGTCCTGTCACTGAATTGGAAATAAGATTTGGTAGGATACTGTTGAATATTTGCCCCGCCGCGTGTGTTATGTCATCAGCACGACACACTGCTATAGTTAATAGAAAAATCAACGTTAATCTCATCTTACACTATGTTTTGATACGTTACTTCAGATGGAAACACGGCGCACTAGTGATCTGTGCCCGCGCCGAGTAAATCGCAGTATTCGACCTCTGCATGACATCATGGATGCCGAAGCATACACACGGCAAGTAGATATCGCATTTAAATTCAATTCAATCCACACACCAAGCTTTTTGTCCTCAACGAAAAATTACGTTCCATGTTCCTTTTTCGATAAACAATGATGACCTTCGTAATGTACAGATATACATAAGTAAAAACATAGCATGGCAAAATATATGTATTACTGTGTATTATATAATATTCTCGTATCCGTGAACTTATTTTATTCATATTAAAATCTTTATAACCATATAATAGGCAAAGAAATATTATATATAATATAATCCTATTAGTTCTACTTTATTTAATTTCGGCACCTATATATAGTATGTAAGAAGGCACCTACGAGTTACCTGTAATATTTAAACAATTATGATATATAATGAAGGTGCATTTTTTATATTACCTACGTCAATATTAAATGTAGTAAATAGCTATAATTATACTGTTCATCATTACCACTTCTATCTAACATAAATTGTTATAAAATTAGTAATAAACAAGTATGGCGCGATTATTATCATCATTTAAATCTAGTGTAGGTAGGTATGTAAAGAAATATTTCATAATAATGAACAAAAATACATATTTACATGTAATTACATATGTAATGCGTTGTTTGTACCGTACGTATTAAACTGGCATTTTAGAATTCTATTTTTGTTCTCTTCTATGAAAGATATAAAACAATAAAAGATTGGACTGGCTTCGTGTATTCCAAACACTTTTCGAATATTACGATAATGAGTTGTTGCTTAAAGAGTATATTTTGGGTTTTAAAAATATAGTAAACAAATAGAATAGAGCTATCTTATATATAATACTAATAAAGACTAGGTTCTGATGAATATCTAATAAAAGTAGGTACTGTTATGTATAAAACCGGTTCATTATTAAAATTAAACTTAAAGTTCGATGACAGTGGACTTTCGAATTGCATCGATCCAACAAAACAAACTAATCAAATTCCTTTGATTTAAATATAAGTTTTGATATAGATGTATATGTATTTACTAATTACAATATATACATAAATTGAGAATCCCAGTTTTTTATACCATACCTCCTACAGAAAATAGAATACAGGCAGAGTTTACAGAGTTTTATTTTAATCTTTTTGCCTTCAAAAATCTTTTTTTTTATAAGTTAACATTAGATGGGTATATACTATACATTTGATTTACTTGTATATAAAGTTACTTGTAATATACCTCGGTGGACTAGCGGTGTGGTACACTGCCTTACTTCCGATGGGGATCGATTCCTCGCAACATTTATAATCATGAGTATGATTGTTTGTATCGGTTTGGGCGTTTTCTATGTATAATATGTATGTATTTACGAAAAAAAAAATATATTTATGTATTTGTATCAATTATCTAGTACCCATAAAAACAAGCTTTAGCTAATTTAACTTTGCGCTGTGTTAATTGTTTTGAGATTATTATTATTAATATCGGAAACATAAAATAATGTACGAGACTAAATGTGAATTAAAAAATATTTTATTTCAGTCGGTAATTGGATATTATATAATATATAAGGACTTCAGGTAGCTGTCAAGCTGTCGATTCATTGATTAACTATCTATAAAATCTTTCTATAATACTGGGTATCTATTGCATATTGTTATATTTTTGCTTTACTTTACACTTTTATTCATTATAATTAGGCAGATAAGACTACTTTACAAGTTGCATATAATTTTATTTAATTGGCATAAGTATATAATGTTTGGTTCCATAAAAAAAATTGTTTTTTTTTGTCATAATTTATTTATTAGATAGGACTCCAATAAAAGAAAGTCTCTGAAAAGAGACATTTTATCAACAGTATCGGTCGCAGGCGAGCGCGCATCTGCAATGTAACTGTTGCGTGCGCGGGCGCAGCGGGAAAATCGTATTTTACTCCACGTCATGTTTTATGCATCGTTCAAAGAGCACATTCTTTGTGGAGGAACAAAATGACCGCTATTACACTGTATCTATAAATTGTTGCCTATCAATGGAGATATTGTCAACTAATATTCACTTCGAGTATGTTTATAACTCTGCTGACGGTAGATACCTACCTACAAGTTGAATAATATTAATGCCGGTACTTGTAAATAACAGGAAAAGTACCTATGTATTATATATTGTAAAGGACAATCTAATATAGGTATTTACAATATAATTATACTAGTAGAGTGAAATTGTGCTATCCTACAATTATCTTACACCATAACTTTCTCTTGCTTTATTAGTAAATATGTTGCTATTTTATAGTTATCTACATTTATTAAATATTTTTTTTTAGATGTTTTTTAAAAGTTTTTCATTTACAATGTAGTGTCTCGAATTATGTAGACATGCAAAAAAAAATAAACTTCAAATTTAATTTAAATTGCTATATTGAAGTATAAGGTACAAAATTTTATGGTATTTTATTATTAAGTGACGCGGGCGTTCGCCGTGACCTCTGAATGGGAAAAAAAGACCGGTCGCCGCGCGGATCAGCGGTGCCGGCAGATGCCTCACCCCTCTCCTCCTTCTCAGTGTTCTGAACAGTAGTTTTCTGTGTTTAATCACAGATAAGATAATATTACATAGTCTTACATAGGTACTCGTTACCAGGGGAGGAGAGAGGTATTTTTTAAGTTATTTGTGATGAGTACCTACTTGTAAACCTGTTGCTAGCAATATAACTAACTTAGTGTCAGGTACTCAAGTGTACCTCCCATGGAAACCACCGTGGTTAACTGACCTGATATCATTCTTCAAAGTATACTATTAGCATAGGCGGGTGCACCACATCGTATTTATTAATTAAAAAAAACCATAACTGTCTCGCGCAATTTCACCTACGACATCTAAAGAGAGAAAGATCTTAAAAGGAATAAATTTTCTTCGTTTTTAAAACATTTTTCACCTTATTGCTAAATAAAGCATAAAAAAAATATATTCTTGTTGGATAGCCCTATCCAGCAATAAAATATTTTTTTGAAGTTGAACTAGGAGCTCCTGGGATCAGTGTATTCAACCAAACAAACAAATTATTTAGTTTTATGATAGTAGTAGGTATCCATAGTTTAATATTCTCTTATCTGTGGTATATATATTTTCGCTTAAAATTTCCTATATAAGGTATTGATGATTCTGATATGATTTTATTAAGTAGATATTACCTATGACTATATTTGATTTTGGTTTAATCGACGTCGTAACCACAAATCATGAAGTGTAGTATTATTGAAGGGAATAAATTTACCTACTTCCCTTTGCATAAACGATTTTGGATAATTAATTTAGAACCAAAATTTCTCTTCTTCATGTATGAGACGAAGTTAATAGTGTATTTTTATCTCAATATTGGTGTGTGACTTGTGTTTACTGGTTTAAATCATTCCTTCTATGTCTTTACTACACTGAGAAATTAAATTAGTAGAGTTACTTTAGAGTTTAATAGTAACCCTAAATTTTTAGATTGTATCACAGCTTGCATTCACAAAATTGAGATAAATAAATATCCAAACTACATATTTAGTGCCTACAACTAGTTACTGTGTCATTACTTTTCAGTAAATACAATATTTTGGTATTTATTACTAATGGTGAAAATGTAAATGCTGCAAGAAGTTACTTTTTTAGTGTAGATACGAAACATTGTACCTATTAATTACGTCGAGTCGTAAATATTTGCTATACATCTATTAATCTGTAGCATTACCCACATACAGATGTTGTGTTGTTTGCAGCCTATTGCAGTAATTGGAAGCTAACGAATGATAATGACAATAGACAATGCTCCACTTTAATATCATTTGCATGTGTTATATTGCAGTCAGTATTAGCTATCCTACGCATAAACCAACAAAACACAGCTCTTATTTCAGACATGTTGTACCTACCTATTATTTTTATCGCTAATTTTTGATACATTTATGCATTTTGGTTCTTTTTTATAAACTATATACATAACACAGATAACATAATTGTACGTATATAAATTTTTTTATTCGTTAGACTCGCTAAAATATAAAAAAGGGTTAACCATTTCATTAATTGATAGCATTTTGTTTAATAATACAGGGGTAATGTTGAATAATACAGGGGTGGTTTAGCAAAAAAAGACCATAAAGACCTAATGATAAGTACTGATACACGAGAACTCGAGCTGTTTTGTTGTACTTATGTACCATTCTCAAAGGGTATTTAGAGATTTGTATACATGTGACGTCTCCCATACCCACGGCGATAAACGCGGTGTAAAACCTCAACACTTCAAGTTTTGACATAAATCTTAATATCATAACTGAAGTAAATGAATAATAAAAAGAACCTGTTAATCTATACTCAGAAACACGATGTTATCGCGATGAGGTCACGCCAGCAGAGGTCACTCACGCGCTGCGTATTGTGAAATCCTACTACGTATGAAACCGTCAGCATTATTTATAAAGAATTTATATAAAATTTATAAACTAATAAATACAAAATTCTACAAGCAAACATGTATGATCCTTGTGAGGGACTATAGCTATACTCGTAGCTGTATTAATGTGTGTCGACTGAGAAATATAAAATAACTGTCGTAACTCTGAAATATTTCGGAAATTTGTCTGATCGGTCGGGCTAATTTATCCAATTAAGATCGAGTACTTGCGTCAAAACACTTACGCAATTTGAGTTCAGCTTGTGGCAAGATTATCTAAGATTACATAAATATTTGGTAACGCTTTTGACGTATATATAATATATACCACGTGTTGAGCTGGGTCACCAGATGTCTACTGACAAACCTAACAGGACTCCTAACGTGTTAGGTTAGGATATATATTTCAAGTGATCGATTAGAAATTTTACCATACAAAGATGACTTTAAAGTTAAATAAATAAATAGCTAACAATGCGGAGATCATCATTAAAACGTTGTAAAGTATAATTTAATAATCTTAGATTATATTATTTAACCTATTGTATTGATAAGCAATGTATATAATATACTGCAGTGATATTTAAAAGCCATTAAAAAGTTAATTTCGTTAAAAGTATTTGTCAATAGACAATAAAAGGAAATAAATATATTATTAAACAAATAATAAAATATTGTATAATGCACTATACTTTCGTCTTTCCAATGTGACATAACAACATTAATTTTAAACGTAGACTAATGCAATTGGTTGAAATGCAGTACAATTTCAAATGTGTAAGACTCCATTCGAGATAAAAATACGCTCGCGGATATTCGTTTAAGAATTGTGAATGTTTTCAAAATATGCAACACCGACAGTCCAGAAGGCGAATGGAACTACATAATACGATGTTATGTTCCTTGTTGCGTTGATTACTTGACCCTGCCGAATAACTCGTTCACAACTTTAGCCTTAAAATAATTTCTTGATTCAATTTTACATACACGTACAAACAGTCAGTATAAAGAGGCAGCAAGTGTCGTGCGCCTTGACTGAGTGCAAAAGCTGAGAAAATGAAGGCCAAGATATTGGTGTTGTTGTTCGTATTTTGCTATACAGAATGTAAGTAGCTACTTTATGTTTTCTCATGTAAATACTTTATAAATTTACAATTAGATACGTCAATGTTATAATTATTATGTGTTTAATTATTCCAAAATGTATCAGTGTTTCGAAAAATCTCATTAATACTCAATCAATGACATTAGATATTATAATGAAAAATACCTACATATCGAATAGGTACGTACCTACAGTGTTACAGTGATGTATCTAAGGGTAAAAAAAGAAAGAAATTATTAACTGTTGTGTACATGTACTTAATCCTATAAAATGACAAGAAATAAAACAACCCTTTATTTCCTGTCAATTTATAGGATTAAGTACACAATTCTTTCTTTTTCTTTACGATTTAAATTATACAAGAAAATTAACAGAAACTTATTGCATATTTTTTATTGTTTCCCGTATTGATAACTAATTATTATTCTTAATTATTTTGTAATAAATACTCTAAAAACTATTTGAATAAATATTTCCAGGTCGCAAGACATATCCACCAGTGGACAAAAATGCCAACATTGCGTTCATCAACATGGAAGGTGGTGGCGGTTCGAAGCCCTCTGGAAAACAACAGCCAACTGTACCATCTAGTGGTCCAGCCGCTCCACCAGCTAAGTCCCCTGTACCATCACAACACGGTGGCACAAATACTGCTCCACAAACCACCATCAAGCCGGCAGTTCCTCCCGTGACGACAAAGCCTCTCTCTTCTCCTACTCCCACTCCAATAAAACCTAGTGGTCAGATTAAGCCTGTACCTGTAAATCCGAAACCAGTTGTAAATCCTATCACAACTCCTGGACCTGGTACTGTAAAACAACTGGTCAATTTTTATGACAGCCAAGGAAAAGCTAGCCCTATTCGTCCTTACAGCTATAGTCAAGCTGTTAAGCAGGGTTAAGATATTATATTATCCATGGGAATATGTATTGCATTGATTAATTTAATTTTCTCTCCTAAATAGATGATTTAAAAAAGAGCTATAACTTACCTAGTTAATGTTTTTTACAAATAAATATATTTATACATGACTGACTATAACAATTTTTATTGTACTATATTAATAAAATCAAGCGTGAATAATACTATGTTAATAATAATGTTTTCCCCACAGGATTTAAATAAGTAGTCTTTATTATTTTGTACAGAGTTTTATCGTGAAAAAAATATATTTCGGAAATAAATTTTTAAGTAAGATTTTTTTAGTGAGTAGTGAGTACCTACCGTATACTAGGAATATCTAGGGAATCAGGATTTTACAATAATTACATATTGTTTAATTAATATCAAGCTATTTTTATACAGTCTTCATTGAATTTTATAATAAGTTCAAGTTTTCTTAATGTTATTATTTCCGGTCTTAAAAAGTTTCTGTAGAGAATGTTAAAATATTAATTAGAAATTAATTTTTACTATTTGCACATTAAGGTAAAATGAAGCTATTTACTCTTACATAACGTTGTCAATTATTTTAACTAGAAAAGGAGTCAACGACCGTTATATCAGCCGGATATATCTAGAAACGACATAAAAGGCGTATTAAGATGTAAACAATTGCAGTAGAGCCTATTTCCAGCCAGTGAAAGTGCGTGGACGGAATTTGCAGTACCACGCCGCTGTCGTCGGATGGCGGTGTGCTGGGCGCGGCAAAATGCCATTTGGTTGTCTACTATGCTTAGCATTTACAAAGTCTTATGTCAAATTTATTATTTGTTTAAAGTCATTAAAGCATTCGTAATAGCATTAGAAAATTAGCATTAATTAACAATTAATTAATTGACACTTTTTTCCAAGCTAAGCTTCGTAAAAAGTGTTCTACTTGGATAGTATTTCAGCTTCCAAGCAGCTTCCTTTGTATGCTGTTTCGGTTAATGGGTCTTCCGACATGGTAACGCATGAGCGGTATTACAATAACGTAATGCCAATAAGATTACTCAACGTTACTCTGCACTAACTTTCAGTACTGCCTTGGGGTAAGCAGAACTTGTGTTATGGGTACTGGATAACTGATACTAATACTTAAATAAATTATTTTTGTAAATGCACACATTACATAGATAGAAAACGTCCAGATGAATACAAATAAAACTAATGAATACACATGTTTATATCGTGCGAGGAATCGAACTCACGACCATCGGAAGTAAAGCGGTGTGCTAGACCGCTGAACCACCGAGACCGTCTGCATATGTGTATGTATATATGTATACACAGAGAAGAGGCATTCCATAATTCTTCAATTTGAAAACAAAATATGTATTCCAATTGTAGATACCATTACAACGGTTGACTCACGTAGCGTAGCTGTATTTGGGTCTACTTTTGGTTACTTTGTTTATCTATATTTACACAAGCTCACAGTTGTTTCAGTAGTTCTTTTAAAATAATCGTTATCCTTGCATCTCTGCAGTACAATCTTGATAATAAAAGCAATTAATTATAATGTTTCACATAATTATTAATGTTGACTTGTTTATGAAGAACTACCTTACCGATAAATTACTTTTATTATGGCAAAAAATTACTGCACCTCTCCTACATGCCACTAATTTAATTAAGTTATTGTTAGTAATAATTAACATTTTTTAAATTTGTAATGTAAATCAAAATATTCATCTGCTTTTTCCGTATCCCATTCATTTGGGGTCGAGGTAATATATTTTCTCATCCATTCAACGCTTGTTCTTTACAGAGCGTAAAACCTTTCACACTCTTCATCTATCGGTCATCCTCTGCCCTTATAACTAACTACGTTTATAATAGGACTTTCTTCAAAATATTCTCTTAATTCCTACATATTACATTCACATAATTTATATTAATATAAATTAACAAAATAATCATAAATTTTCTTTTTGTATGCATATGTACAGCTGTATGAAATAAAATCAATAGAGAAAATCTGGCAAATTTGTTAATAATGGCCAGAAAAGTCAGAGTGAATATGAGGGACGTCAAACGAGCACGCTGATAGGGCTGCTCGAAACGTGCCACTTTCACCTTCGTCTGATTCATAGCGGCTGTTACGTCGGCAGGACCCCTTATTGTTATGGCTGTTACGAAGTGCCTCGCGACATATTGTGCAATACTTGGTCCGCATTGGCAGTATTTATAATAACAAACAATGATTCACAATAATAGGCTTTTAAGAACGGACTCTCTTTTAAGAACGAACACTTTTGTAATCTATGCAAAGTAAAAATAAAATTTGTTGATGGTATAAAAAAAGAAAGTTGTTTGGAATTGTGGTTAAACACAGGTAGAGCAATGAACATAATTTATATCGAGACGATTATAAGTGAACATATGATGTAACAAGACGATCAAGAACTATAAACACTTTAATTATCAATATTTTTTTAAATTGAAAGTAAAATTTATGGATTAGAAATCGTTCTTGATAAATATTATATTTGTTAATAGCCCTCATATGATTTTCTAAAGTATTTTGAAATACTTTTATAGGTATACAGAATTTTCAAAAATTATCAAAACACAGTACTCATACAAAACTTTAAAATTATATTAAGAGTGAATTACGTGCGTCGCAACCGCAGGGGTTAAAAAACCGAAATTATTTTAATATATTTAATTAAAAATAAAATATTACAAACTAAAATATAGCTATAACTATCTTCGGACGAAGTTGGTACCAAATTGACAAATACTGAGACGCGGAAACACTAATTAAGATGTCGAGTTAGCAGTTGCCAGTAGCCAGCGCGGTGGCTCAGCGAAGGTGTGGGGCGCTGATTCGTCATTTCGAAGTACGGGCACAAAGTGCAAGGCCGTGCTCCTCATCAGCAATTTCTTTATTAGCAACAGCTATAACAAGTGGATGAACAATTAATATTATTATGAAGTTTTGTAATATAAGTTAATTATATAACTTTTAATAAAAATATATTCTCTAGATTTATGGTGGTATTATCATAATATATACATATATATCATGATAAATCTATAGGAACAAAGTTACTTAAACCATACTATTTCAACATTTCTTTTTTACAAATCACAATTACACTCACGAATACAAATATTTGTATCGTGCGCAGAATCGAACCTGCGATTATCGGATGCTAAAACGCAAGTACAGAGGCCATCCAATCATCAGAAGTTTCTAACAACTTAACGTAGTTTTTATTTACAAAATTGGAGCCATTTTTAAGATAAACAGCCGTTTGTTACATTTAGGTTTTCACTTTGTAAATAATCGTTCATTCTATTCCATGAAATTGTATTTTCACATACAAACAGTAATTCCACTTTCGCCCGTACAAGAATGCGTGTATGAAGCCACAGAATATACTCTTGATATTGTGTGTAGATTAGCTGACACTGCGATACGACCCACCTATTGTTTATTGTAGGGATGCCATCTTAATTAAACAATCAATTACATATTTTCCCAACACATAGTGCATAGAAAATGTTAACTATACCTATATAAACATATTATAAGAAAACATTAGTGTATGTTAATCTTGTTGTTTGTACAGCTATTCAACTTTGATAGAATATACAAAACTGTAATCTTAAGAATATTTAATGTTCATGTTTATAAGACGATCGATCTGACTATATTATATTTAGTTTTTATTAGAAATAAAGTTTGAACATATGACAGCCCTATGATATGTAGACATATATGCAAGCCTGTGTAAAATATCTCGGTGTCTTTATTATTTTAATATATACTGTAGAGACTAATAGTAACTAATATGATCTGTTAATTTACTATATTTTGCTATTTGTTTAAATAAAGTTTTAAAAATAGTAGCCATTTTTATATATCATCGTTTTTCTTTAATTAGGTTTGATCTCACAGACATTTCTGTTTTTTTAATACATAAATTAAATTACGTAGCGTCCGAGCTTTTTACTAAAAATTAGCATTTAATTACAAATTTATTCAGAAATTGTGATTATTTGCATTTAATTATAAGAGTAATATTACAATCAGAAACTTTCATTGAACTATTCGCTCAGTGATACTTGAGTAGTGTGTTTCAGCGACTGGGCGGGTGAAAGCAAAGTTATACATATAGCGCTGTCTCTATCTCCATGTAAAATACAAAGTTGCAAGGAATTAGACAAAAAATAGGGATAAAATTAGTTCCTATACTGAAATATAATTTGGATAATACAAATATTTGTATCGTGCGCAGAATCGAACCTGCGATTATCGGATGCTAAAACGCAAGTACAGAGGCCATCCAATCATCAGAAGTTTCTAACAACTTATGTAGATTAAAAATAATATAGCGAGATTCACAAATCTATTTTATATTTTTCCTCAAAATGCAGATTAGATATGATATATTTAGTAGGGTGCCACCCTACTATGAAAGGAATTATCCTATGTATTACACTAAAGTATCTAACTTTAGTAATAAACAATACAATTTCAGTTATATTCACAAAATTTTTGTTAATGAATGGTCAAACTATTATAATACAAATGTATGTACATATAACAAGTGTGTCCGCGAGAAATTTTCTAGTAAATGTCTAATAATAAATATTTTAGTTTTTACCACTAAAGAGTGACAAAATTTTCCAAATTATATTTCAGTATAGGAACTAATTTTATCCCTATTCTTTTGTCTAATTCCTTGCAACTTTGTATTTTACATGGAGATAGAGACAGCGCTATATGTATAACTTTGCTTTCACCCGCCCAGTCGCTGAAACGCACTACTCAAGTATCACTGAGCGAATAGTTGAATGAAAGTTTCTGATTGTAATATTACTCTTATAATTAAATGCAAATAATCACAATTTCTGAATAAATTTGTAATTAAATGCTAATTTTTAGTAAAAAGCTCGGACGCTACGTAATTTAATTTATGTATTAAAAAAACAGAAATGTCTGTGAGATCAAACCTAATTAAAGAAAAACGATGATATATAAAAATGGCTACTATTTTTAAAACTTTATTTAAACAAATAGCAAAATATAGTAAATTAACAGATCATATTAGTTACTATTAGTCTCTACAGTATATATTAAAATAATAAAGACACCGAGATATTTTACACAGGCTTGCATATATGTCTACATATCATAGGGCTGTC